CAACACGTATTAGGCAATGGGGATCCTTTTGGTCAGAGGGGTCTTTCGCACCTAGAGTTCTTTATTAAACGTACAGAGCCCCACCGGTCCATGTATTCACGTGGTATATCAGTTTGGACAGTAGTTCCTTTATCGGCACTCTGGTGCCTTATTATTTACTATAAGGGTAACAGTACAGCAACGGCAACCCAAAAGCCTCAAGCTTGGGTCTTGAACCTCAGAATTTGAAAGCCTTGAATCTGAGAAGAAACCCCTAAACTCACCCAGCGAAGTTGAAGCCCGGGCAACCTGAAAGCCCTCAGCTCCAAGACCCCCTGAAGTCCCACAGTTCCTATATGGCTCACAGCCATATAAGAGTTTAGGATATTGTTACCTGGACCCCAAAATACCCCCCCAAATAAACTCATTTGTTCAGGAAACCTGTAAGGAAATCACCGGAGGGAACTCTAATGGGAAGGGTTAAGAGAATTTAGGGCTTCGGGAGAATACCCTCCCCACACCAGGGCCACCGCAACCTTCCCATCTTCGACGATGGCAATGCCGCACGCCTGGTTGCGGAAAGCAGTGGCCTGGCTGTACCACTGGCTGTACCACAGGGACCTAATTAGCTATTACGATTTTGGTAGCTCCTTATTATAGTTGTGGCTAAATTTGGTATAACATATCCCAGAACCCTACTCTATTATTAAATTATGAGGCCCCTGTATTACCCATTCTGGTGGCCTGAATATTTGCAATTAGGACTCTTCAGTGTTCCCACTCCTTGGGTTTCCCAGGATAGCTACAGAATTTAACCCACCGAAAACCCTAACACTTATCTGGTAAGCTTCCAGTGTGGCCCTGATCCCCTTCACGGATTGTGATTGGAGTTTCAGGAGCAAGACCCCTGCGTGAGGGCGTCATTCACGTGAGGTCTTCATCGTGGTTTACCAGTTTAATTTTAAGCCTCATACAAGCATGGGCCTCGATGTCAGTAGCGTGGCTTAGGGACAATATGCCGGGTTTCCGAGTTTACGGCTCACGTGCACGCGGCTCACTATGGCTTATGATTTAGTCAGCGCCAAGCAAAACGTCGACTTTTCAGTGCAGAAATCACAGAACCTGTCGATTGATGCAGAAAGACAAAGCAAGGGGTTGGGGGCGTCACTTGCGATTACAAGAAGTGCGTGAGTGATGCCTGCTTCACTTTTCTGCATCCGTCACCCTTTGCCCGAACCCGTAAGCCGCACAAAGCCAACAGCCCTCAACCCTGAAAATCTAAACCCTGAACCCTAAACCTAACCACAAACTCTGAAACCCTAAACCCCCGAGCCAGAAACTCAAAACCCTGGAGAGTCCACAAAAGACGCCATCTGCCAACGCCAAGGCCGAAACCTCTCACCACTATAGACCTCATATATAAAGGGCTCAAATAACTACCTATATGATTTTGGGGTATCAATACTACAGTATCATTTTCTCGGAAATCTTATCCTAACTTCAAACTGTGGGTTTGTCGTAGCTTGGCGGGTGGCTCAAACATCCTGCTTGCTGGCAGCTTCCGGCTCAACCTCACAGCTTGCAAAGCTGCAGCCGAAGCATGAGCCGAGGCACTTCAGTGAGTGCACATCTGCACCGCTTGCTTCCTTGTAGTAGCATGTTGACCTGGTGTGGGAGCGGAGCATACTCCACTCAGGGCGTGTATTCTGTAAGCCCCTCTTACCATACAGTACATGCGCGCGTCATCTGTTTAGTGTAGCAAAGGGGCTGAGTCACATGCAGACTTGGACATAACACAATGAACGATGTGTGAGGCGCTAGGCTTCGGAGATCTCGCCGGTGCTGGATGGGGTGCGGTAGTTCTGAGCACATGTGTCTACCCGTTGTGCATGTGCAGCGGATGGCCCACATGTTGAAAGCTTTACCCCATTCCGAAGCCAGGCGCCATATTTCCCGAATACCCTGGCATAGATCTCGACGCGGAAGCTTTTGACAGCCGGAGGCCTTTACCGATGGCTGCTGCTGTCCATCAGTTGGGCGGCGGCAACTTATCAGAATACCGCGTTTGTGTGGCGGTGCATGCCAACCCTAGTAATTAACGCTAGTATCTTCATACTGAGACTATAAGGCAAGGTAGTAGCAAGTTGCTAGTTAATATTCTGGCGATTATGTCATGCCACACCTGCTAAACAAAGCCGCTTCATGCTTGCGAAGCCCACATCCTGTCTCTGCCCAGGATGCAGGTGCACCAATGATGAGCCTGGGTACGGCAGTTTCAGGCTGGCTCAGGCTTTGGGGTTCAGGGTTAGTTAATTATAAGGCACATGAAGTACACTGTAAGATGTACATCTGTCTTCAGGGAAGTCACGGATGGTGGATACCCTGGAAGATGACTGCAGTACTGCTGATGACCCACGTGCAGTCACAGTGCTGCCGGCAGGCTGCTTTCAATAGAAACCTTTACATGCTCGCACTCGCACAGCTGCAATGATGTGACGAGGATGGAGATGTTTGGTTGCGATGGTCATGGTGTTGCGCGGATAGACGTAATGGTTATATGTTGATGCTGGTGACAGTGGTGTTGAGTGATGATGGTGCGAAGCAGCGTGGCTTACCAAAGCCATCCGTTTTGGCTTGGGGTAGGCTATTCTCGACTTCTTGTCTTTGCCTTCTCTCCACTCCACCTGAGTAGGGCTCGGGATCTGAGCGGTTTTCCAGAGCTGGGTTTTTGAACACCCCCCCCCCCGGCATCCGCCCCCATTGTAGTGTTATTGAAATGCATATCTATTCCTTCTGGTATGTCCGCACCAAGACCCTCTGGCTCCAGCTCCGTTCCTACACCCGCAGTTCCAGGCACTTCGTCACCGTCGGGGAGCGAGTTTAACCTGACATCATGGCTGCAGTGGCATCCCAGGCAGATGGTCTGGGTGGATCCGCGGTTTCGGGGCCTGGGATTTGCAGTCTTGTGTAACTGTGTATATCGGGGTTCAGGGCTTCTGTGGCACAGGTGATGCATGTCAAGAGCCGGGACTGCTGTCAAGTTCTTATGGCTACATTGAGCACTGCCCTGGCCAGCACCTCCTAGCGCAATGTAGACGAGAAGGTTGAAGCAGTCCCGTGGTCACGGAGTCACATGTTTCAGAGCAGTACATGCCACGGCATAAATGCCGCCTTCCTTGCAGGCTCCGGCAAAAAGTCTCAGAGCACCCGAGTTTCAGCATAACCCTTTCAAACTAAACCGCTACGCTCAGAGACTCGACCCGGGATCCCGACATCTTGGTCCAAAAACTGGTGATAGAGGAGAAATCTGCCCCCCTGGGGCCCTACCCCGATGCAGCTAACCCTTTCGGATCCCTGCAAGGAACCCCAAAGTGCAGCGAGACAAACCTGAAGCACAGGCTTGGGAATTCTCATTTCGAAATCACCACCCGCAACAAGGCACATCGGATGGTGTTTAGGGCCTGGGGTGTTAGGGTTGAGGGAGAGGTGTAGTTTATCGGTTGAGGGCTTCAAGGTTTGGGGGCTGTTTGTTGTTTTCGTGTCCTTTGCTTCGCTGTCCTTTTGCGCGGATCTTGCCAGCTGGCGCCAAAAGCGTCCCATATCGTCTGGCACTCCAGCGTGGCTTTCGGGAATTGAGAACAGAGGCCTTAATAGTTTCCTATACCTATACTATTTTGTTTGGGCGGGGGTTCCTTATTATAGTATACTCATACCCCTAAGCCGTATTCTAATTATTCAGGCCCCTATATTACTGTTCAGGGTCCTGTCTTTCCCAGAAGGTAATAGACTCAGAGTTCCTTGTGGCGTCTTGTAGTCTAAACCTTAAACCCTAAACCCAAACCCTCGCTGCTGACACGGACAATTATAGGTGGTGCGTTTGAGATCACACAGAAATCACCAGATACATCTTTATACAAAAATACCAGTGGTACTAGAACAGGCCGCAGCCTGTAACGTGCAAGCATACATATCCTTTTCTACACACTGAACGGAGTCTCTTGGGTTTGCCCCTGGAGCTTCGTGTGATACGGGGCGAGAACTAGTGGAGACGTCAGTGGCAGTGGCAACAGATCAGAGCATTCAAGCCCTAAACCCTAAACCCTAAACCCTAAGCCCTAAACCCTAAACCCTAAGCCCTAAACCCTAAACCCTAAACCGTGAAACTTTGAGCCGGGCCAAGTCCCTGCTGCTGAGCAGGTTGCACAGAAGCTCTTCAACATTGGGATCATGCTGTCCCTGGCTTGAAGTAGAGTTGGGTTTGCGACTTAGGGTTTAGGGTTCGGACTGACGCCGGCGGCGTGTTTTCAACATGTGAGGGCTTGTGATGGGCATAGTCAGAAGCAAAATCGAGACAGCAGTATTGGGCAACGAAGGCATCCCGCGATCGTGGGCCAGAACAGTCGTGGTTTTCTTCATATCTAGCACGTGAGGCCTCAGGGCAGAAACCTGCCCAGGCGGATGAGGATCAAACTTGGCCAAGGGGGTATTAGAAATCCTCGCAGTCTTTGTCTGACTTCTTGCCATCGCCGTGGATTGCGACCGAATATTCTCAGCATTGCTGAAGTGTAACCAAGGATTTACAACTTTGATCAGCTGAACGCGCGGATGGTCTTCGAGGCAATCTGGGCTCATTTTGGCTTGTGCTTGGTCGTTTGGACACGAGATGGGCCTAAATACACCTGTTTTGAGGCTATGTGCATCGTCTTCGAACTTCTCGGTGTGAGGTCTTTGTGAGAGCTTCGGGTATCAAGCATGGATCCCGTAGGGCTGTTGGTATGCGTAGACTGAAGCATGAGCTCGCTTCACCTGCCTGACAGAAGTACTTCTCCACTGCATCCATGCAGCCGCCTAGATGATGCTTCCCTGGGGATCAAAATAGCCCAAAAGCCTTATAGAGTATGGGTCTTTGGGCCCAAAAGCTTTAATATATGATTCCGTAGAGCCCCTAGGACTTCTGCCCACGCACCTGAGATGTCCAACGACGAAGAAAAAAAGCACAGCCTGCCAGGAGGCCTTCCGTCATGACGAGCTTTGTGCCATGTGTCTATGGGGCCTGGCACATGGCTTCTTGAATTCATACGGAGCCTTAGGGGGGTAGGGGGAGAGTGGTACGGGAATTAAATAGGCCTCACTAAGTCCTTATTATAGGTCTTAAGGCCCCCTACCCGCCTAACCCAGCATCTCCGGTTCAGCTTTGCTGCGACTACCAGAGTGCAATGGTATCATGAACCCATACCCCGATTTCCTAATCCTAGCTACGGAGCAGCATTGTGCAGACCGCGTGCGGACCTGTTCTCGTTGCCAAAAGGTCTGGGGTGCGTACACGAGGTAAGAAGAAGCACATGCCGCGAGCCCTCAAACTTTATGATCCCCAAAGCCTTGCGAGACAACAGTAGTAGTAGTAGTAGTAGTAGTAGTAGTAGTAGTAGTAGTAGTAGTAGTAGTAGTAGTAGTAGTAGTAGCAGCGGGAGTAGTAGTCTTCTCAACCCCGCGACCCTAAACTCCCCTACACCTAATCAGTAAAATTGATAAGCCCTAGCACCCGGGAGCCCTAGAACCTAAAGCCACAAACCCCAGATGCCACTGAGCCCTCGGCCCAAAGCCAAAACCCAGCCTCTGTGCGAACCCGAACTGCAAAAGTCTTATAACCCTGATCCCCCAAACTCTCTACGCCCTAAACTTATGTTATAGCCCCTAAACCCTAGACCCACCCCTTCCAGGACCCCCCAAGTACCCTTTAATAAAGGCCTTCATGGTCCTTAATAATAGTGGGTATTTAGGGTGTATTAAAGGGTAGTTGGGGGGTCCAACCTTTGGAGTTTCTGAACCTAAACCCTAAACCCTAACCCCTAAACCCCTAAACCCTAAACCCTTGAGCGTGAGGTTTCGGTCCCACCCTGAATGCGCCGGTGAAGTCCGCTGAGGAGATGGAGTCTGGCTTGGCAGCCGCGAGGTCGATGTCTTCTACGGGGGAGGGTTTAGGGTTTGCGGTTTAGGGGTCACTTGGTAACTGATTATTTTCAGGACTTATAAGTACCATAACCCCAATTAGGGTTCCTTGTAGGGTACTTATAAGTCTACTTACTACCTACTTACTAAGTCCCCCGACCCTCCAAGGGGGAGGGATGTGGGATCATGAACGGTTTAGGATCTGGGGGGTTTAGGGTGTCTTTGACATTTGAAGGTCGTCCTGCAATACTAGTTTACCGCTGTTCTGAAAAGGACTTTAATCAGGAACTACATAATGTATAGGGCCTTAGTAGTTATAATAGGGTTTTGGGGGTGCCTTGGGCGGGGTTGGCATTTGTAGGACTAGCTTTATGCTATTTAAGTTGACTGCTGCCCCGTAGGGTGAGTCACGGTCTTTGGGTCGAACTCACGAGGGGGAAGATGCCATATGTTGCCGCGGGTTTAGGTTTTTGGGCTTCTATTTGTAGCACCAGCAGAACTCCAGCAAAGTCAGGGTTAGGGCTCATGGGGTTTATCCGGTATTACGGTTTCGGATACGATGCATGCAGCAAGACTCTGGCAGTCGCTCAAGAACATTGCCCAGAACCTATAATGCTCCAGAGCCAGCCCAAAGATGTTCATAAGATCCTTTAAGCCCTGAACGCCTACAGACCCTAAACCGTCAGGCAAGCTCTGCACCTGTTGAACCTGCACGAACTCAACTACACTGCCAAGGAGGATTCTGAAGGGTATTGGCCATGGTGTTCTGCACACGACCCCCGTTGGTTGCTTCGGCTGGGTTTAGGATTCAGGGTTCGGGCTTAGGGGCATTTTGGGAGATATCTAACATAGGGGCCTAAATAATCTCCTAAACTATTGCGGAGGGTTCCTTATTATAAGTATATTATAATGGGCCCCAACAACCTATGCTATTCACCTTGTCTAGTTATTAAGGCCCCTATACTAGCTGCTCTCTGCTTCGCAGGAGGTTCTCATTCAGTCCATGGTCGCGCGATACCCGGACCCTCCGTCCGGCAACATCACGCTGCAGATGGCAAGTAACAGGAAGTATGCCTCTTTGCTGGGCAAACTGAGACAGGAGGAAAGCGTGCAAGCTGACGCCGATCTCAAAGTCTTCCAGGCGGAAGCTCTGATGATACTGCTCTGCACACCAGATCAATGGCACTTCTATGAGTCAAGAGGAGACAGTGCACCTGCTGTAGCCCGGGCAGAGACTCTGGAGAGCACTAAGCTTCTTCAGGAAGCCCTGACAGCAACAAATCAGACACATCCGTATGCGCAGCATATGTTGTGCCTGGGGCTTCGGTCTGGCAGCTTTTCTTTTCCGTGCTCCTTGTTCGAAATGTCACCTGATTGTCAACACACAGTTCATACCTGCAAGCTTGCTCTGCTAAGGATACATAGCACAGAGATGTCCAACAACGACGTCCGCACAGCTCTCCAAGCAGCCCATGACCTTCTGGCAAACACTGCAAAATTGCAGGATCAGCACCTGCAGCACATGACCAGCCACACCTACCTCCGCGCTGGCTACTACCACAAGGCCCTGATGAGCAACATCGTGGCCGTTGGCTGCTCGTCCTGCATGGCATGAAATAGCACCACTGTCACCTAGACTCTTGATGCCGTTCTTGCGGCCAGAATTTCTGCAACTCTTCCGTTGTTGCCTCAGTCATGCCCTCGCAGACCGCGAACATGTACGAAGAGTTTAGGAGAGTATCAATCTAAGACGAAACAACAGAAACCCTTCATCAACCCCAACCCCCAAGTTCCTCCGACTCGACCTCAACCCTGAACCCCAAAGATCATAGGGCCTAATATTGAGGTACCGACTCGACCTACTTCAAGAACCACTGGATGCCATATGGTCCCGGTCACAACTCTGCCTTCCTCGTCGCTTGCGCCCTCTGGGCTGGTGACCGAGCTGCGGCTTACAAGTACGTCAAGGCCGGTTTTTTGGATTAATTTAGGGTTTAGGGTTAAATTAAGTTGTAAGGGTTTAGGGTGAATTTGTGGTTCAGGGGTAGTTTGGGGTTTAAGGTTTTGGTTTAAATGTAGTGTTCAGGGTTAAATCAGGGTTTAGGGTTAAGGTTTTGCCCAGGAAGGAGTCCACGTCATGGTGCTGCCAAAGCACCTTCTGCTACCAATACATCTAGTTGTATAGTTGTATTTTATGTGTATATGTATATACAAAAATAGTAATAATACGAATAATAGTAGTAGTAGTAGTAGTAGTAGTAGTAGTAGTAGTAGTAGTAGTAGTAGTAGTAGTAGTAGTAGTAGTAGTAGTAGTAGTAGTAGTAGTAGTAGTAGTAGTAGTAGTAGTATAGTAGCAGTAGTAGTAGTAATAATAACAATAATAGTAGTACTCCTATCTACAACTCATCTAAGCTGGATGCCAAACTATCTGTCCCACCGTAGGCCAAAGCGAACCCGCAGCTTGGAGAACCCCCCCGAAGCTTCCAGTTGCATGGATGATCGATGTGATTGGCAAATTCTGCATAGAGAAACTTTCCGTTAAACGGTATTCGCACTGTCGGGCTATCGTATCCACAGCCAGAAACCCGTGAATATTTCGGGCCATTGTCTACCTCTTGTCCTTAATCCTAAACCTACCTATAGTCTCCATTGTAGTTCCTTTTTGGGGGTTACCTTACAGGATTCTAAATATGTATTTGGTTATATATACCAAATAGAAGGCCTTACAATGGAGACTATAGGTAGCTTCTCTGAGGGGCCGAGAGTCTTGAGGAGCTGTGGGCTCCAGATCTAAACCCTGAACCCTAAACCCCTAAACTTTGGATACGGCCGCCACTCAGTAACAGTTGGGTAATATTCATAATAATATAGATATGTTAAGACCGTAATAGTAGCCCTATTATAGACTCTTACTGTATGGGGGCAGTACCTAACCTAAACCTACAGTCTCACTGACTTGTATCTTTCCGTGGTCAGGTCGTCCAGCAGGTTTTCGAGCGAGTCCCGGAGCAGGCAAGAAGCTCGCACTGGGGGTCTTTATGGTCTTACGGTTTGGGGTTAAGGGTTTAGATTTGTAGGTTTGAGCGGTGTTCCGATAATTTAGATGTCATAATACCTTGTTTCAATCGCATCGGGCAGATCTTTGTACCCACGACTCCTCATCCTAAACCCTCAGTCGCGTCTGGCATTGCCCAGTTATTCCTCTGCGTTGGTCGGGGCTCACTGCTGCCACGAAGCGGTGCAGCACATGCCCTTGCTAAATGCAGCACCTCCCATGTGATGGTTTGGGGTTTACGGTCTTAGAGGGACGTCTGGCCTTCTTTCAGTCCTGTAAGCCTTACAGGCCCTTCTATCAGCCGGCACTTGTGGAATCGACCCGGTTTGCAAGCCAGGCGGACTTCCCGGATGGTAGCATGGCGTGGAACTACCCGATGATGGCCGCTTGTTCTGGTGCGAAAGCAACGGGATGCCTTTAGTCACCTAAGCCGTCGTGTAGTAGTTATGCTCTCCAGCTACTGCAGTGCAGCAAACATAATGCAACAAACTGCCCCAAGCGCAAACCTTGAACTCGACCCAATTAGGGTTTAGGGTCATTCCCCCACCCTTCCCTGAATGGCCGAGGTAGCTCTCCGCTTCGGGGATTTCGACCTCGTCGAGGGCTTGGAGAAGGCGAGTGTCAGTTCATTTCTCATGGTTTCGAGCAGCCAAGCAATGAGCTTCAACAGTTAGCGCGAGTAATTCATAGGTCTTTTGCAGCTCATGCTACTTATAAGTATAAGAGTAGGCACTAAAGGAGTTTTACAGGACCCTCTCCTAGTCATGGGCTTGGCCTCAGCTAATTCAACCGAGTAGCCTGCAGACCAATCCACAGCAAGAAATGATGTGCGCTTCCGGGAAAGGGAATGATAGGCTCCATTGTGGTTCCTTTCTGGAATTACCTTACAGAATCCTAAACATGAACCACAAAAAGGAACTACGATGGAGCCTCTAAGTACACACCGGCCTGCAGTATCTTGTGGCGGCTGTAAGATCAGGACGACAAAGTACAGTTCCCTGAATCCTTCTGCTACCTTGTTAAGGAAAGATGCGCAAATTCTGTAGAGTCGTCGGCACAGGTGAGGGCCCGAAAAGCAAATACCGCGCAGGCCATTCCAGCAGGGTTTGCCAGCAAGTGGATCTACGGAGGCCAGTCTCAACGAGGGTCGAGGGTTTGGGGGCCCGTGGCTTTTACGCACGCAGGCTGTGGGTTTAGTGGCGCAGGCCTCTTGTATTCCGCGCTTGGGCCTTGCACATTCTGCTAGTGGACCGCTGTGCGAGTTTCGGCACTTGGCTCGATAACAACTGCCAGTGATCACAATTATTCATTTGGCGCAGGTGACATAGTTTCTGCTTGGCACTGTGCTGTATCAGTGTTTGGAGGTGTGAGCTTTAGGATTCGGGCTCATTATTTTTGAGTTTGTGGGGATTGGAATTCAGGGGCAAGAATGATCCTCAGTAGTGACAGGAGTAGTAGAGCAGCACTGTTTTCAATACTGCGGATTCGAAGACCACCACTTCTACACATACTACAGCCACCACTGCAAGTCTCATCCGTGGCGAGACATCCCTACGAAAGGCCCAGATGCCCACGTGAGACGCATGCATGTTTACGGAAACCGTACAACCCTAGCCCCGATCCCAATCAATGAGTCCGTTTCCCCGAAGAGGCTTCATCTTTTGGGGTTCCTTATGTATAGTTTAGTATACCCCCAAACCCTACTCTAATTATTAAGGCCCCTACAGTACGCCTTAGCAAGGCCTTGGGGTGATGAGGTCACCACTGGAGCCCTCGAAAAACCTCAGAAAACGAGACTAACATTCCAGTCTGGTGCTTTTACGCAGCCTCAAACCCTAAAGTCAAACTTTATGTACGTGTACATACATACAGACTCATACATACATACATACATACATACATATGTATATATACACATAACAAACACATATACATATATACACATATATTTATGTATAAGCTTAGGTTGTAGCAGACGTCCATGTTCAGGCCACCTGCTGATGCACTATAGCCGTGCAGTGGCGGAGGCCGGGTCCAGCAAGTATTTACGGCTTTAAGGTTTACCTGAATGGTCGGTTTAGGGTTTAGGGTAGTGCTGTTGCTGTAACCGGGCTGCTGGACAACGAGGCCTGCTGCAAAAAAGGGTAGTTAGTACTTCTCGTGTTTCCTTCACTGCCGCGTGTGCATCCCTCGTCAAACGAGAAGGCCCTGCTGTTGAGGAGTGTTCGCTGGCACACAATCCAAAACCATGCTGAAAAGGGTAGTTAGTCGTGAACCCGAAGGGTCCATGTACTCAAGTAGTATGTACTTTGGCCCCAAAGTATATAGCTATACTTGGACTACTTTAAGGCCAAAGTGTATCTACAACTGTTGGGGCACATGGACCTTTTTAGGGTTTCGAGTGAATAGGGGGTCTCCAGTGTGTCAGGGCTTAGTGGTTTAGGGCTTTTGGAGCAGAGGGTTTTGTATGGGTTTGGTGGGAGTTCGAGAAGATGGGGTGGGCCGGCCATGGATGCGAAATCAAGTAGCATGAGTGAGAGTAAGGCTCTCGTTATAGTACGGACCCTAAATAGGGGACCCGCGATGTTCTGAAACAAGGCGAACATGATGTATAGTGTTCTGCAACGCCTAAGTAAGAGGGCAGACACAATGGAGTGATGATGAGCCTTCGGATTCAGGTAGTAACCCTTATGACCTTCTGAGTACCCCAAACTCTGCCAGCCTTGCAGGCGCACCTGGGTCGCTTGGACTCGGCGCGCGAGCACCTGACCCAGCTTCGGCCGCCTGCTTGCAGAATTTGAGCCACTGTTTTAGGGGCTAAGAGCTTCGGATATATGTGGTTTAGGGCTCAAGTTGTTTTTTGTTGTTGTGTTTTTTTTTGGGTTTTAAGGTTTAGGGTTAGAAGTTGAGGGTTTTGGAGTCCAGGGGCTTAGTGTTCAGGGCTGAAGAGGAGTCAGGGTTCAGGAGTTTACTTGGAGGGTCGGGGGACTTAGTAAGTAGGTAGTAAGTAGACTTATAAGTACCCTAAAAGGGACCCTAATTGGGGTTATGGTACTTATAAGTCCCTAAAATAACCAGATACTAAGTCCCCCGACCCTCCAAGTATAGGGTTTTCAAGTTTAGCGGTTTAGGGGTCTGATGTGTAAGGGGTGTAGGGCTCTAGGGCTTAGGAGTTCGCTGTTTAGGGTTTAAGGCATGTTGGGTTCCGAGTTCAGGTCGGTAGGGGTTTAGGGGTTTAGGGTTTAGGGAGTATTTTAGGAGTTTAGGTTTCAGGGCTTTTGCACAGAGTCGGGTGAACACGAAAGGCCGCGATGCAAGGATCTAGCTAGCCCCAAGCCCAGTGGTAAAAAGGGCTTTAAGGTTTAGAGTTAGAGTTTACCGTTCAAGGGTTGCGCGGGGCTACAAGCATACGGTTCAGGGCGCAGTGCATGGTGTCTTGCTGAGTTTCGTATTCAGGCTCAGAGATGTGCATTGTGTAGGGCTCCGGGTGTGGAGCGGGTGTGAGCTGCATGGGTAAATTCCTATGCTGGTTTATTTATAGGTGGGCTCGAGTTCACTCATCCCGCAATTTCTCATTCGTTGTCCTATTACAATGAATGCTTCCAAGCCGCAATCAGAATGAGTTGTCCCATTGTTGCAGGTATTGCGATACTGTTTGCTACTTCATTGCACCGTTCCCTTGCACGATGTTCTTTTATGTTCGCCACCCCCGTTGAAATTCCTACTTAATTATTATAAAATGTAGCAAACGCTTGTTTTTGCCTGGCTACGGCTCTTGCGTGTTTGTCCTAGTGCTTGCTAGTTTCTTCCTTAATTGTTGCTACTTTCGCAACTTTGAGTGTCTCTTCTTGGCAGGCTAAGTAGATTGTTGTGCACCCAACCGACCATTTTGCCTGCCAGCATTGCTGCTACTGTTGCAACGGGTATAGTCGTATGACTTAATCGGTGGTACTTAGTTTCCTGCCGTTCTGACGGGGGCCATGGTCAGCGGTGCACTGTTCCCATCCCAGGCGTATCTTCAAGCATTCCTTTCTGCCTCATAGCCAAAGATACTAGCCCTCCCTTGCGGGTCAGACCCCAACATGTTTAGGCTTTATGTTTAGGTTTGTATTTTCAACACACAAGGTTCTACTTTCCAAACCGACTGGGGTAGGACATACTAGGTTCCTGAGTAATACACTTTTGCCTTTTTTATTATAGGGTCCCCTTGCTAAAACCGAATAGTAGGAAAAAGGTACCCTTAGAGTCTAAAGGGGCTACCCAGAAACCCTAAACCCTTATAGTACCGTTCGGTTTTCAAACACCCGCAAAGGCTGCTCATGCCAACGATCATGGCGCAAAATGCACAGAGCCTCGGCGCGCAGCTGGCCAAACGGTTTAGGATTTCAAGGCTTGGTCTTGAGGTTTAGGGATTAGGGTATAGGGTTTCGGGTAGGGTTTATGCGTCGGGTTCGGGTTGCAGGGCTTATATATAAGGTTTAGGCATGAAGTTTTCAAAGGATGCGGCTCAGGTGTAGCGAGTGAAGAGGCTGAGGGTGTCAGGTGCTTCGTACAAAACGGGTATCGGATCATTTTAGGAGTTGGGGTTTAGGGTTTGGGGTCGGTGTAGGGTTTAGGGCTCCTCTTTTTACGGCTTCTATATATGTCGGTAGTCCATCACTTAGGCTTCCAGATCTCGGTATTCTTTGCTGCCGCGGAGGCTGTCGAGACTTTGTCCTGTGAAACTGTAAGGATTTAGCCATGGTCATAGCTGCCAGGGCAAATGAATCCGCGGCTCCAGCACAAGCATCACACAAACAAGAATCACCAATCATGCCTAAAGCTTTCCCTCAGGCAGGCATGGAACAGCGACTCTAACAAATCAAGCCAGGGCTCGCTGCGGCTATGGCTGGGCTTCATAACAGCCTCAACATCCTGCTTAAGGCTTCTGGCTTCAACTGGCGTCTTAACGCATGTGACGTCGGGCTCAGTCTGGTTCCATCCGCAACTAGACCCGGAAGCTTTGTTGACAGCCTTAGGTATGGCAACCTTTCGAATATTGCAAACGACACCGCTTCGGCAGTTCTGGCATCTTGCCTTGATGACGGGACCTCCGGGCTTAAGCTGTGAGGAAGTGCCGTCAAGAGGGCCGGCAGGTAGTGCAGTGCAGCATGTCGGGGTCAAGTCATCGGAGGTTTGGGCAGGGATTGCGAGTTCCGGGCACATCCCCCACCGCTGCGCAATTGGTTTTCTTGGAGCCAGCATGCTACAAGTTAATGTTTGGTGTCGCCTTCGGGTACGAAGCTCGCGCGGTTCTAGCAGCACCTGGGTTCTACTTCCGAAGCTACCAGCAATAAGCACTAGAATCACTAGAAGCTAAAGCCAGAGAGGCTTGCATCCTTCGGAGCACCAGTGTGCTCCCTGCACTGCGCGTCAGTCAGCCAGGCTTGAGGCGGCTTGCGGCGACGAAAACTCAACTTCTGAAGCCTGAAATGAAACCCTTCAGACAGTGTCGGAATGCTCCAGGCGATGGCTGAAGGCCAGACCGAGACGGCGTTGAATGCCTTGGCACCTGGGCCGCCGAATCTTCAATGTTTGGGTCCACTGCTCCGAAGCCACCTCCTTTGGCGTATTTCTAAGTGTAGTGCTGGATGGATCGCGGCTGCACTGATCTCTCCTACCTTCGCAGCCTTCCGAAAGCGTCATTGGGGCGTACAGTTGGAGTTCAGGCTCCCGACACCCCGCACTTGTTTTCACCACGACCCGCATGCTGTCTCTGAAGGGGTATGTTCAGCAAGACGCTGGTGGTTCCTCGCAGGGTGCACCATCCCGATCAGAAACGGGAACAGCCCGCTTAGACGACGAATTGACCCGTCCCCCGCGTGCCTGCTAGCCGTCTCATTCACGCTCACCTGGGTCAAAGCCACAGGCCCTCGAAGTTGTGATGGCCGACACCCGTAGTGCTGCATCCCTCAGTATCGTTGTAAGGCCTGGTGGTTAGGATTTCTGACGATTTTGAAGACCTAAAGCTTTCACTTGCCCCGCCTCAGGGGTTACAGTTCAGGCTGGCTTGTCGAGCAGCGTAAGGTTCCGGGGTGACGACAGCAAGCCCAAGCAAGAACGAAGCAACGGTTCTTGCAAGTCCCGGAAACGACATGGCTTGTCTCTGCAAACCCTGCTCCTAAAGCACTAAAGCACGAAATCATACAGTCATACAGTTCTTGCAAGTCCTGTGAGGCCTACAATCGACCAATAGCAGTAGCAGTAAGTGGTATTATCCACACAAGCCCTGCTGAGCGCACACCATAGCGAGCTTAAAGGGCCAAATCGCCTTAGGCACATGCGGTGGAGGTAGAGATGGCGATGCCGCACCTTGGCTTTTGCTAAGAAGCACCAGTTGGTAAGGGTAGTGTAGAGGTTTTAGAAGATTTGTTGCTCACTGTAACTGTGCTTTATATTGCTGTCGGGTTTGTTGGGATTGCCCTGTACCTGGACCCCCCATCTGCCAGCTAACATCCCCTAAATACCCCTTATGAAGGACCAAGAGGACTCTATAGGGGGTCCTGGTAGATAGTTTCATAGTTTCTGCTCAGCAAGCAAAGGTCTCCGTCTGTCAGGTTCTAGAGCTTCCAGTCATCCCAAACTGAGGTCGTTCCTCGTATCCTGTTCGAGCTTAGCCCAAGTCCACGACAGACCTCGACGCTCTTTGTTCTGACAGCTCCCTCACCCTCACTCTTTTTCTCTGACCCTGTCAGCTTCAATTGGGCAATCACGGTTTCACTATTCCTGCAGATGTCACTGCGTCCGGACAGTGAAGTCAGCTAGTGTTTCCAGCCCCATCCTACACCGTCGTTTTAACCATGCTGGCGAGGTACAGTTTGCCTCCCAACTGGCTGCTGCCCACACGAGAGTGCTACGGCCACGCTTTGCCTGCGGCCCAGAGTGGGGTTGGGGATTCCGGGCATAGGACCTGAAATCTGTAATTGATAGCCTGGTTTTCAAGGGTCCTAAAGTCCTAGGACTCGTTGGGGTTGATGCTTACACGAACTGAGGTTATAGGGATACTTGTGCAACTCAGAGTAGCCTTCGGGTGCATGTAGCCAAGGTGGGCAGCCCAAAGGGGCGACTGCTCCTCGAGTATTATTTATTGTAGATTATGGGCTACATATATCACAGATTATAGGTTGCATAATGTCATGTTCTGTTACCTACATTCTGCTGTATTTTCCGAGGTTCAACCAGTCTTTTGTTGTGCTGTGATGACAGGCTTTCACTTCACTTTCAGGCCTCGCCGGACTAGATCTGAAGGTTTATAGTTCAGGTTTTAGGTCCCTGTAACCGGGCTGCTGGACAACGAGGCCTGCTGCAAAAGGTCTGCGAGGTTGTCCGATCTCCGGCGGGAACATAGAAAGCCCCCAGTGGTGAACGACGCGCATGGTGCATGCGATTGTGTGTGATACTTCGCGACGAGATTCGTAAACATAGCCGCAAAGTCAACTCGAGAACTGTTCTAAGTCAGTGACTTCGTTCTGTGTCTGGCCTTGTTCAGAGAACAGGTGCGACACGTCCAGGCGGGATTCACACAAGCCTGCGCAAAAGGCTTGCGTAGTTCAGAGACGTCGTGCAGAAGACTTGGAGGCAAGTCAGAGAGACCTTGTTCACACAGGTCTGCCTAATCGGGCTCGGTAAAGTCCAAGAGGAAGCAGAGCGGCACTAATGTTTCAGACTGTACAGGGGACGGCGAAAGGTTGCTGTATAGACAGTCCCTGAACTCAACCTGTTAACAACATCTAGCTTTGTTTTCGCCAGTTGAACTATCAGCAATGACTTCTTTGAGTTGGAAGGCAGCATTGGGACCATCCTGTACGTACTGCTTTGGCTAATCCTGAACCCCAGAGAACCCCGCATATAGACGGTACCCGTATGACCGGAACTTTGTCCTATCCCGACCTTTGCCTGACCTGCTCAGGCTTGTCGCGGGGAGAGCGACTGAGGCAGAGAAAGCAGCGCGTCTGAAGTGGCGAAGGGTTTCGGTTTAATGTCTATAGGTTCTGTAGGGTTTAGGGTCTAGGTTTATGGGCCAGAATAAGCTTCTAGGGATGGTTAGCTTTAGGAGCCAAAGTAAGGGCTGCCGATCTACAAAAGATTTGAAAGGTTTTAGGCCGGCCACCGGTATTGCCTCTTCTTCTCGCAATTTGTTTCAAGCGTGAGCGCGCACGTTTGCCACGTTTGACTTTGACACGAGAGCCCTTTGGATGAGTATTTCCGGCCAATGATAGAGCCTCTGCAAGCCTTCAGAACAAGGGTTAGCATTTCGAAACCTCTCTTGCATGTGCCAAAGCTTTGAGGGTGTGGACCCAAAGTTCTTGGCTAAACGGTCCTATGCTGCGGTTTATAGGGTTGATACGGTGTAGGGATTTTACTCTGAATCTCCAGGGAAAATCGTGAACACACCCCCCGACTCCAGAATGCCCCTAAGCCTCGCGGTCACTCTGTATTTAAACTTTACCACCATTCTTAAAGTCTTGAACCCCCCGTGAGCACAGGCACGAAACCCACCATTCTTAATCTTCTTTGCGGGCATGCGAACGCCGCGTCGTGGGGCACAGGCACGCCCCAGCCAGGGCAGGTCAGGCCAGGCCGGGCTAGTCACAAGCAGTGTTCCCTTCATCCTTTGTGATGTTTAGTTGATGCTCTTCAAACCCTCTATCGCAGGCAGTGTCTCCCTTGCTGAAATGAAGTGAATGTGAAACCTACGGATGGTGGCCTGGTTTATGCATGTACTTTGACAGACTGGCCGGAAAGACGGTTACGTCGCTGATGCCATGAGAGCGTTGTATCTTTCTTGATGTGATGGGATTCTTTGTGAGGGTGTTTTTCCTTGGCGGTCTCCTACTCTTGGTCGAGCTACTTATTACAGTTTTCAGTGCTGAAACCCCAAGCACCAAGCCCTCACCGTCCCTAACAGTGAACCCAAGGTATTCCGGGCCGCACTGCACGGCCAGTCCTTCCACGCCGAGCCTCATTGTGGCTGGGCGCTGCTGGGCCTCCGAAGGAGTGTCTCGGCTGAACACAACATTGGGGAAAGTTTAAGGCTGGGTTTTAATGGAGTTAGTGTTTGTGGACGGTCTGGGGTCATTTAGGCATGTTTAGGCTATATAGAGATGAGCGTGCAGGTTTTATAGTTTCAAGAAGAAGTTCATGGATGTTTGGCGGGCTTACAGGATGACCAGGTGTAAGTATACCCAATAACAAGCAGACCTTGGACCCTGGGCACCGTTGGGAGAAACAGCCCCAGTCCAGAGCAAACAAAGGTTCTGACCGGCTCACCAAACATAGAGCAGGCCTCTCAGCAGCTTGTAAGTACCAAGCACGACAAGGTACTAGTCGTCGTCCTTGTGGTCGTCGTATTGGCCGTCGTACTAGCACCATTGCTAGGAGTACTTTGATGGATCCTAGCCATAGAGCCATAGAGCAACTTGTCCGTAAAATGGTGCTGCAATCCATGGGTCCAGGTAGCACCTGCAGGAACGACACCAGCCCAAATTGCAAACCGTAAACCCTCAATCCCGACAAGCCTCAACCTTACGACCCTAACCCTCCAGCCCTAAATCCTACAACCCGGTAGAGAAAGGGCCCACATACGACAATTCGTCCCCCTGAGTCTGCTGGCCGAGGCCTTCAAGCCCAGGGTGGGCACGAGGATGAGATCAAGGACCCAGACTCCGGGGACCCCTAGCCTATAATGGGCTATATGATGGGTATATAATAGCTATATTAAGGGTATATACCTAGGTGTCCTTATTAAGGGTCCCTCCTGTTACCCTTAGAATCAACATTTTTACTTGACGCGTAAATGCCCGGTATTCGAGACCATCTACCCCCTACATTTGAGGGCACAAGGAGGGACCTGCGCGCAGGGAACCTTCCCACTTGGATTTGGCTTAGGGCTTTCAGGTATAAGGTTGGGGGATCGGGGTCTTTAGTCGACGTACAGTTACTTGAACTTATTAAGTTATAAGGCTTCAGGGTTTAGGGAACATCTCGTGGCAAATAAGCTTAGTGTTTGAGCTGCAGAGTCTGTAAGATGTTCCTGCGATGTTACATCAAGCGTCGCCTGCATCTAGGGTATCCATAGGTCTCGTAATGCTTTTACCACCAGGATTGCTCGCGTTTGATTTTTGTTTAGCTACCTAGGTTAGGCTACCGGGTAAGGGGAGGATGGTCAACTCTGTTAGTGGGATGTTAGGGTTCCGCTGCGTTACCGCCGCGGCGGCCGCGTTGTTAGTATGATCTTTTTTGCGCGTCGTTTGCGCGATCTCTCCAAACCCTACAAAATCGATCTGCCCTTAGTCCCCCTAGGCTAATTGATTCTATAGGGTTTATAGTACCCAACAGGGCTCTAGGGTACTGGACAAGCACCCGAACCCTCAACCCTAAACCCTTTAAGCCCCAAACCCCTAAGCCCTCAACCCTAAACCCCCAAATCCCTAAGCCCCAACCCCTTAACCCTAAACCCTAAACCCCTGCTACTATGACTCACCCCTGTAGATCCAGGCCTTGCGACGCGAGATCCAGGCGGTTTGGAAATGGTCGGATGTGCCATTGAGGAGCTACGTCCTTGGTTTTGTGTTTTGGTGCATTTCGGAAAACGAGGTTGTAGCATTTCGAACTTCAGGTTCGTGTTGCGGGGACCATAGTACACCTCAACCTCGAACTCCGAGCAGCATAAAGTGTACATTCGCGCTCAAGAGGCAAATCTTCGTGATTGAGTTTAATTAGGACTCATGACTTTCGGTGTGAGAACTTGCAGGGTTTAGGGGACCTAGAGTGCTTGAGAACCGGAGTTGGGCGAGTATTTGGGTTGCATGTTTCGACGGCCGTCGGACGATGTTGTTAGCCTTGGCACCGCAGCATGGTGAAGGTGAAGGTGTCGGTCATCTCAGCACCGAAAAAGCACTAAATGCCCAATGTATTCTCAGCCGGACTTGGGTGTTTGCTTTACGGTGCCTGAATGGTTTCGAGCAACTTGGGGATGTGCATAGTACCTGTCTTTATCCCTGAAACCTGTACCCTAAAGCCGTGTGCTCTAAACCCCCTTGCAACCGTGATAGACCCTTAGAAAGCCTAGCAAGACCTGATACTACCCATATACTGCCACGGGAGGTTTTGCAGGGTTCAGGTTTCAGTTCTATGCAGACTTTGTCCCTGAAGTTGACACACCTACAACCCCGAGGCACATAAATTAGGGGCCCTAATATTTTGAGAGTATGGTTTTGGGGAATTTTATACTATAGAACCACAATTGCGAACCCCCCAGCCCACTGAGCAGTCCTGAAGCCTTCTAAACCCTGCAGAGACCAAGCAGGACTCCCTGCGCACAGATGGACATTGGTCCGCTGAAGTCTTTGCCCATACTGCTCTGAATGGGTTTCCGGTTTAGATGTCCATGTTCTAGTGGTGTTTTCAGTTTGCAAGTTTAGGGCTCAGAGTTTTAGGGTTCTAGGACCCAGAGTAGGCCCTTATTCCCTTTTTTAGGGTTCAGGTTCCCTTATAAGCCCCTTTAAACCAAAAAAGGCATCCTTTTTGTGCCTGGGTTACTCTTGGGTCTAGGGTTTGTCATTTAAGGTTTCGAGTTTAACATTCAGGTTTCGTTTGCCATGGGAGCTGGCGTCTGGAGCTTTCCTGTAGGGATTCAGAGCTCACTGCATGGTAGTCCCTGCTCCTAAAAAGGACTATGGCATAAGGGCTTTTAGTTACAGCTGAAGCACTGACGAACCAGTTTCTCTCGTTTCAGAGACTCCAAATCCCTTCAAGGGAGGCAAGTGAAGGAATCTCGCCAGCTAAGAGCTAGGACTACCCGGCACATGAAGCCAATCAGCCTCATGTAAACCCGGAAATGCTGAAAACCAGATAAGCTCAATAAACCCTACACGCGCGGGAGCTGCAACTTGCCTTCTGCAGAGGGTTTTTAGCCCGTAGCATCGGAAGCAATCAGGCCACATCGCTCCGTTCTAAATGTGAGATCAGAATTTTCACTCCATGGCTCGATGGTTCCTGGTCCTTCTCGACTTACATTACTTAAATCGTAAGCCCACACTGGATCCGGCCAGAACGACACATTGAGTTTTCTTGCTGGATTCCTTGCGGCCCGTGGCCATAGACAGTATGGCCGTGTGATCTCGTACATAGAGTCATAAAGCTTCAGTCATAAAGCCTTGGATGCTCGGTTGGGGTATTGAAAGGTTTAGAGTTTAGATTTCAGGGTTTGGGGTTGGGTAATTTCAGGGTAGTCTACGAGGTTTGGGGTTCGAACTTAGAGGTTTGCCATTACTACTTGGAGGTTCATGGGTAGCTGTAGGTGGGGTTATATGGGTGGTTGTCAAAATCACGGTCCCTGTTTGGAGTCCCTGTTATAATACGACACCCATCTTTTAGGGTACCCAAAAAGGGACCCTAATTTCCACAACTACCCATATGTGGAAGAATCGCAGGATGCTTGGGTTCTGAAGGTTGGAAGGACGCTGAAGTCAATGTACGCAACAGGCTACTGTGCCTGGAGTCTGGGGTCACTGTCCTAAACCCTCGCCTAACTTCGTCGAGCGTAAGTGCTAAAACAAGAACATGGTTTATAAGTGAAGTTACCCTAGTTATGACCCCATGTACAACTACTCAACTACCCATGAACCTCCAAGTATACCCAAAACCCTATGCAAGTGTCGGGTTGAAGTAAGCCTCTCCTCGTCGTCCTTTCTCATGATCTGTAGCTGAGTAGGCGACCTTTAGCCAGTTGGGGTTTATATCATCCTACCACAATTGGGGTTTTGATAATCCTACCACAGTTGGGGTTTATATAATATCCTACCACAATTGAAACGGTTAACCTTTTTGGGGCCAGGGTACTCAGCCCCTAAGCTTTTGAGGCTCACTGATAGCTTCCCTGCACAGAGTGTTGCAAGCCTCCGGCTGCATAGACAGACCGCTGATGGCTTTAAACCCGCGTCGAGACTTGCGACAGTTAAAACAAAAAGGCCGGGAGATGTTCACAAGCGCGTGCACCACATGCGTGGGTCTCATTCATTTGCTTAAAGTATTAGAGTATGTAGGTTACCTGTAACCTTTTCGAGGTACAATAATCCCTACATGATCCCAATATAAATACTCCCAACTCTTAACCTTTAGTTCCTAAACTTCTTCTTCTGGCAGCACAACTCTAGCGGCGGGGGCTTCCGCCTGCTCTTGGCGGCTGCCCAAACAGCAAGACAAACAGTTAATGTAAGGGACTTAAGAAATCAGAATAGGATTTGGGGGTATACTATGGTAAAGTACGACTGAGGAGCCCCCAAAACCCTACTCAAATTCTTAAGGCCCCTACAGTTGGGGTTTGACGTAGTTTGAGGTTTTTGGGTTCCAGGAGCTGCTGGACGACCTGAGAGCCGACGAAAACCTACTTTTGTGTAACGGTTTTAGGGTTTAGGGTTAAGGAGTTGCTGTAACCGGGCTGCTGGACAACGAGGCCTGCCGCAAAAAGGGTCAAGGAGTTCAGGGGGTAGGGTGGGGTTTAGAATACCCGGCAGTCGCAACAGGCCTGGATGCAAAAGGGTGGGCAGGCCTTTGCTTGGAGGTTCATGGGTAGGTAACAGTAGGGTTTATAAGTAGGGTACCTAGGACCTAGGAGTATAGTATAGCCCATATGTTAGGGAACTTACAACCCAACTTATCACCGCTCTGAACCCTAAATTCCTGACCCTCTGGAATCATGAGAGGAACCACCACTTATAGCTGGCGATGATCCTCCAAGTAGAGGACCTGCAACTTCGACCTTAAGTCCTGTAGAGGACCTTACCTAAGTGTATGGGCACAGCCCAGATGACTGGCTACTGGCACTTGATGAAGATCCGCAGCCTCTGCGAAAGTGGCTGCTGTTGCAGCCTGATCATTTCAGGACCCCTCGTGGCGGGGGTGGACTCCCCAAAGACTCCAATACCCCTTCATCAAGGAAGATACCTTTTAATCATATGGGAGTTTCCGAAAATAGGGGACCCTAATATGGTACCCTAAATAGTAGGATCCGTAAGGGCCCCAAAATAGGATCCTTATTATAAGAGCCCCAAACTAAGGTACCCCTAGTTTTCGGAAACTCCCATATTACGGTTGCTAACTGCTGCTATTATATCTTAGTTAAGGGGTTTTGGAGCCTCTGGGTTCCTGGGGCTACTGGAGCTTTGCGAGGTCTGCTAAGGATTCCCAGCGGTATACTCAGAGACTCCAAAACCCCTTAATTAAGGAATATTCCTTAAATTATGGTAGGATCCCTTATATGATTTAAGGTATATTCCTTAATCAAGGAATATTGGAGTCTCTGGGTACTGTACTTCTCCTCAGTGGGCTGCTGAGAGTTTGTAAGGCCTTCAGGCCTCCTCTGGCCCAGAGCAGCGTCGCAGCCCTGTCTGGAGGCTGGTTTCGTAAAGGATGGCACTTCTTTTCGTCAAAAAATATAGTGTACCGTTTAGAAGGGGCGACTCCTCGCTGCTCCAGGTGGCAATTTGGGAAGCTTGTTAATGCCCCTTCGTGGTTCCTACAGGTGTACCTGTGAAACTACAACCCAGTGCTTCAAAGTCACACGTGGGCTTGGTACGATGCCACCTTATAGTACCCCTTATAGTATCCCTTATAGTATCCTTTAAAGGAAACCGAGCCCAAAGCCCAAACCTTGCCCAATTGCCTTGGCCCTGCCGGACCTACTTGGGGGTTCATGGGTAGGTGTAAGTGGGGTTATAGGGTTCCTTTAAGGGTGCTATATAGGGTTTAGGGTTTAAGGCTTAGGGATTAGAGTAGTTATAAGTGGGGTTATATGTCCCCTAATATGGGTGATAAGTATAGTTACCCTACTTATAACCCCACTTATAACTACCCATGAACCTCCAAGTGCTTGTGTGTCGCGAGGATCGGGCATTACTTTGCAGCTCTTGTGGAGTTCTGGCTCCGTGAGTGCGCCCCTTCTGAAGATTTCAGGTGTTGCGGCTTCGTGCAACACTACGGTTGATGATATAATCCTGCATTACCCATGATAAGGAAAAGGCCATAATTCCCATAGTTTAGGGTGCTTAAGGTCATGCAGGGCTTTTATCATCAACAGTATGTGTTCAAATCTCGCCTGAAGTCTCATGGTAAGTCGTAAACTAGCCCTGGACCGTACATCTCAAGCCCTCTGATCCTTGACCCTTGAAGTACTCGCGGATATCAGCTGAGGCCCTGCTTTGCGCAGCCGCCGTGTGCTCGCGCGACAGCACGTAGACATCGCCGAGCAGCACAACCAGCTGAAGCCAGCTGACTTAGGGTTTAGGGTTTAGGGGTTTAGGGTTTAGGAAAGATCAAGAGACTTTGGCCTTTGGCGACGGGTTGGACACATCAGGTCCCCAAGTGCAGTGATTAGCCGATTCATCCTAGGCATCAGTAGGCTTCCTGTGCACTAGGAAGTTCCGGATGCGCTGCCATGCTTTAGCAAGAACACGCTCGGGATTATGCCGCATTTTTCGCATGTTTGGAGCTGCTTGCAGTTTGGGTTTCGGAGTTTAGGGCTTAGAGGTTCAGGGTTTTGAGCTGATGGGCTTCGGGGTTTTGAGTGTTCATTTTCGGGGTTTAGGGTTCAAATTACGGTGTTTAAAGGCCCGATGCAAAAAAAAGAAGTTCAAATTAAAAGCCAGGCTTTGGGCTCAGTATTCATGCGGGGTTGTGATTGCTCTTTTCCGGCGAACCCTAAACCCTAAACCCTAAACCCTAAACCCTAAACCCTAAACCGAAAGGTTTCTGGCCGACTTGGACCCGGTGGTCAAAGCACCTTGGCGTCACCTTGAAAGTCTCTTGTAGTAGAGTAGGTAACCTTTAACCAATTTTGGGCAGTAGAGTCCCTATATAATCCCTATATACCCAAAGAAGTTAGCCTTTAGTTCCCCATGATACCCGACAAGTAGGAGTCTCACTTCTCGTAAGGACCTCTTCGGACTAATATTGGTGATCATTCGGAGGCGGTTTATGGGTTAAGCGTTTATAGGGTTCAGGGCGGTATCGATGCTCGGGTGGCGGCCTCAGTCACGATGATTGCAGGTCGTGGTCCAGAAGCAATCAAGGGTTTAGGGAGGATGTTTGTCGATTCTTGTGCAGCTTCACAGCTGGACTCTAGACTGCACAGCATGTCCGAGACGTGTGCAGATGCGAGCGACGATGCAATTGTTTCCATGTTGCCTCACGCACGTACTCTGCACCTAGCTTCAGGGTCGGTGACAGCCGATGCCAAGGATGCCACCTATGTCGTCATGTGGCACGAAGGGTGGGGAAAAGTCAAGGGCGAAACGTTCGATGACTTCGACCTCGCCTGCAAGCGGTTCGAAGCCTTAGAGGGCGGACGCTTTGCTGCTATTCTGGTGGACGGCCGCTTCAGGGAGCTGCGCTACTATGGGACCCGAGGCAGGGGGATGCAATTTGGAGCTCTTGTAAGTGGACTACTGTAACTTGGTATGAGAAGCCTTCAAGCCTTCGTCGGTCGCCTTGTAGCAGAGGGGAACTTCACAAGAGTGTAACCCGCGTTAAAATGGACAGCCACTCCCGGAGTGGTGTTAACACAAGAAAGGGGACGCTGGGATGGTAGAGTGGCAGCGATTACCGGCCAGATGTGTAACTGGCTAATTAACTTGCCAATACTTTGGTCATGACATCAAAGAGTGGATAGGAGCAATCTTGACACATGACAATTCGATTGATGGATGTCGCGGACAATCACGCGCAAACGCCAATGAGGACGTCATCAGTACCAAGACCCGGACCGAAACACCAACATGATTACAAACGTTTGGCTAGGACCCTATAAGCATCAAGATAACCACAAAGGTGTTACTTGTACATTTATGAAGGCTCCAAGTCACGCCTCCGTTCTTTCGGCGCAGGTGATGTGGCGAAAGAGTTTTCCAAGTTCTGGAGCGAGAATTACCAGGCGTGAGTGGTGGCCAATGTCCACAACTATAAAGTCGCTTCACGCAACCCCTTGCCCCCTTTGTGTTCTTCACTTCAAGTGGCTACTTCATGTCACGTCCCTCCGAGACCAGAGACTCAAAACCAGGTCATGTTGGTGTCTCTTCGAAGCTTTGGTGGTAGGGTGAAGAGCAAGGAGTCTACAAAACCTAGAGACCGAGCACGAAGATACCGAAGCAGAGAACCCCGACCTCGAAGCGGACGGTTCTTTCGACTCACTTAAGGTTGTGAACTCCGGGTTTAGAATTTCAGGCTGAAGGAAGAAAGCTTCCATTACGGGTTCTTCAAGAATCCAGGGGCCCTTGTTCTAATGCATGTCCGGCCGACTTGGGATGCTGGAGCCGCGTGCCAGAAGCACAATACCCCTGTAGGCCACACCCCAAAAGCCCCAAGAGCTAAACCCTCAACTCTTGTGAACAAGCCTGAACCCCGAACTAAAACAATTAACCCTGAACAGGAAGCCCAACACCCAACAGCCTAAACCCCTAAGCCCTAAACAAGAGGCCCAACACCCAAAAGCCTAAACCATCAAAGCCCTAAGCCCTAAACAAGAAGCCCAACACCCAAAAGCCTAAACCATTAAACCCCTAAACCCTTAACAAGAAGCCCAACACCCAAAAGCCTAAACCATTAAACCCCTAAACCCTAAACAAGAAGCCCAACACCCAAAAGCCTAAACCATTAAACCCGTAAGCCCTAAACAAGAAGCCCAACACCCAAAAGCCAAAAGCATTAAACCCCTAAACCCTAAACAAGAAGCCTAACACCCAAAAGCCTAAACCATCAAACCCCTAAACCCTAAACAAGAAGCCTAACACCCAAAAGCCTAAACCATCAAACCCCTAAACCCTAAACAAGAAGCCTAACACCCAAAAGCCTAAACCATCAAACCCCTAAACCCTAAACAAGAAGCCTAACACCCAAAAGCCTAAACCATCAAACCCCTAAACCCTAAACAAGAAGCCTAACACCCAAAAGCCTAAACCATCAAACCCCTAAACCCTAAACAAGAAGCCTAACACCCAAAAGCCTAAACCCCTAAACCCTAAACAAGAAGCCTAACACCCAAAAGCCTAAACCATCAAACCCCTAAACCCTAAACAAGAAGCCTAACACCCAAAAGCCTAAACCATCAAACCCCTAAACCCTAAACAAGAAGCCTAACACCCAAAAGCCTAAACCCCTAAACCCTAAACAAGAAGCCTAACACCCAAAAGCCTAAACCATCAAACCCCTAAACCCTAAACAAGAAGCCTAACACCCAAAAGCCTAAACCCCTAAACCCCTGAACCCTAAACAAGAAGCCCAACACCCAAAAGCGTAAACCTCTAAACCCCTGAACCCTAAACAAGAAGCCTAAACACCCAAAAGCCTAAACCCCTAAATCCCTGAACCCTAAACAAGAAGCCCAAACACCCAAAAGCCTAAACCCCTAAACCCCTGAACCCTAAACAAGAAGCCCAAACACCCAAAAGCCTAAACCCCTAAATCCCTGAACCCTAAACAAGAAGCCCAAACACCCAAAAGCCTAAACCCCTAAACCCCTGAACCCTAAACAAGAAGCCCAAACACCCAAAAGCCTAAACCCCTAAACCCCTGAACCCTAAACAAGAAGCCCAAACACCCAAAAGCCTAAACCCCTAAACCCTGAACCCTAAACAAGAAGCCCAAACACCCAAAAGCCTAAACCCCTAAACCCCTGAACCCTAAACAAGAAGCCCAAACACCCAAAAGCCCTCCCCTCCGAATCCTCAGCCTTCACCTGTGAGGGTCTCGGGGCTCTTCACCTGGAGGCTGCGTTCCACCTCAGTGCCTCTGGCTCTCGATGGGAGTTTCCGAAAAATTGGGGGGTACCGTATTCTGGGGTCCTTAGAATACGGATCCTATTGTTTAGGGTATTATGTTAGGGTCCCCTATTTTTTCGCAAATTCCCTGATAGTCATAGGGATTTTGCGGCGTCCTACACTAGATTTTGTTTTGTGAAGGCTTAACAGGGCTTTCGGGCCTTCGGGGTGTACTACGATGACAAGACGGGAACTAGAAAAGCAAGGGACACGATCTTGTTACTTGTTAGTCAGAGGCACGCTACCGCTAATGTTCGCTGTTTGATGGAAACACGCACATATTTGCACATGCTTCCGTTTCTGTTGCTTGCATTCTTACACATTTAAAACCAAGTAGATTCGCACTTTCAACAGATGCCAGACGACGGAGTGGTGGCCTTCTGCCGACTTGAATTTGTCGTTGTCGGAACAAGGGTTTAGAACCAGGGATTCACTTGTAATGTTCGCCGGCCCTCAGAAGGTTAAGAAGTCATCATTCTTGGATGGGGCACTCGGCTTGAGTATGGTAGTCGTGGTCACGGCATGCTGGACCTACAAGCCGAGAACTGTTGCATCGACGAAAACAGCACGAACAGCAGGTATCGCCGGAACAACAAACTAGCAGCTAGCAACAATCTTGCCGAAAAGAAGACATGTGTTCTGCATGGTTCATGCATAGTCCGGTCAGACGAATACCAGCAGTAATGAGGGCGAACAAGAGTCTTCCCACTGTAGTAGTTGCACCCCGTGAAGACCGAACAAGCAAGTAGCAAGTCGCAGTAGCAGGAGCATCAGCAGCAGCTTTAATTGTATTACTCCTTTCCCTTCTGCCCGTAACCTCAGCCGTAGCAGTAGCACAATATGTCAAGCATGCAAATGCAAAAAGGCTAAGAGCTATTAGTTAAAGATTCCCGACAAAGCTCAGTAAAACGAACACGCTTGAACTTGTGGAACCCTCCTGAAGCAAGGCCTGGCGAGGGGGCCAAGGGAGGTCGACGTGCTGGGCTCTCGCTTCTCCGGAGGCCTAAGCGATCTCAGTGGGTAGAATCGACGCTGATGGTTTAGGGTTTATAAGTATACCTGGACCCTATGGAACCTACCTTTCCTAAAGAGGTAGGTCACGTGGGGTTAAGGTGATGCTTAAACCGACTTAAACCCTTAGTGATTGGGTCTGAGTAGCACCCCACTCCCTAAACTCTATAAACCCTAAACCCTGGCAGCTTGAGAGGTTTCGGGGTTTGATGATTTAGTGTTTGTGGTTGTCTGTTTTGTTTTTCGGGTTCAGGGGTTTTAGTTTCCAGTGCGTGTTACGGTCTGGACTTGGTGTTCAAGCACGTTTTCGTTTCAGCAGTGTTCGAAAAAGGGTTGGCCGCCATGATTTGGGCATCGATTTTCTGGGGACTCCTTTCCAGGGAGCCAAGACCAGACAAGGCTGTAGGCATGTAATACAGGGGCCTAAGTAACTACCGATACTATTTTGAGGTTTCCCTAATTTCCATAGTATCACTCTAGTACAATGGGCCCCCAAACCCTATTCTAATCATTAAGGCTCCTATGTTAGCGGGAGCTAGCTGGTTGTAGTGCCTTGCTACTCTGCCAAAACCCGATAGCCCTAAGATTGGAAATCCAAAAGCCCAGAACCCTTGTTGAGTCCGAGTTTGATAATTCAAAAACTGGCTGCACTCAAGTTTCACAATCGTAAACGTCGTAAACCCTCAACATCTGTAAACTTTGGGAAGGAGCCGTGTACAACCTCATTTTATTACCCTGTAGAATCGTAAACCTCGATATAGAGTCCCCTAGAATGCCCAAACGTAAACCCATTTGCGGGGCCCATATGCCATCTCACTGCGAACGGACCTGTCAAGCCCCATGCCGAACCCCAGAGCCTAAATAACTAAACTACACCCTTTCAAACCCTATGAAACCTAGAAGATATCGGAACCCCTTAAATTCCCAAAACCCATAATCAGGTCCTAAACCCTACGTAAGTCCCTAAACTAGAATCCTGTAGAAGCCTCCAGAGCCCCACAGGTTTCTTACATGAGTCGCTGTGCTGGCGGATCTTAGAGGCAAGTGCATCAGCTGCATCTGCGGAGTCTTGGGGTCGTTCACTTGCGGGGGTTTCATGGGGCTTAGTAAGTCAGGGCCTAGGTAATATGAGTGCCTTAATTGGGGGCGTGAGGACTTGTAACTATAGTCACCTTATTTACATTATGCCTCACTAAGACCCACGATCCTTCATGTAGGGTTTACGGTTGTCTGCGGTGAGTTATGGCTTAGGGCTTTTACAGGGTCTTTCTGCGGGATCGTAGGGTTTGATACGGCTCAGTTTGAGCTTCTAGGTCTCAGGGTTATTGAGGCTTGAGCTGTTTTCTAAACCTTTCGAGTGTAGTAATTTACAAGGTTTAGGGTTGAGGAGGTCTGGACTTCATACTATTTCGGGACTTTGGCTTTCAGTGTACCGTCACGATTTTAGCATGCAGACCTCCAGGTTAAGAGCTAAACTGGGGAGAGCATGATGTCCAAGTAGATTGTCCGCACAGTGAGGCATTGTCATGTTAAAGTGGCTTTAGGGTTTACCCATAGGCTCCATAGTAGTTCCTTTTTGGGATTACCTTATGGGATTCTAAATATGAACCTCAAACAGGGACTACTATGGAGCCTCTAGGTAGAGCTCAGCCATGCAGCCTGGACAAGCACCCTAAAAGTTGGATTGCGGCTCGAAGTTGAAATTTGTTCGCTTCGTGTCTGACAGCCGTAGGGAGCGGATCAGGCTTTTCTGTCCCTTTGTGCGAGATATGCTGAGCCTAAGCTAAGCCTTAAGCCTTAAGCTAAATCCTGAACCCCAAGCCTCACCCTGAAAGCCCAGCCCCAATGCCAGAAAGCGCAGATACACACAAAATCCTAATTAAACCCCGAATCCCCGAAACCCAACCGCTAAACGCCACCGCCAACTAGAGCACGATGGAACCCTTGAGGAACCCCGAAAGGAACCCCAGACCTTCCAAACTGCGTTATAATTACAAGGACTATCTATACTTTAAATCATACTAGGGATCCTACTATAATTTAAGGTGTTTCCTTAGAGATTTTGGAAGGTCTGGATAAAAAGGGCCGACGTGCTGAGGAATACGCGTCCGCTTGGCTCGTCGGCCGGAGGTGGTCCAGGAGCTCCAAGACATGCTCCCCGACCGGATCTTTTGGGGTTTAAGGGTCTAGGGTTGACGAGGGATTGAGGGATCAGGGTTGAGGGTTTTAGGGTTGAGGGTTTAAGGAATAGGGTTGAGGGATCAGGGTTTTAATTAGGGCCCCTGGAGTTGGGGACCTAATCAACATGGCCTATCTTGCAACGCAAACCCTGTCTCAACCTTACCTTTGGTTAGCAGGGGTACAATTACAACTACTATTGCTACCATTCTTCCATTCCCTACTAACCAAAGGTAAGCAACGTGTCACGCTTCGAGGCCCACCATGGTGGGTTTACGCTTTCCTATGTGACCCACTGACATTCTATCAAACACGAAACATCACGAACAAAATGACAAAACAACAAGGACTGCAATTTCCACTGCAAGCCATTGAACCCTAGCCCCTACACTCAAAACCCTAACTCCCAAACCCTAAACCCTGAACCCTAAATTCTAACCCCTGTAAAAACCCTAAACCCTAACCCCTAAACCCTGAACCCTAAACCCCAAACCCTAACCCCTGTGTAACCCCTAAACCCTAATCCCCGAGGCTCGGTGCCAGTCCTTCGTCGCGCTTCCTCTTGCGCGGCTGTATTTTCTACGAGGTTCGCCAGTGCGCCTACCACTTGGAAGTTCATGGGTAGTTACAAGTGGGTTATAGGGTTACTTTAAGGGTTCGATAGGGTTTCGGGTTTAATTTTTAGGGTTCATGGGTAGTTCTAACTGGGTTTTAAGTGGGGTAACTATACTTATAACCCATGCTAGGGGACTTAGAACCCCACTTATAACTACACTTGAACCTCCAAGCTGGGGTGAAGATTTTAGTGCGCAGACCTGCCTAATATAGGGGCCATTACACGTAGGGGCCTTAGCAATTATAGTTGGTCAATACTGCATGCTAAAATCCTTAGAGATTATATAGTATGGTGATAGTGTAGTATACTTATCCACAAAACCCTGTGCTGATTGTCTCAAGGTCATACAAACTATGATTCTAGCGTCGAGCGGACCTCAGTCAGTGATGTGCACCCGAAAACCCTGCAGCCCCAAGCCGGCACCGGAATCCTACAGAACCCCAAATCGCGCTGAGACGACCTTGCCCCAATCAAGCCCAGCAGCCACACCGAAACTTAGCACGAAGCTGCAGATCCCAAAACCCTAAGCACTACCTGGAGCCTATAAAAGCCCGCTTTTTTAAGGTTATTCATTTGCATAGGTCTCTAAAACGATCGATTATTCGAACTTTTTTTGGAGGTAAGGCGTAAATCCAAAAGCTGTGGGCGCCGAACCCCCAGAAAGCGGTGCAGGACGAGCTTGTTCTACGCCACCGCAGTGCAGATGCGACGGCACTGCCGGGCACCCTCGACGAAGAGCCGAGCAACCTCCGTGGCACAAAGGAACGTTCAAACACAGAGGCCCTTGGTTAGTCCCGCTTCTTATGAGGCGATTGTCCTGCTATTTCGAGACAGAAGCTGAGTAGCTCTAGATGAGTGTGGTCACACTGTTGAGATTGCTGTTCCCCGGTTTCTGTTTGAGGAATCTGGAGCACTCAGTAGCCGATGGGACGTATGCAGAGGCCCCCTATCAACTTGAGCAGTTGCAGGCTGTGTCGTTTATTGGTCTACGGGTCTGGGAGGCTGCAGCTGATGTCCCGGTACTTGGAGGTTCTGGTGTGGTTGTAAGTGGGTTATAAGTCCCCGAATATGGCCCATTTGGAGGATCACGGGACGTAGTAGGTAGCGCTTAGACCTGTCGCTTGGTTCCGCGTCTGCTTTGCTAGTTGCGAGTCGAAACCTGGAATTGCTTTCCTCGTTTGCTGACCCAAAGGGCTTGAGTCCTAAGTATCTACTTAGTAGCTGAGTAGGTGACCTTGAACCTTTAGGGGTTTATAACCCTGGACCATAATTGAAAAGGTTAACCTTCTTGAGCCCCTAAGCTAATAGTAACATGGGGGATACATGCCCAAACCAGAATCGTACATGTAACTCCTACAAGGGGAAGCCAGGTCATCTCTGTCGGTAGGTAGCAAGTTAGGATCCTTTTAGTGACTCCTAAACCCTAAACCCGAACCGCTAGCTCAAAACTCTAAGCCCTAACCTCTAGACCCTAAACCCTTAAACCCCAAACCCTAGCAGGCAAACGATCCAAAATCCTATTCCCGAGGCATCCTCAGCCTCAACGGGCCAGCTGGATGGTGGACGTACTCGCCTGCCAAGCTCCTGGAAGCTCCGGGAGCAAAGGAGGGGAGTTCAGGGTCTTGGGGCTTGGTAGGTATAAGGTTTAGGGGTTTCCAAAGTGTAGGGTTCCCAAACCCTATACCCTAAACCCTTGAACCGCATACATTGCGCTCCAGAGACTTGAGGTTTGGGGCCAAGGGCAGGGGTTGACTGGGGCCTGAACAGGCAGTTTCTTGTCCGTGAACCCCGATACTAAACGATCTCAGGCTTGAAATCCGCTCCGACATCCCCCCTTATCATCAGAGAAACACAACCCTTCCAACGTCTCCAGGCAGATTCAATCATGTAGATGCGAAAGAAAGTCAAGGCAGTCCCAGATGTGGGCCCTTGGGCTTTTTCTGTGTCTTTGCAGCGAAGAGCAGATGTTTCGAAAAGGCCTTGCCGTCTAGAGCCATGGATTTGGTTTGTTGCGCGGAGTTTGGGTTTGTGTTGGCAGTGTTGTTTTTGCGTTTGCTTCGATAATTGAAACATTTCGCCTAGGGATTGTGTTGGAGTCTTGCAGGATTCCCGGTGGGCGCTGCTGCATCACAAGCGTCCCTCGCCTGCAGGTTTCATTCTGAGCTCGTGGGAGTGTCAAGAAGAGCGGTTGCGGTGTGTTACGTCGCACAACGTGCATGACAGTGTGCGTACAGTAACACACAGCGCGTGGAGTCTTCGGCAGCAGGACGGGTCATCGCGACCCTGAGCCCAAATCCATCGCAGATAATCGGCAGTTACCGATAGGCCCCATGGTAGTTCCTGTTTGGGATTACCTTATAGGATTCTATATACGAATCCCAAAAAGGAACTACTTTGGGGCCTTTGGGTAATGCCACCACCAACATCTAGGCATCTGCGACACCGGATCCTAGGTCGTCAGACGCCTCCTTGGAGGGTCGAGGGACTTAGTAAGTAGGTAGTAAGTAGACTTATGAGTACCCTAAAAGGGACCCTAATCGGGGTTATGGTACTTATAAGTCCCTAAAATAATCAGTTACAAAGTCCCCCGACCCTCCAAGTATGCATCCCCGACAGCCTGTTAAGCCCAGAGAGCCCCAACCTATAAACCTGAAGCTCTCAAGGCCTTCAAAAAAGACTTCAATACTTACCTCTACTATTTTGGGGTTCCTTATTTTAATTATATAGTATAATATACCCTCCAGAACCCTATTCTGACCATTGGGGCTCCTATATTAAACTACAAGCCTGAAGCTTCCAAAACCTAGTCCCATCCCACTCGTAACGGACTGCGAGCCGAGCGAACTCGTCTGGCTGTGTTCGAGTTGCGAGAATGTAGTGAGTTCCCTTATAAGGGATCTACATAGGGTAATAGTATAGGGGTTTGGGTCAAAATATGCTATACCCACAAGCTCCATAGTAGTTCCTTTTCGGGATTACATGGTGGGATTCTAAATATGAACCCCAAGCAGGAACTACTATGGAGCCTCTAGGTATTTAGAATACGGAACTCCCCCAAAATAGTATAGGTAATCCTGAACTCTGACTCTGAAACCCTGAGCTCAGGTTATTGGTTGTCTCCCCTGCTCTGCCTGGAGCAGCCCGATGGAAGCGTTTGTGCAGAAGGTGTGGGCACGGTTTAGGGCTTTGGCTCGAGTTTTTGGTCGGGATTTTCCGATTGGAGCTTGTAGAATGCCAGCTGCGAAGATGTCCGTGCTCGTCTGTTCTGTCACGGCGTGAGAGCCGGAACCCTAACCTGTATGAGGTCGGGCGTGAGTTACAGTTTCGGTGAGTGTAATGTGGGGCCTCAGTAATTAGAATGGGGTTGGGTTTGGGCCCGCTTTGTAGTATAATTATAATAAGGAACCCTTCAAGTAGTGTAGGTAAGGATTAAAGGTTAAAGCCCGTATCCTAAACCCTAAACCCTATAGATCCCTTATAGGTCCCACACAGGAACCCTTAAGGATCCCTTTAAAGGAACCCTACTCCCATATTATGCGTGGCTTCTCCGCGATTGAGACTCGGCCCTTCAGGAGATGAAGAGATCAACCTCAAGAGCATCGAAGCTCTCGATGGCTCCGCTTCTAACTTGTAGGGTTTAGGGGTAGAGGCTTTGCAGGCTGGATGCAGAAAAAGGTTTGTAGGTGTTTAGGGGTTAACAGTAACAGTAGGGGATTTTGGGGAGGACAGGGTATTTTTGGTTAGTGGCTAGTGTTCCATCAATATTTGGGTTGTGGTTCGGTGTCTAGTTTATGCATTATACGCACATGGTTGAAGCATGCGCTAAATCATCAAATCCAAGCTCGTGCGCCGCTTGGCTGAGTGTTGACGATTAGATTTAGATTTCTCCCCAAACGAACAGACAAGTTTTCCCAAGTTGTTTTTGTTCCGGGTATGCTCGTATTCTAAGAAAACGACACGTGAAGCAGGAATCCCAGGGCAAATCTGCATTTGGAAGCAGCTCCCAAATCTTACGCGCAAAGACGACAAGAACATGGCCCGTCTGTTCGCACACAATGTCCAGAAACCTCGAAGCTGTCGGGAAGGTGTTGCCAATGTATCTAGTATAACTGAAACTATAGGGGCCTTTATAGTATGTTTTAAGGTATATCATGATTTAAAAGCTATTGGGTTCTCTTGGCTCTTTCATGTTACTTGGTTCAAAGGTAGTTATAAGTTGAGTTATGAGTAGGGTAACTATACATTGACATATAACCCATATTAGGGGACTCATAACCCCACGTATAATTAACTACCCATGAAACTCCAAGTATACCCTGGACCCTATACCCTCATAGAATCCCTATAGATACCTTTAAATCCCTAAACCCTAAACCCTAAATTAAAGGGACCCTTAAAGGGACCCTTGTTATTTCCTTTCCTTGGCTTTTGATGTTAGGGTCGGAGCTGCATGATCAGACCCTGAGCAGCCCCAGGCTTCGTGAGGGAGGGGGTTTAGGGTTTAGGGTTCCGACCGTTTTAAGACCTGACGATCGGAGATGGTGTTTGATGGCTCTGCAACGGAGCCTACAAGGTCCAGGATTTCTCCAAGCCGTCGCGGACAGCAAGCACCTGAAGGCGCTTTCCTAAGCCCTGCCTCACCCCTATTTCGGAGCTTCCGGATTGTGTTTCAGTTTGTTTGGCTTTGAGTGTGTGTGATTTTGTTGGAGGTTCTGGGGTGGGGATTATTCCTGAACCCTAGAACCCTTGACCGTGATTGATCCCTAGAATGTTTTTATTTAGCATTCTAGAGTCTACCGTGACTTGACATCCCCGGCTCCATGTCAAGTTCCTTGTCCGCGATATGTCATGGCTGCTGTAGACAGCGGTTGGGGTTTAGGGTTTAAGGTTCAGGGTTTAATAGAGCGTGAGCCTCCTGGAACCCACTTGATAGTACTAGGTTACTAGGCTGGATTGGAGGCCGGATCTCGACACTTTAATATAGGGGCCGTAATAACTAGAATAAGGTTTTCTTGTAATCAGGTTGTATAGGATTTGTTTTGAAATTTTTCCCCTTTATTACCCGGAAGCCACGGAGCCCTCAGCAAAGGCTTTCGGGATTATTTCGGGTTGGCAGGGCAGCGAAGAAGTGAGGGAAATCCTAAACCCTAAACCTTAAACCGTAAACCTTAAAACCTAAACCCTAAACCTTAAACCCTAAACCTCAAACCCTAAACCTTAAACCCTGTGAGGGAAATCCTGGAGAAGTCGTCATCGATCCCAACTTCGGTTGAAGTCACGGCCAAAATCCGAAAACCACGGCTGATGATACATATCCTGCATCTCCCATAATAAGGCATATGCCATAATTCCCGTCGTTTAGGGTCCTTAAGGGTAATGCAGGATTTGTATCGTCAACAGTATTTCGAAGCCCCAGAACCTCAAGCCCGAAAACCCTCGGCCCCAACAACAGGGACATCCCTAAACGCCTACTTGGAGCGGGGGACTTAGTAACTGGTCAAGTTAGGGACTTATATGTACCATAACCCCAATTAGGGTCCCGTTTAGAGGTACTTATAAGTCTACTTACTACCTACTTACTAAGTCCCCTAAAGACCCTCCAAGTAAATTCCCCCGAACCGAAGCCCTAAAGCCATGATGCCTATCGGGTTTGGTTTGCAGCAGGCTCGAAATCCTGTGCTGGTCTCCGAGGCAAGAGCAGTTCTATGTAGCGTTTCTGGTTTTGGGATGGGGGTTTAGTAGGGTTTAGGGTTGAGGGTTTTGGGTTTTATTTAGGAATTCAGGCAGGGAGAGGAGAGGGGAGGGATGTTGAGTATGGAGGTCTGAACAATTGGCCTCATGCAGTCCCTCTGAACTTGAGATTTTTAGCTCAATACATTCAAGCACAAATTCCAATTGTGAAGGTCCGTATCTGAAAGCGTGCATTAAAACATGATCACTGGTCGCTCGTCGAATGGAAATACGACAGCAAGGCTAGCGACCATTGCATGTGCATGTGTAAGGTTGTAGCCATTACATGACTGTCCCCAGTATGAGTCACTGGTGGTGGCAATCGTGGTGACACTGCCTGTGCTGCTGCAGCGATGATAGCAAGAACAGCGGTCAGTAAATGACCCCAAAGGTCCAAAGTACATAACTTACGTAACGATCAGGTTGAGGATGGTAGCAGTCAGTTCAGTAGCTCAGAAGCAGTGTGTGGTGAGTCAAGTTGCCTCACTGGCAGTTGGCTGCATGGGAGATAGGAGTTGAATCTGGTATGTCAACTACTACCCTGCGAAATGCCTCGCATTTTCGCAATGCAGGAGGCAACACTACACTAAAAACCCGAGTCTTTATGGCCCTGTGAGACCCTGAGGATACCAAGAGGAGTGAAACCAGACGTGGAGCAGCACAACTCCAAACCTCAAACCTTAAGCGTGAAGTATCATGAATCGTGAATACTCCAAAGAAATCTCTACATGCGAATGCTCCTGCACAGATCGCCCTTGCAGAAAAAGTTTCTGAATCGAAAACCTTCCTTCAAGCATGACCCATGTAGCAGGAAGGGCTCAGCATCCAGAGCCCCAAATCCAACTAATGGTTCGCAGTTCAAGACGAACCCATATGTTTGGCATTCCCTCCCATGAGCGCGGAAGTCTTCAAGCCAACAAGTGAAGAAAGCTGGAAAGTGGTAGCAACCCAGCAAAGCCCTAAGGGTCCATGTACTCATATAGTATATACATTGGCCTTAGCGTCCTCCCTATATAGGTACATTGGGCCCAAAGTATATACTATTTGGGTACATGGAACCTTTAGGGAAAGCCCAAGCCCCACTCGAAGCGTTGTATCAAGCCCAATGTGTCCAAATCTTCTGCGCCAACTTCCTTTCTCCAAAGCAAGATGTGGGAGTTTCCGCAAATTAGGGGCACCTGATTTTGGGTTTCTTATAATAAGGGTCCTACTATTTGGGGTACTATATTTGGGTCCCATATGTGCGGAAACTCCCATAAATGCCCCAGAGTCCAGAGCCCAAACCTCTTAACACTAAACCCCCGGAACCCGAAACACACGCTGAAGCCTAAGCCACTGCGGGAGGTCCGCCTGCGTGAGCCAGGGAGGTGGGAAGAGGCTGAGGGGCAAGGTTTAACTAGGATTTATACAGAGTTTTTAATGGAACTTTATGGTTTGTGGGTGGGGTTGGCTGGTAAAGTCCTACAGGGTTCAGGATTCATGTTTCGGAGCGTCTTACGGCTGTCGGCTGGGTAAGGTTTGCAGCGTTTGAGGATTTGCAGTTTACCCCTAAACCCAAAACCCAAAACCCTAAACCCTATAGGAGGGAAAAAACCCTAAATAAACTCTAAACCCTAAAACCGTGTTTAGGCTAAGGATTATAGAGCTTAGCGTGAGGTTTAGGCCAGCTTGGGCTTCCGGATGATTGGAGTTCTGGGGTTTATTGAGGTTTGTTAATTCAGAGCCGTGGGTACGGCCCCCACTCAGTAATAGTTGAATAGAGTGCATCCTATAGATATAGTAGGACCTTAATAGTAGCCCGATTATAGACTCTTACTGTATGGGGGCCTTACCTAATTCAAAGGGCAGGTCAGGGTTGAAATTTTGGGGAGGACCTCAACAGCTCGAGGGTTAGTGAATCTAGGAGTTTCCGAAATTCGGGGTGCCGTATTTCAGCTTTTACCTTCGCAGGGTTCGGATTTTGTTGAGGCTTGGGAGTGGTTTGGGGTTGAGGGCTTTAATTTCGAGGGCTTAGGCCCGGGATTGAAAAGGTTCGAAACCACAGGTTGGGAGTCGGAAGTTCGAGAGGCACACATCATTCATGAGAGATTCAGTCATCACCCTTTCTAAACCTATAATTCTGAAACCGCCAAAGCCCTAAGCCCTGATCCTGGTGCAAGGAAACCTCGAGCATGCTCTTGAACTGCTACGCCAGGTTTTGTGTTCGGGTAGACGACGGAAGCTTCAGTTTCTTTGGCAGAGAACCTTGAAATTGCAACAGCTTCATGAACAAGCTTTACTTAATCAGGACAGCGGGTGTAGTCTTGTAGGGTTTAGGAGATGAAGGTTTGGGTTCACAGACATAGAGCAGCCGAGATGTACTGCCAATACAAAGCCACAGAACGTCCGACTCCGGTGGCTCGGGATCCTTTGCACACCCTACACAACCTCAAGCCCGAAACTCCCGAACTGAAGCTAAACTCGAGCGGAGTTGCAGACAAGGGCACTCCTTACACGTCCGACCCCTCAAAGTAGGATGGGTCCAGGTGTCCCGTGGCTTCGTGCTTCCGCCGAAGTGGAGCATGGAACCCCCGACATTGCCGGAGGACAAACTACTGGACAAAGGACAGAGGGGACCCTTGGTAGGATTTATGGTTTGCAGGGCTCTGGGGTCTAGCTAATGCCAATCGTAAAAGAGTATTTGTTAAGATAAGAGCTGCGACAACGAAAAGTCGGAAGTCACAAGTCGTTGCGGATACCTAAATTGGAAGCCAAAGCCCGTATGACCTTCATCACCCAAATTTGTTCGCTGTTCCCGGTAACAATGAAGGAGGCGTCTACCAAAGAAGCAGAACTTGACAGAGGGCCACCGAGGCACCGAAACTGCTTGGACGCGAAAGCCTTAAACCCTGAGCCTTAAGTTTGGACGATCATGGGTCATGGGACGTAGTAAGTAAGGTCTTAAGTAGGTTACAATTCAGATAACCCCACTTAGGGTACTTATAACCCCAAATATCACCTTAAACCCTAAACCCTAAACAAAAAACCCTAAACCGTAAACCTTACTAAGTCCCATTTTATCCTTTCAGAACCGGCCCCGAAGGACTCAAGAAGTCCGTGGTGGCGCAGGCCTCCATCACGCGGCTGCAGCGAGCCATGGCTCCTCGGTTTTCGAAGTCTTCACACAAGACCCAAAAGGGTCCTAGGTACTGTTATGGCGGATATTTCCCCAAATCATAGTAGTAATTCCTAATATAGAAACCCTACATTCTACTATATAGGTACTTTGGACCCTTAGGGAAGAGTCCATGCTTGGGATCTTGCTGTTTTGGAGAGATCGTCTCTTGCGGTTCGGTGCATCTGTGTGGAAATGAGCTAGTGGGCTGAGGTGGCCCGAAATTATGGGCTAAGAGCTGTTTTGTTCGCAGTATGTAAGTTTGTGCTTGCCAGGTGGTCGGTCCCCGGTGTAAGTTATGTGGGGGTTGGTCTAAGACCGCTCAGGGCGTCAGTGTGTCTGATTTTGCGCTTCAGTATAGAACTCATGATTTCTAGTTGGTTTCGGGGTTGTGGTCTGGGCAGTAGGGTATGGATATTCAGTTCTGCGGTGCAGAAGCTTTAGTGCAAGTTTTATGATTTCGGCGAATGTCCTGCGGAGCGATACATAAAGGTTTGACGTGGTTAGCCTTGTTTCTGTTTCCCGGTGGATGGCAAAAGGAGGAAACGGTTAGACTTGTGCATGTGGGTCCTTATTCTGGCTCGTAGCATGTCAACTAAAGGGAGCCCTATTGGGTTCGCACCGGGTGCTATTTTCAATGCTGCTACATGCTTGTCATGGGGCTTAGACTTTGCCAGGGGGGTCGAAAGCAAAGAAATAAGAATAATCGAAATGAAACGTCTTCTCCAGCGAACAAGAAGGCTTCAAGTAGGCCCCTGCTGATGACCGCCACAGATCAGAAGGAGAAAGCCACACGAAAACGCTGCCCCGGCGGGGGTAAAAGCAAATCAAATTCAGAATCAAGAATGAAAGTCTTCTCCAACAAACAAGAAGGCTTCAAGGAAGCCCGTGCTCCACCCCACCTTTTTTCGGAAGAGGGGTGCTCAGCTACTTTGATCGGATCGCACCAGTGTGTGTCAGGAGCATGCCTTGCAATCTGCCGGCAGCCTTGACGAGTGGTGGGCCGAGGTTCGAGACAAGTCGAGGGGCGCGGGTCTTCAGATCTGACCCTTTCTCTGCGGAGTATTGAATATATATATATATATATATATATATTCTTTTATTTATGTAAAACATATTATATATATATATATGTATACATATAGCGTTCTGAATTGCCGCGAGGAGTAGAGGGCAAAGCTTTGAGGGTCTTTGGCAGGCAGAAAAGAAGGGCCATACATGGTTCACGGTAGGTATAAGTGGCTTACAAGCACCGAAGATCCTTCTCGTAACTGCACTTACAACTACTTATGAACCATCAAGTAGACCTTAAACCCTAAACCCCAAACCCCCTATAAAACCCTAAACCCCGTCTACTTGGAGGGTCGGGGGACTCAGTAACTGGTTATTTTCGGGACTTATAAGTACCATAACCCCAATTAGGGTGCTTATAAGTCTACTTACTACCTACTTACTAAGTCCCTCGACCCTCCAAGTAACTCTCCATGAGCCTGTGAGTACCCGAGCTCGCAGCAGGTCGAGCGCCTGGAGTCTGTAGCCGAAGACACAGAGCGGCGATCAGCAAAGGAGCGACCACCCGGGCAATAAGAGGCTTATGGCCTTGAGGATTCCTTAAGGACCCTTAAGGCGTTTATGGGGGTTCAGGGGTTGAGGGTTTAAGGGGCTGTAGGCTGCAGCTCTAGTGACCAGGATCCTTCGAAGGGATCTCTTATTCTATCAGTGGGTTTCGGAGTATAAGGTAAAAGAAAGAAAGTTACAACCGGAGATTCCTTGGCCAGGACATGGTGATTTTCTGTGGTTGCTTTTTGGTGGTGTGAGAGTCGCATGTGCTGGAAGGCTGGAAGTGTAGGAACGGACTTCAAGCATCTACGCTCTCTTAGCAGGCCGCTAGGGGGAGAACCCGGCAGGCGCGCTTGCTTCTTTGCTGCACACCGAAACCCGAAACTCCATCATAACTACAGTAATTGCAATCACCGAAGCCCTGATGCCCTAAACCTGACAAACCCTGAAACCTTACATGAAACGCTAAATTCTAAGTAAAGCTCTAAACAGAGAAATAAACTAAAGCTCTCGAAATCTCTTGGCCGCCTTTATTAGATCTACATAGAACTTAAGCCGCACCCCGCGCTGGGTGGATTGCATTGGCCGAGGAGCAAGAGCGCCGGCAGAACGAACTCTGGAGGCGGCGGGTGTGGTCCTAGATTGCCTATACTATCTTGGGTTCCTTATGATAATCATAGTATAATGGCTCCCAAAACCCTAAACTAACTGTTAAGGCCCTTGTATCAGGAGTCTTTAGGGAGTTTTGGATAAAGGTTATGGCATGTAGGGGATTTCCGGAACGTGGAAAATTAGAGCATGAACAACGATAGCCCGTAATTATAAGCCCTGAAAGCTGATAAATCCTAAATTTTGATAGGAACCGGACCGGGTTTCGGGTAATGGGCTCCAACTATCGACCCCAGGTCTGTTACAAGCGGGTTGATAAGTCCCGTAATGTCGGTCATGAATATGGGAGTTTCCGAAAATTAGGGGTACCGGTACCTTATTTGGGGGTCCTTATAATAGGGATCCTACTATTTAGGGTACTATATTAGGGTCCCCTATTTTCGGAAACTCCCGTATAGTATAAGGGTTGCAAATTGCGTTGAAGTGAGGAAGGTACAAGTGAGGTTATCGGTTATAAGCCCCCTAGTCTGGATTATAATTGCCGAACTAAGTAGGAAGAACAAGCATGCCTGATACATAAAAACCTGGCGAGCAGACCTCTATGCTGAGGCATAGATTGCTTAATTTCGAGGCTTCGTAGGTTCTGCGCTTAGATCCTGCGGTTTAGGGTTTAGTGTATGCAGGGTTTAGGGTTAGGGGTCTAGGCCTTGTGTGCAATTATCGTCCGGGGCTTGATGGAGCACGCACTGCCCTGAACGTCGAGACCGAGACGCAGCTCTTCGTGCAGACCCAGAGACTCCAATATCCCTTAATTGAGGAATATTCCTTAAATCATACAAAGGACCCTATTATAATTTAAGGTATATTCCTAAATTAGGGGATATTGGAGTCTCTGGGGACGATGGAAGCCTTTTTCGGAGGCCACTGCTTCTCGGCTCTTCCTGCCGACCGTCCGGAGTCAAAAGGGAGTTTCCGAAAACTAGGGGTACCTTATTTTGAGGTCCTTATAATAGGGATCCTACTATTTCGGGTACTGTATTAGGGTCCCGCATTTTCGGAAACTCCCAAATTTTAATAGCAACTGAGCTACCAGTGGTTCTCAGGGCTCCAACTGAATGACACCTCGGTGCTTCTCTGCATGTTCAGACGACTGCGAGCTGGTGGCTGGCAGTATCATAGCACTTATGGCTTTTTGTGGGCCACACTATTGACACTTGGAGTACGCCGGCCTCAGTGTTAAACTCTTCTTGCAGCGTCGGTTTGTCGAAGACCCAGATGTCATGGAGTACAAATCCTGTCACGCGGAAGCACTCAGTGAGTTTGATAAGGTGCTTACATGTCAAGTCGTTTCCTCAGGTGTCAATTCGGGTGCTCTCCTTGCTGTACTTGGAGGCTCATGGCTAGCTATAAGTCGGGTTATAAGTCCCCTCATATGGGTTGTAACTAGAGTCACGATACCTATAACCCCACTTAACCCATGAACCTCCAAGTAAACCCTATAAACCTTATACCATTATCGGATCCCTATAGATCCCTTCAAAGGGACCCTTAACGTAGGGGAGTGTGTGTTTGGCTAGCCCGGGCTCCTAGACCACGAGGCCTCTTGCAGTTTTGCATACCACATATCTACATCGATTTATATATACATATGTATATATATATATATGTATATATATATATACATGTATATATACATGTGTATATTTATATATATATATATATAGCATACTCTACTACATGATGCTATACAGTAACAGAGTATAGCATACTGCTCCTTCCACCTTCGGCACTTCGGGGTTTTGGGCTTCTAGTAGTTTTCAGGAAAGGAACCCTAAACCCCTAAACCCCAAACCATCTAGCAGTTGGCCAAAACTATAAGTACAGGTCGGCTAAGTTTGCGGTCTGGGCTGTCATCTATTTAAGGAGGAAGCCTGTCTTTCCAAGCTCCCAGCCTCAGCCCAAAAACGAAGTACGCAAGTAATGGCCCACACCCCTAACACCCTACACCACCCCCAAAAACCAAAAACTAAACCCTATAAACCCTATAAACCCAAAACGCTGAAACCCCAAACCCTAAGCACCTAAACCCCTAAACCCTAAACCCCTTTAAACCCCAAACACCCCTAATTAAGTCCCAAAGCTGAGAAGGCCTCCGCCTCCGGCAGATCCGCTCAGTGATTCGCATTGCTGCATCCTCAATCGGCCTCTAGGGGCTCCTTTAAGGGTGCCTGTAAGGCTTCCTTCAAGGGTTCCTATGAGGGTACCTTTCTCGAGGTTGGGGGTTCCTCTCACGGGTTCCTTTGACTATCTTTGCTATGGTTCCTATAAAGGTCTGTTGTGACATCGTGATGCAAGTCCCGTCTTGGATGCCTTTCTCGAGCAGGGAGTGTACTTAATGTAGATCCTGATCAATAACCCCGCAGGAAACGTGGTTTTTAACCATGCGTTTACATTGCTGGAGAGATTGAGTGGAACCACGAGGAAGAAACCATTTTGCGGGAGAGGCTACAAGTCACGATCCAAAAACGCGGGTTGAGAGCACCCTAGACATATGATTGCCACTCCTACGGGGCTCCGGGTACATGAATAGTTTCTGCAAGGTTACACTACGCGGCGACAAAATATTGGGCTAACAGGAGCCCCAGGCCCCTCGGGATCATTCACGGTATGGAAATCGAGTTTAGGCGTAGATCTCCCAGCAGCGATCGACACTCCGACGACCAAAACGGCCACGACGACCACGACCGCGACGAACCAGAGACCACCAAGACCACTAGGACTGCCGCGACCACCACTGCCCGCAGGAGACCACGAAAAGACCAGACAAAACCGCCGGCGACACAGGAGGAGATCCGCTGAGACCACCCGGACAAAAGGCCCAACTGCTTCCCCCAAGTTCTGGCGGGATTCAGGAGCACGGAGACAATGCTCCCTCCACCTTCGAACCCTGGGAACCATGTAAGAACACTTCAAGAGCTCGCTTCGAACTCCTATAGAATTCCTTGCGGCTCTGGGAGTGCTCATTAAACAGCTTGCGGAAGCTCTGAAACCTTTTGGAAATCTTATCAGCACACTACTGAATCCCTAAACTAACGACTCAAGACACACTTTGAGGACTGTTTTGGCTCCCTAAACCCTAAACCCTAGTGTTTTGGAAACCTTCGACCCTGAGGCCTTGCGGAAGCTCTGGAGCAGCGATGGACCGTCGCACAGACGGAGGAGGTGCGAGGTTTCTTGAGTTTTTCGGGTGGGCCCAGAGACTCCAATATCCCTTAATTAAGGAATATTCCTTAAATATGGTAGGATCCCTTTTATGATTTAAGGTATATTCCTTATTTAAGGAATATTGGAGTCTCTGGGGGGTCTAATTCGACATCCTGCTTCCTCTATGAGGGTTCTGGAACCGGTCTAAAGGAGCGTAAGATAGCTTAAGGTCTAGGGATGGCGCTTAAAGAAGATCTTCAGATTTAAGGGCTTAAGTTTAAGGTGTCACTGTGTGTATATGTATATGTATATGTATATGTATATGTATATGTATATGTATATGTATATGTATATGTATATGTATGTGTATATATATATATATATGTATATATTTATGTTGTCAGGCCACAGGTTCACTGTTCATGATATACAGTTCAGCCGTTTCCTCTGAAGCATTCCAGCCGTTTCAAGTTGTCTTAACATAGGTGTCTTAGTTCTAGAACAAGGTTCTGGCATATTCTATAGCACGCCTATATGAAGGAACATGAAGCTTCAAAACGATGGCACGGCAGAGAGAGAGAGAGAGAGAGAAAGCAGCTTCAACATATTCATGCCAGAGCTTTATCGGGGAAGAGGGAACGTCAACCCGAGGTCTGCAGTCATGAATGTCACGGTTCAGGGTTTGGGGTTTAGGGTTTAGCCGATGCGTAGTCCAGGTGTAAACAGGTTTAGCCGAATAATTTCGGCTTTTGCATCTGGACTGCAGTGACTCCAGCAGGACAGAAAGAAGATGCACACCTGCAAGCAGCACAGCGTTAAGCTAGTAGCATGCGCACTCGTGCCAGCCAAGTCTCCGGAACCCCTAACCCAAGCAGGTTTGATCGGATGACTTTTGGCAATGAATTATGAACTTGTGCATTGTCGTGGTGCCGCAGCCCAGATGACAGTTTCCATTGCTGTTTGAGGTTCAGGGTTCAACTCACTTGTGTCGTGTTTCGCCTCATTTTGTGTTTGTCCACTCACATGTGGTGTCTTGGCCGTTGCGGGTATGTGTCATGTATACCCTAAACCCTATAACCCAGGACGCTGGCCCCGGCACTTTAGTTCCTAGTTCCTGTACAGGAAACTTTGCCACAGGATCACAGGCGAGGTTTTCACAGACGTACTTGGAGGGTCGGGGGACTTAGTAAGTAGGTTATAATTAGGTAATTAGGGTTATAAGTCCCCTAAGTGGGGTTATCCTAATTATAACCTACTTATATCCTTACTTACTAAGTCCCATGATCCTCCAAGTAGTCTTTCTGCTCAGCTATCGAATTGCGGAACGAGATTGACCCCTCGGCCGTTATCTCACAACACGACATGTCGCCAAGCCTGAGTCAATGTCCTCCACACGTAGACCCTCAGCCAAATACAGCTGGTCTAAATCCAAAAACCCGATAGCACCTCGTAGTGCCCTTGTACCCTTGGGAACTCCTATTCTGGTTGCAACTGAAGCCTCTGTATACTGATACTGTTATACTATGTCCCCAAACCTTGATCTAAGAGCCAACTAAGGCGCTGTAGCAAGTGCAAAAATCCAACGTGCTGAAAAAGATGCCGATGTTGACACTGGCCACCCAAACTGGCCGCGATGCGAACATATAAACGGGGCGAACCCTGCTGTAAAGCTTGTGATTATATGACATTATGTGTAGGACGAGAGCTCGGGGAACTTCCAAAACTCACAACACGCACAACCTGTAACACAGTGTTCTGGGTCATAGCATGTCTGGCTCCCACCTGTTGCAGCCGACGTCACGGGACAAAGCCAGGAGCAGCAAAGTGCGCGGAAAGCTTTGCTGCTTGGTCACACTCCGTGAGTCCCAGTGTCTTGAAGTTTTGTCAAGCGCGTAGTTGTCATGGTGGGATTTAGGGATCAGGCTACGGCGCATGGTTCAGGGCAGTTTAGGAGTTGAAGCCGTATGACGGACGGCAGCGAAGTGTCAGGACTTCTTATTTATGGCTCCAGATGGATGGCGTGTTGCTTTAGCTGGTGGGGATTGACACTCATGGTGTTTCAGTTTTCGGAGCCACCGAAATGAGGTTGAGCCTTTTTTGAGAACCATGCCGACACTTTAGAAGAAGCCCGTATGTACCTATCATCGGCTCTTATGCTCTAGCTTGATATAAGGTTTCACTCCAACACCGCAGGAAAAAGATTGACCATGGAATTCATTAACGGACAATGTTACGGCTACACCGACCTTGCCTTTGAGCTCCGAAACACTTCCTCCGGTATTCCTGTGCTGTCTCACCCTAAGGGTCTACGTACCCAAACAGTACATACTTTGGCCTTAACGTACTCCCTATCTAGGTACATTGGGCCCAAAGTATATACTATTTGGGTACATGGACCCTCAGGTCATAGCCACAAACATGCAAAGATCCGTCACGCAAAGCTGCCCAGAGAAAGGCGATCGGGAAGTTCACAACCTTTAAGTCCGAATCCAGAGCAGAGGCCCCTGACATCGTCAATCATATGGGGGCCTAAATAATTACCTATACTTTTTTAGGGGTTCCTTATTATATTTATAGTATAATGGGCCCCAAAACCCTATTCTAATTATCAAGGCCCCTATATTGGTTCCTTGGCAAAACCTGCCTCGTAGTAAGGCTGTGTCGGCTAGCCGATGCACCGCTGCTAACTGAAGAGCTGCCGCTTGAATGAGTTATTCTTGGTTTTGTGGTTTCACAGTTTCGTGCCCAGGTGGCGAATAGATGTGTAATCAGCTGAATGAATGAAGGGGGCAATCTTTGCAGTCTAGATGAAGGCACCCCAAGCTCTACATACGTAAACTTACAGGAGCTGAAGTGCTACAGCTTGATGTCTGTTTCACCTTCTCCTAGGCCCCAAAACCTAGTTTTTGTTTTTGCATGTTTGTTTTTTTAGGCGTTGGTTCATAAGCGGTGGAGCGCAACCATGTTTCCACCCGTCATCGCAGAGGATCCACACCCTGCTGGACCTTACGAAGCGCTGCAGGCAAATGGGATGTGATTGGCTTCAGGTTTAAGCCTGATAGGGTTTAGGGCGGAGCTAGGATCGGGGAGGGCGGATGGTTTAGCTTGGTAGTTATAGATTTTTTAAAAGAACATCAGGCACGACCTGAACTGGCACGATCAGGCCTCGGATCTCAACCCGTGCAAATGCGGACAACGCTAACAGTCGTCATTGCACGCATGAGCAAAAACAATCCTTTGAGGCGCTTTCTCAGGATGTTGCGACATTGGGCATATGCGGCCTGCCTGTGTATAATATCCATTCCAATCCCTCTTTTGGGTTTAACCATGTTCCACATTCAGGATCCGACCAGATAATCAACAAAAAGGAACTACAATGCAGATTCTACAGTACGTAGTATTTTGCCCGCCTTACCCCCACTGTGTGCCAGTCAGCCGCGGCCTTTGGCCCACGTGCTTCTGGACGGCGGGCAGCACGTCCTGCGACGGCGCGGGAAGGATGTGCAGGTCCCAAAGTGTCCCGATGACTTACAGATAGAAAGATAGATAGGTAGATATGTATGGTAGAAGGTAATTAGAGTGTCCATAGTAAGAACTACTGTTATGCTCTGGGTAAGAATTCCCCATTACGTCTTGAAAGTTGCAGAGTCTCAGGGTTTCGAGACTCAGGACAGCAGAGTTTTGTGGGGATTAGTTTCAGGGCTCAGGGGTTAAACTGGGTGCAGGATGGCGGTTAGTTAGGGTTTCGGACTCAGGCAAGATATTCGAAAGCTTTCCCGGCACATCTTCTCGGGCACCTAGAAACTAGATGGTGTTTTTCTCCATAGTTTCCTGAGTCATCACTCATTCGTAGTCTTGTAGAGGCTCCTATTCACGAACATTTTTGGGGCCCATTAACCCCGAAACCAAATACCCTGATGTATAAATCTGTGTCACTTCTCACTTGGAGTCCGACGTGGCGAGAACGTACATAAAACCTAACACCAAGAAGCCACTTGCATGTGGAATACGCCAGGATCAGCCAATGACTCGAGCTGCACAGGTGCAATGGGGGTCGGGTTCTGTGCCCTAAAGCAGGAGTATAGGGTTTAGGGTTAAGCGTCCAGGGTTCAGTGTTTCCGGGTGGCACGAGTCCCACAGCACCATCGGTGCCTCGAAGCACTCCAGTAATCTAGCCTTTCCGGGTCTCAGAAGTTTGGAAACGGTCGGGGCTTGACATTGTTTTTTGTTTTGCTTTTGCACTGAGTCACTGAGATCATCACTGATATCCTAAACATAAGAGATCCTCCGCGAAAGCGTGAAGGCTTCCACCGCATAACCTCTAACTTCCTATACCATTGAGCACCAGCGGCCTATAAGCCTAGAATCTTTTTTACTACACACACACATATATATATATATTATACTGGCTTACATAATACCACTGTTTCGGGACCTGGAGCCCGGGGGATAGGTAATTACCACGAGTCTTACATAAGTGCCGAAGATTATGTAAACGTGAAAATCTAATGGTCACTGAACAGGTCGGAACCCCTTAGACCCTCAATCCCGAACCCCAGCTCCCCTAAACACGAAACCTCAACCCCAAAACTTACACAGCAAACAGCTTCAAGAGCCATGAAGTACCCTTAAATTGCGTAAATCTGAATCCACGGGCTCCGCGAGCTTTCTACCCAGAGAGCTGAATCCCCGACAAAAAGAAGATACCTTGCGACTCATAGAAAGGCAGCTTTAACTTCGAAGTGTATATGTACACAATGTATACATACGCATACATATATATATATATATACACTGTACACACATGTATGTATGTGTGTGTGTATATATATATATACACTGTACACACATGTATGTGTGTGTGTATATATATATATATATATATATATATATATATTTGTATGCATATCTATATATATATATATATACAAATATAAGATACACATTCACACATTAAACTCAAAATAGTATGCAGAGGGTATTACGTTCTTTGGGGACGACCCTTACCTTCGAGGAGGCCTGGGAAGAGCTGCAGCGTCTTGCTGGCGACCCGCTGGAGGCTTTCGAAGTCGTCATGACCTTTAGGGTGTTATCTGGATTAGGGTTTAGGGCTTTAGGGTTTGGGGGGCAGGGTTTAGGGTTGAGGGTAGAGGGCTTTGAAGGGCTTCCAGGGGGCCACTTCCGGGCCAAGTCGCAAGCCTGTTGCAAAAGGGTAGAGGGCCTTACATGAAACGATTCCCGAACCCTAAACCCTAAAGCTCAGTGGACTTAACGCCTGTGGCCATGCCTTGTGCGAGTGTGTGAGTCGAAACCCTATAGATCCCTTATGATAGGTCCCATACAGGAACCCTTGAGGGTGCCATTAAAGTATACACCCCCCGAAAGGAGTGCTGCTGCCCGAAGATCGTGGCAAAGGCCGGGGGTCTCTTGAGGAGCGTTTCTCGCAGTCTTCATGCCTCAGTTGAGAACTCATCGTTTTTTTTGAGGAACCTTTAATATAGGAGCCTAAATAATTACTGGTACCTCTACTATTTTGGGTGTTCCCTATTAGAAATATAGTACCGGATCCTATTTTAATTATTGAGGGCCCTGCATGATTTTTTCCGGATGTGGCTGTTGACCGGAGTCGCACTCGTAAGGAACCTCCATTAGGAATTAGACTAGGGTTTGGGGGGATAGTCCAGAAAAAATCGCATAAAGGACCCCAGGGAAAATATTCTTAAGTATTTCCGTTGCACCTCATTTAAATTTAATTTAGCCCAGCCGATCAGTGGACCCTCAACCCCAAACCCATTTAACCAGCCGATCAGTCTGCAAGCTGTCGCAGACTCGGCCCGAGTAGTCGCACTGAAAGCGCTGAGCATTAAACCATGAACTTAGGGGAGCTCGCACACGCAGACATTCCCGCAGAAAATAGTTATCGAAGCATAAAGTGATGTAAAGGCCTTTAGATGCTTCTGACTTTTGGCAGCTTTCAGGGTTTCTGAAATTTTGTTGGGTGTGTCAAGGGTGTTTAAGACTTGTAGAGCCCACACGCAGACCGTTTCGGGCTTTCTGCAGTGACAGGGCGTGGGTGGGAGGGGGAATCAGCTAGATGTTGTGAGTGGGTGTGGATTGAGGGACCTGGTGGTGTGATTTAGGGAAGGCTTCGCGCGTCGAGTTAGGCTGGCTTGGGGTTTAGAGCTTATTTCGATGTATCAGTAGTTGAAAGTGATATTCTACCAGCCGGAGTTGATTGATTGGGGCTTGTTGTGAAATGCTCAGAAGTCAAACAGCCACCAGAGCCGAAGGCCAGAAATTCCAAACCTCAATCCCAATGTTACGCAGCAGGCGTGCAAAATGCTGTCTCTGGAGCCTTCACTAGCACAAGGCCGCGCTGGCGTTGTGCAGGACTCCAGGAGGTCAGTGTTAAAGCAGGGTTTAGGAGTTTAGTTTGGGTTAGGAGGAGTTTTGGGGCAGAAGGTTTAGGCTCCGGGCGAAGTGGAGAGCCTGTTGCAAGGGGGTTTAGGATGATACACTGGAGCAATTCTCAATCCTGGCTAATGCTTGGGTGATGTAGGCGCTTTGGTGGGGCTTGTTTGGCGGGGCTTGAACTGGATTTTGAAATTTTCGCGTTCGAAGACTTCAAGGCACTTTAGGCTTTAAGGACCTAATAAGGCCCACTTAAGGAAGTATAGTCCCCTAGTATGAGTTGTTGTGCAGCAGGAAGTACTGGGACACTTCCGTGCCTTCGGGTATCCGGCGGAAGCGAAGCCCTCCACGCATCGAGAGGCAACGCTCACAGGACTGGTCTGAGGGTGGGTCCCCTTTAATTTACGAGCCCTAAACTCTGCCAAAACCTAGACATTCCATATTCGTAAGTTTTGGCCAGAACCTGCATGCGAAAAAATCTATATATATATATATATATAAATAAATACATTCCATATTCATTAATCTTGGTTAGAAACAGCGACAGAGGTAGGTTAAGTTATGGTAGTTTAAGATGGCCCTGAATCCTAGACCCGAGTTGTTTGTCAACTTTGCGGCATCTTTCCTAGCCCTAGGCTTTTAAAGGAGCCTTATCCTAGGGCACTGCTAGTTCTCAAGGCCACACCGGCAACCTATCCCTAAACTACATCCGAACATCCATAAGCAGTAAGCACCGGTTTGGGTTACTATGGTAGGGTTTGCTATGTTTTCCAAGTGTTCAATTTTGGGGTTCGATGTCGTATCATGTAGTTGCGACATGGTTTATAGCGTGCTTCGAGTAGTTGTTGAGGCTCGCACAATCTCATAGTCATGTCAGCAACCACCGACACGGAGTTAGCTGAATCCGAAGATACAGTAACGGTGGACAATGAACACGAAGCCTCGAGGTAGAGGCAATGTCTTTAAGGTAAAGCATTGGGAGTCACAGCACCCATCATGCCGATGCCAGGTTCCAACTTTCTGGGCTTCGCTGTAAGCCCTTAACATATACAAGCGTTTCTGTACACCCAAAAGGGCCTCTGTGTTAGAGAAGAGAAGCCATCGAAACAAGACATACGGTTCAGGTTTAGGACACGAAAAGAACCGTAAACCCGTTAACCTGGAAATATGTCAAAACCTAACACCCGAGATCCCAGAACCGATATAGCTGCAACTTCTTAGGACTTCGGGTCAACATCCCGTTCACAAATTCACAAGCCCCAGGGGAGCAGGTAGCTAGAAAGTCGGTTATTAGCCACACATTCGGCAACCCAGTTACCGAATGTTTTCAGAATCTGGAGTCCTCCCAAACTTTATAAACCTTGAACTTACAACCCTAAACCCCTAAACAAACCCCTAAACAATCTTGAACCTGAACCCATAACCCTAAACCCTAAACCCTAAACCCTAAACCCTGAACCCTGAACCCTAAACCCTAAACCCTAAACCCTAAACCCCTAAACCCTGAGCCCAGACAGGAGCCTTGCAACTCTGCGGCCTGCGTTTGGAGCGCTTGGGTCAGCGCCGAGCTCTCCGACAGATCGCCGAGGAATGGAACTCGGAGGCGTGGGGCTTTGAAAGGAGGGCGTCGGGCTATTGAGCAATAATACAAGGGCCAAAATCATTTCCAATGCTGTTTCTTTTGGGGGGGTCCCTTTTCAAAGGGGTCTATAAGGATTATTGTAGGGGTATTAAGGGGGTTTAGTTTAGTATAGGGGCCTGAATAAGTACAAATACTTTTGGGGGGATTCTTCAGTACAATTATGGTATAATGGGTTACAAAGCCTTATAATTTTAATTATTCAGGCCCCTATATTCGGTTTGGTTTTTGGGCTAGAGGTCAGGTTTCGGAGTGGAACTCGGAGCCAGGCTTTGGTTTGAAGGTTCTGTGGTTCAGGTTAAACCGTTTAGTTTTAGGGGTTTGTAGGAACGAGGTTTGCTCCCGGGTATTTGCGTTGTTGTATGTGAGCAGCCTTCAAAAAACACGTAAGACTGCGTAAAGTTGAAATTTAGTTATAGCATCCTTGCCGAAAAGAATTTAAGTACTGACTTCTACAAGGCCCCTACCCCCTCCAAAAAAAACACATAAACAAAACAAGGCCCCGTATACTCGAAATCCCCTCGGTTGAAGCTGCCTTAGGCCGTTTGCAGATGCTGGGACCACACATGGCCCCCCCTGAACCCTCACTTGGGAAAATAAGGGTCCTTTTGTGGGTCCTTATAATAATTAGGGTACCCAAAAAGGGACCATAATTTTGTCAACCACCCACTTGGAGGTTCATGGGCAGTTACAAGTGGTAATATGAGGGTACACAACCCATATTCGGGGACTTGGAACCCTACTAGCACACTGAGCCCCAGGAAGCTCCAAGTAGATCCTAGACATCAGGCAGACGCTGATGCCGACCTGCTGGAGGATGTTTGCTGCATCACTCAAGGACGATGCCAGCACTCTTTTTTCGTGCTTTGCGGAATGCTGCTTGTCGTTGAAGCTTTTCGGTAAAACAGACAACACTAAACCCCTAAACCCCAAGCCCTAAACCTTGCGGGAAAGGAGCGCCCTTGGTTTTGCAAGAGAGTTAGGCCACGATGCAAAGCAGAGTGGTGGATGCAGCCAAAGAATTTTGCACTCCACAATCTCAAACCATGCGCCCTAAACCCTGAGCCCCACAACCCTTGTTAAATTTTGCGCCAACATAAACTTTAACCTACCCCTTCAAAGTCGTGAATCTCAAAACTCACAGAGATTTCTGGTGGTGCTGTAATCCGCAATACCACTCGCTAACGCCTATGGGTCCGAAAGCTTACGGGTTCCGAGTTAGGGTTTAAAGACTTGACTCCAAGGGCCCGAGGACCCAAATAGCAGGGCCTAAGTAGGGTTTTAGAGTTCTACACACCAAAACCCATTCAGAGTGAGGAATTTGGGACCCAAACCTGAAGCCCTAAAGCCCTACTACTTGCCTCAGCATCCGCGTACCCTTTGCCTGGCACATCTTCGCTTCGGCCCACCCCTGTTTTGTGGGTTTATCTACAGTTGCAGTTGGTGCTTTTAGTTTGATTGTTTTCAGTGTTAGGCAAAAGGAATTACTACAGTATCCATAGCAGTTCATGTTTTTAGTTTCATCGTTTTTAGTATGAGGCTAAAGGAATTACAGTTGAGACTATAGGTAGGCTGCCTACAAAGGAAAGGGTTTTGGGGGAATTCATTGCAACTGTAGTTTCGAGTAGTACAGCAAACGGCCATACTATTGCTAAATGTCCCAACGCAGATACTAGGTTAAGGGTCTCGGGTTGGGATTTCATCCCGAGAGGGGACAGGGCTCAGGGTTTAGAGCTGCGAGTTTGAAGCTTCTTGGGTTTAGAGTTCAGGCTTTTGGGTTTAGGGTTCAGGGTTTTAGCAGGGGGATGTTCAACATTCTAATTCGCTTGCAAGCTTTTCAGCTCCTGGCCATCATTCCAGACACTGCACCCCAAGCCTGATTCCTGAATTCGATCTTTAACACTTCTAGTATGGAGCCTTGATAAATTCCAGAAGGTTTGGCGGTATATATGGGCAACGGGGACTATGAGGGGAGGCTATTGCTGATTATTCCGACGTCTTCATTATCCGGCGTCTCAGTGGCTTTGACGTAAAACCCAATACACGGTTATTTGCCTTGACGAATTCCAACTGCACCTATGAAGGCACCTCAAGCCTCGGACCCCAAACCCCACGACCCAAAATCCTGAAACCCTTTCCTCAAAGGAAACCTTCGAGGAACCATTCATGGAACCTTACTTGAAAGTTCATAACCCCATTCATAATGACATCCTAAGTAAGCACTAATCAGCCTAATCATAATTACCCATGAGCCTTCTAGTAGCGGACCCCCGGTGGTTTCTCGAAGGATGCCACAAGTCTTGCCCCTCCCGCTGCTGCGTGGCGCGCTGTAGCTGCGAGCAGCTTGGCCGCGGATGGCTTGGGGTTGTGGGGGTTACGGTTGCAATGCTTTAGGGTCCTTTTTTTTTTTTTGGGGGGGGGGGGGGGGGGGAGCATGTATGATACTGATATGGCTTCGGGTTTAGGACGGTTTTAGGGCTCTAGAGTCTCTAGAGACTGAGGAAAAGGGTTTCTCATAGGTTCAGAATTCGGGTTTTAGGGTTCTCGGGATTGTAGGATTGAGGGTTTTTGGGGCTCCTGGGGTTACGTGATTGGGATTTTGCGAACCCGAGAGTTTAAGGTACGTGGCTTTGTCGCTTTGCTGCCAGTGCTATGCTGCTTTTCACCGCTTTGTATATAGGATGTTCGGGTTCAGGTGCAGAGATTGGAGGTTAGAGTTTAGCATCTCAGGGGCCGCCTTCTCTCTGGATTCGGGCTCATGTCAAGGCCTTAAGAAAGGAGACTGGGATGAATCAAATGACATTCAGGGCCGATCGTTTGCTGCAGTTGTCGTGTGTCTTGTGTGAAAACACCGAATACCAGGGGTCTCTGCAGGCTTCGGTGCAACATTAGTGCAGCTCTCCAGCCGTGTCGTCGTCAAGTGTATCGCAAGGCTACAGGTGCAAGTGCGTCGCACTCCTTCAGCACGACCATGCTGAACGCACTTGAATGTGCCTGGGCATAGGCTGCCTGTAGACTGCACTACGGAGCAATGATGTCTTTTGCTGCTGCTGCGGAACTGTCCATTCCCAGCTTGTGTAGCATGGCTTCAAGCAGTCTTCATCCAAGCTAAACACCCTGAACACCTGAAGCCCAAGCCCCTCAACCCCGAAATCCCTAAACTTTTCAACCCTAAACCCAAGCCCCAAAACCTCGGAATCCCTAACCCCCGAAGCCCCCCCAAAACCCCCGAAGCCCCCCCAAAGCCCAGGTGCTGCTGCAGATGCAGCTGCAGCCTGGAGCTTGAAGATGAGGAGGCCGCGATGCGCTCCATGATCTTTCGGGACGGAGGGTTTCGTTGAAGTTTAGGGCCTTTAGGGTTTTGGATTTGGGTTTCGCTAGACTTGAGCCCAGAGGTTAACAGTTGGAGTAAAAAGCGGATGTTTGAAAATTGGACACGCGTATCCTCAAGGTCCAGTATGATAGGGCAGCCAACTCAAATGATGTGCAGCCTGTGTCGGCTTCACTCCAGGTTTCAAACTTTGGGGCTGTGTAGGGGTATGGGTTTGGATTTATAGTTGACAATGAGCACTGGAGCAGTCCCTGCTCTCATCTTCACTGTATTAAAGCTGAGGGTTCTCTGACGCTGGCTTTCTTAGGTATTTCTATGTGCACTGAAAGAAGCCCGAACTTCAAATTTAGATTCTAACAACCAACACTCCACACCCCTGAACACTTAACCCAAACCCAGGTGCCACCGCCCCCAAGCCCCAAGCCCTAGCATCCCTGAGACACTTAGCCGCACCATCCAAAAGCTGAAAACCCATACTCGCCCTTCCTTCAGGCCCCTGAACCCCACCCTCTAAACCCCAAGCCCTACTTTTTCCTGCTTGAGGCCCTTGACAACACACCCAGCCCTAAACCCTTAAATCCTAAGCCCCCTATAAACCCTAAACCAACCCAAAACCACCAAAAAAACACCAGCCCCAACTGCTGCAAGGTGCGGCCTCTGATCGTCTGGCTCGCAGCCAACGGAGCGGCTCGGACTTTTTTCGGTCGTTTGTGCGGCAGGGTTTAGGGTTTTGTTGTAGACGCTAAGGGTATTATAAGGTACTCAAGCTTTCGGCTTTAAGGGTTTATGGGTTTTGTCCTACAGCCGGGCTTGACGTTTCGAATGCCTGGGAGAGAGAGAGAGAGAGAGAGAGAGAGAGATAGCGTCTAGGAGGAGAACGCTCTCGCCTGTCACACGCATCGGCCTCAGTACGGGTTTAAATAAAGGGTTTCCTAGACCCTATATGGGTCCACAGGATCCAATAGTGAGGTGCTTGGGTTTAGAATGGCAGTTATTTGTAGGTGAATATTGCCTAGCCTTTTCTTGGGGCGATTGGGGCCCCATAGCTGATGGTCCTTCAGGACGGTCGGACTGCCACTAACCACCTCACACAAACCGTCGCCCTGTGACCTACCACTGTGTACCTCAGACTCCTTGGACCCCCTCAACCTCAAGCCCTCTATCAGACACTGCATTTTCCGCCCCTCATCGCGGTCAAAACCCTAAACCCTTGTGAACCTTCAACCCAGAACCAAAAGCCCGTAAACCCTAAACCCTAGCCCTAAACTCTGCACCCAAAGCCCATGGCCCGAAAACTTAGGAGCTAGCCCCCGCTCGGGCCGCAGCGCGCGGCGAGGTTTGCGGGGAAGTCCGTGCGAAGGCACTGTGGCATAGAGGATTTCAGGCATCAGCGCCCCGAGGCTTTAAACTTTAGGGTTAAGGGTTTTCTACACCCTATGGGTCCTTTATCAGGTAATTACTGAGGTTAATGAGGCTTTAAGGCTTTAGGGTTTAGGGTTTAAGACCTTAAGGACCCAATACTGAGTAGGTAATTGGGTTTGGGACGGTAGTTGCGTAGGTTAACATTCTGGAGACTATATTGTTACTAGGTACTTGGGGCTTGTGCTGTGTTCTTGTTAAAGGAATTTGTTTCAGTTTAAGAAGTCCTAATTGTATTTACTATGTGTACCTCTGTCATGGTGCTTTACCTTCAGTTCCCTTAAGAAAACCAGTGGGGCTCCTAGGGCCTTAGGGTTGATTACGCTTTAGGGTTGTTAGAGCTTGTAGGTACTATCAGTTTGTATGGTCCAAGGTGCCCTCTGTAGCAGGTCTCGAACATAAGCCCTGAAGTGTGTTGAAACTCAACAAACACGCCGCCCAAACTACGAAGCATGAACCTCATCTGACAAGTCCTAGTGTGAAAGCGTAACAGATCCAAACCGGAGCCTTACACAGACTTGCAGCCCGTCCGTGCACCCTTGAAGGCACTGGAAGCTGAGCTGCAGGGCCAGATGGAGGAGAGGGGTTAGACTTGCAGGAATTTCGGGCTCTGAAAGATTGGGATCCTGTCGGCGGAGATCTAGGGTTCGTGGGCCTTGGTGTCCTGTGGCTCCAGTTACCTAATTACTGTCTAACCGAGTAGCCCATGAATTAGGTAATTGCAAGGAGAAGTATGATTAAGACTTCGATTCTCTATGTGCATGTAATATATATATATATATATATATATATATGAGCCCGATACCTTTAGGGTCTATTTAACTAGTCTGCCATATATACAATATAAGATCCCTATCTAAATCATATGTTCCTACATATTATATTACAAGACTTACGCTCTGAAAAGTTTAGCATTACTTAGGTCTATAATATTTTATCATTATTGCTGACACCATTGCCACGTTGATACCTGATTAATATACAGTGTCACCTATACAGACAGCTGAATTTTAATAATTAATACCTATAACAATATCATTACGAATCCAATGGAACACAAAGCAATAACACTCCAACCAAAATAATTATAGTAAGTATTGCTTACATCCCTGTCGCTGCGAATCCTACCTAGTGCAAGTTAGCATCACTACAATCATATATTAGGCATTGCATATATAGTGTCAGTACTAATGCAGTCGAATAGAAATTACAAACAGTGTAACCAAAATCTTTCTTTTTAGTATTGTCTAGGCCACTGCGACTATGAATCCTATTCAGCGTAAGTTACCTCCTCTACGTGCAAACTACTTATAATACTTCTTATCTAGGTCCGTGTCATTAGGATGCATATCAAACAGAAAGCAACACCAATACAGCCAAAATAATTATAGTAAGTATTGCTTACATCTCTGTCCCTGCGAATCCTACCTAGTGTAAGTTAGCATCACTATAATTATCTATTAGGTATTGCAGATACTGTGTCAGTATTAGTGTAGCCGAACAGAAATTACAAACACTGGAACCAAAAATAATTCTACTAAGTATTGTCGACGCCCCTGCAACTAGGAATCCTACATCTCGAGGGAGAGAACTGTGAACTGCCACTAACCATCCAGGCTCCACAAAAAGACAAACACCAACTCGAACAAAAGATTGGCCTAAGCAATCGTGACATTACTAATTGTCGTACCTGCGGTACATCAATCCTGTAATCATTGCTGCCATATTGCAGTTGTCTTTCCTTTGCCTCAGCCTCTGTAAGCCCCTCGCGTCTGCGCTGGCACAGGATACGCAGCGTCTCACTCTTATGCGGGACAGCAGCCGCAAGCAAATTTGCGCCTCCTGTGCCCGTTTCGAGCAGCTTGTAATGCTGCCCGTGCTATCCGAATCGCAGTTGATAACTCATGGCAGCCGAATAACACCAATACAACCAAATTAATTATAGTAAGTATTGCTTACATCTCTGTCCCTGCGAATCCTACCTAGTGTAAGTTAGCATCACTACAATCATAGATTAGGTATTGCATATATAGTGTCAGTACTAATGCAGTCGAACAGAAATTGCAAACGATTTAATCAAAAATAATTATAGTAAGTATTGTCTACGCCCCTGCAACTAGGAATCCTACGTCCCGAGGGAGAGTACTGTGAACTGCCTATAACCATTCAGGCCCCACAAAAAGACATACGCCAACTCAAACAGAAAGATTAGCCGAAGCAATCGTGACAGTACCAATTGTTCTACCTGCGGTACAGCAATCCTGTAATCATTGCTGCCATATTGCCGTCGTATTTCCGTTGCCTCAGCCTCTGTAAGGCTCTCGTGTATGCGGGTTACATATGCTACATATATCTACTGAGGCAAGCCAGGTCTGAACAAACTAGTTCCTTGTCAATAGGGTTTCAATATGAGGAGTGCATGTAATGTATTGGTTCGCCCTGTCCAGGAAGTGAAGAGAAACATTATAGCCCCTGCAATGTGCCAGTTTCTTCTGTCCGTAAGAAGGGCTTTCCGATGTATCAGCTTCATATCAAGAGGGCTTCAGTAGGATGAGTGGGCGTGACAGGTCAAAGGCTTGTAATGTGTTCGTTTGTTCTGTCTGGGGGCTTTCGAATGTATAAGTTCCTCGCCAAAAGAGTTTTGATAGGCGGGAGTGGAGTGACACATTAGAGAGTCTATATTGTGTCAGTTTGTTCTGCCCAGGGGCCTTCCAATATACAGGGTCGCTTCAGTGTATAAGTTCCTTGTCAATAGGTTTCCATGGGGAATGGAGTAACACATTAGAGGGTCTGTAATGTGTCAGGTCGCTGTGTCCAGGAGCCTTCCAAAGTAGGATTTTCCTTGTCAATATACTTTCAATAGAAGGGATGAAGTGACACATTAGAGGGCTTGTAATGTGTTAATTCGTTATGCCCAAGTCAATAGAGTTTGAACAGGGGAAGTGGAGTAACACTTTACAGGGCATGTAATGTGCCAATCTGTTATGTCCTGGACTTTCCAGTGTATAAGTTCCCTGTCAGTAGAGGATCAATCGGAGTGGGTGGAGTGACACATTAGGGTGCCTGTAATATGTCAATTTGATATGCCCAGGTACAGGGGCCTGACAGTGTATAAGTTCCTTGTTAGTAGGGTTTCAGTAGGAGAAATGGAGTGACACATTAGAGGGCATGTAATATGTCAATTTGCCCAGTCCAGACCCAGGAAGTGAAGATACACATTATAGTGGGTATAATGTGCCAGATTGTTATGTCCATAAAAAGTGCTTTCCGATGTATCAATTTCTTATCAGTAGGGTTTCAATAGCATAGGTGGAGCGACACATTATACGGCCTGCAGTGTGTCAGTTTATTATGTCCAGGGGTTTTCTAGTGGAAAAGTTCCATTGCAATAGAGGTTCCATAGGAAGGAGTGGAGTGACACATTAGAGGGCCTGTAATGCATCAGTTTATACTACCCAGAGACCTTCCAATATACAGATGCCCTACAGTGCATAAGTTCCTTGCCTTTAGGGTTTCAATAGTAATATTGACACATTAGAAGGCCTGTAATGTGTCAGTTTGTTTTCCCATGTGCCTTCCAATGTATCTTTATACATATCAGATCTGATGTGATCACAGCATTAGCCAAGAAGGATATCACGTAGTTAATAGTCTTCACGATCTTAACAAAGGCGCAATTATCCGTATCGAAGGTATACATTCCCATGAAAAATCCCTATAGATCCCTTCACAGATCCCTTGTATGGAGCCCTCATAGACAGCCTCTATAGATTCGTATAGAAACTTTATAGATCCCCTATATAGAGAACTTATAGAAACCCCGTATAGATCAACAAATGGAGTTCTTTGTAGAAAACTTTACAAGATCCCTTACATGGAGCTTTCATAGACAACTGCTATATATTCCTTACCCTTTGTAGAAACCACATGGAAGCCCTGTATAGATCCCTCGTATGGAGCCCTTCTGGAAAACCCTTACAGATTGCTTATAGAAATCTTATAGATCCTCTATGTAGAGACCTTATAGAAACCCATTATATAAAAAACTATAGATCCCTTACAGAGAGACTTTCTAGAAACTCATTATGGATCCCTCATATGGGGCTTTTATAGTAAGCCCGGTTACAAAGTATGTAGATGCGATGTGGTAAGCTATTCTTGATATAGTAGTTAAGATAAATCGATTGTATTATGGTTCGTACAATACCTATGAAATTACCTTTAAGAATAGAGGGAGCGGTATTAAAACCAATGAAACCGGCAACGAAGATGATGACGATGAAGAAGATGATGAAGATGATGGAGATGATGAAGATGATGGAGATGATGAAGATGATGAAGATGATGCAGATGATGAAGATGATGAAGATGATGGAGAGGGGGTGGGGTGTCCGCAGCCCTGTTGGACCCTAATGGGTTCGTGGTGGGGGTGGGGGTAGTGGGTGGGGTGGGGGAGGGATGTGAATGGGCAGGGGGTTTGTGCTGGCGTGGTGAGGGGTGGGTTTGGGGGAGTGGGTGATAAAGGTGATAAACCGATGATAAATGATAATAGGATGGTGATAACGATGATGGGGAGGAGTAGGTGGTGGGTGGTGGGTAGTGGGTAGTGGTGGCTGGCGGGTGCTGGGTAGTGGTGGGTGGTGGGTGGTGGGTGATGGGTGGTGTGGTGGGTGGTGTGTGGTGGGTGGTGTGTGGTGGTTGGTGGGGAGGGTGTGGGTGGTGGGCGTGGCGGGTGAGGGGTGCCGGGTGGTGGATAATAGGTGGTGGGTGGTGGGTGGTGATGGGGTACGAGGCAAGGGGCTGAGATAGGGGGGTGGGTAGTGAGGTATGAAGGGGGCGGGAGGGTGGAGTGGGGGCAAGGGTGTATAATCCCTGCGAGCCGCGACCGAGCAGAAAGCCTGTAAATGCCGCGTTCAAAAAACGGCCAGGGATCCCACACATCTGCGGGCAAAATCTGGCGGAAGTGATCCGCCACCAAGCAAAAAGCCTGTAAATACCGCATTAAACAAAGGGCCAGGGATTTCACATATCTGTTGGCAAAATCTGACAGAAGTACCGATTGCTCACTTCCGCCAGATTTTGCCACCAGATATGTGAAATCCCTGGCCCTTTGTTTAATGCGGTATTTACAGGCTTTTTGCTCGGTGGCGGATCACTTCCGCCAGATTTTGCCCGCAGATGTGTGGGATCCCTAGCCCTTGAAGTGGTGGGTGAGACACGGCGGTTTGGAGCCTGCTGTCTCTTCCCATTTCCAACACCGATCCTGACGGCGAGGCTGTTCTGTCGAATGACATCTTCGCTAACTCTTTGGTAGGGTGGAGGTGGATTCAGGGGTTGAGGGGCGGTGGGTTTAGGGGGGGGGGCTGGATTCTAAGGCGCGGTTCGATAGCACCAAATTTTCGGAAGCGGCTCCTTTCAGACAATTTGGTGCTATCGAACCGCGCCTTGGAAAACACAGCGGTTCGATAGCACCAAATTTTCGGAAGCGGCTCCTTTCAGAAAATTTGGTGCTATCGAACCGCGCCTTGGAAAACACAGCGGTTCGATAGCACCAAATTTTCGGAAGCGGCTCCTTTCAGAAAATTTGGTGCTATCGAACCGCGCCTTGGAAAACACAGCGGTTCGATAGCATCAAATTTTCTCAAAGGAGCCGCTTCCGAAAATTTGGTGCTATCGAACCGCGCCTTTTGTAGAACACAGCGGTTCGATAGCACCAAATTTTCGGAAGCGGCTCCTTTCAGAAAATTTGGTGCTATCGAACCGCGCCTTGGAAAACACAGCGGTTCGATAGCACAAATTTTCGGAAGGTTGGGTGGTGGCACGGGGCAGGGGGCAGAGGGCAAGGGACAACGGGGCTGGGGAGAGAAGGCGTGAGGAGATGGAGGGGGTGATGGGAGGGGAAGGGGTCCGGGGGGTAGGGGGCTGGATTAGGGGTCGGGTGGTGGGGGGAGGGGTGGGGGCAGGGCAAGGGGGAGGGGAGGCAGGGGGGGGGGGTAGGGGGTGGAAGGGTGAAGGGATGGAGATGGGGCTGCGGGGGGGATGGGGGTGGGGAGGGTGGCTTAGGCCCTAAACTCTCAGGTTTGGGAAGGGAGGCAGGGAGTGGGGGAGGGGAGGGACCTTCCTCCCGCCCTGTCTCCTGCATCCCTCCCTCCCTCCCTCGTCCCTCCCTCCCTTGCTCCCTTCCTCCCTCCCTCCCTCCCCTGCCTTCCCCTCACCCTCCCTCTCTTGCCCTTCCTTCCTCCCTTGGAGTGAAAAAACAGTTTCCGTCCCTATTTAAATAATTTAAATAAATCAAATAATTTAAATATTTAAAATATTTAAAAAAAAAACAAACATTTAAATTATTTAAATTATTTTGTCAAGGAAATAATTTAAATAATTTAAATACGGCTGTCACATTTGGTTAGAAGGTTTCCACCCTATTTAAATAATTTAAATATTTTAAATAATTTAAATAATTTAAATAACTTAAATAAGCCGTATTTAATTTATTTAAATTATTTAACTTATTTTGTAAAGGAAATAATTTAAATAATTTAAATATTTAAATCATTTAAAATATTTACATTATTTAGATTATTTAAATTATTTAAATTATTTAAATAGTCCTGGAAAGGTTGTTTTAGGAAAGCTAACTAACTATTTTAATTATTTAAATTATTTAAATTATTTTGTCAAAGAAATATTTTAAATAATTTAAATATTTTAAATACGGCTGTCACATTTGGTTAGAAGGTTTCCACCCTATTTAAATAATTTAAATATTTTAAATATTTTAAATAATTTAAATAACTTAAATAAGCAGTATTTAATTTATTTAAATTATTTAACTTATTTTGTAAAGGAAATAATTTAAATATTTAAATCATTTAAAATATTTACATTATTTAGATTATTTAAGTTATTTAACTTATTTAAATAGTCCTGGAAAGGTTGTTTTAGGAAAGCTAACTAACTATTTTAATTATTTAAATTATTCAAATTATTTTGCCAAAGAAATATTTTAAATAATTTAAATAATTTAAATACGGCTGTCACATTTGGTTAGAAGGTTTCCACCCTATTTAAATAATTTAAATAATTTAACTATTTTAAATAATTTAAATAATTTAAATAAGCCGTATTTAATTTATTTAAATTATCTAAATTATTTTGTAAAGGAAATTATTTAAATAATTCAAATATTTGAATCATTTAACATATTTACATTATTTAGATTATTTAAATTATTTAAATTATTTAAATAGTCCTGGTAAGGTTGCTTTAGGATAGCTAACTAACTATTTAAATTATCTAAATTATTTAAATTATTTTGTCAAGGAAACATTTTAAATAATGTAAATAATTTAAATACGGCTGCCACATTTGGCTAGAAGGTTTCCCCCCTATTTAAATAATTTGTTTAATTTAAATTTTTTAAATAATTTAAATAAGCTGTATTTAATTTATTTAAATTATTTAAATTATTTTGTACAGGAAATATTTTAAATAATTTAAATAATTTAAATACGGCTGTCACATTTGGTTAGAAGGTTTCCACCCTATTTAAATAATTTAAATAATTTAAATAATTTAAATATTTTAAATAATTTAAATAAGCTGTATTTAATTTATTTAAATTATTTAAATTATTTTGTAAAGGAAATAATTTAAATAATTTAAATATCTAAAATATGTAAATTATTTAAATTATTTAAATTATTTACATTATTTAAATTATTTAAATAGTCCTGGAAAGGTTGTTTTAGGATAGCTAACTAACTATTCAAAGTATTTAAATTATTTAGATTATTTTTTAACGGAAATAATGTAAATAATTTAAATAATTTAAATAGGCTGTATTTAATTTATTTAAATTATTTAAATCATTTTTTACAGGAAATAATTTAAATAATTTAAATTATTAAATTATTTGAAAAAATTTCTTTTGAAACATATTTTAAATAATTTAAATATTTTAAATAAGCCGAATTTAATTTATTTAAATTATTTAAATTATTTTGTAAAGGAAATAATTTAAACAATATAAATATTTAAACTATTTAAAATATTTAAATTATTTAAAATGTTTAATTTCATATTCATATATATAATTAAATGAATGCGTCAAATGGACCCTAAAGGAGCCTCTCTCATATATATAAATATAGGTTTGTGGTACTTACAACGAATGTAATAGAGATGATATGGGTACCGAGGATGAAGAAGTAGAGGCGCGACTTAACTATAAAGTTTGCATGTAGTGGCCTGAGCTGAGCGCCTAAGCCCCCACATTTCCACATCCACACAGGAGCACGGTGTCGTTCTGGGCCGAAGGCAGCGGCGCAAACTCGCAGGCGCCGTTGCCCCTTCGCCATCTCTGCGACGTGGAGCTGCTGCGGCGGAGGGCAGCAAGGAGTCCTCCGGGGTTTCAAGCTTACCTGAACCTCTCCACCCTCCTAAATCCTACTCCGAACAAACAAGGCAAGCCCAGTAATTACGGGTTCCCAAGCATGAAAGCCATGAGGGGCTTTCGGGCTCAATTATGGGGCTTAGTGACTTAGTGCATTTTTCGCGAAGAGAGTTGGCAGTAAGGCGGTCGCAGGCCTCAGAAGCCTGAGGCTAAATAGTTGTGTTTCGCAAGGATTATTTTAAGGTCTTATGCGGTGATACAAGGGCTTTCTAAGGGATCCGTAGGGTTGCAGGGCCTGTAGGGTACTAGGTACCACGAAACATAACCTAAAACTCTGATCTTTGGGTACTTGAACCCTCTGCTACTTGGTTGGAGACCGTGAAAACCCCGAATAGTTGAGGCTCCCTGCATTCGCGGAGCTGGCTCACCACGTCCTTCCTGAGCTCCAAGCCCCAGAACCTTGCAAGTCAAAGGGCATCAATCCCCAACCCCTTTCTAGGTTTAGTGGACCCAAACCCCAAACCCGCAAGTGCAACTGCTCCTTCTCAGCCGCAGGTTCTGCCTGAGCTGATACTCCCTGGCGATGTGGAAATCATATGGGTGGACAAGGACTTGGCGACGGCAACAGAGGACTCGGCTGTGACCAGAAGCAGCGGGGCCGATGATTCGATGCTGAGTTTCTGGTGCTCTTATCCTACAATTACTGTACTCCCCTGTCCTCTTGCTGATGAATGTGCGCTCTCAACTTGCGAATGTTTCAGCTTTGTGCAAAAGTGGAGAAGGGGTGGTGGATTTATTCATCGCAGTTTCATGTTCAGGTGGCCTCACCCACAAGGGAAGCTTCGGTTATCGAGCTTGCAAGCTTACTTTCTTAGGTGCTTACTTTGTAAACTTAGACGACCCTAGAAGCCACATTACAGCATTAAGCAATGAGCTAAATGATTGAGAGCACCTCTAGTTGTGGACGACAGACGTCAAGACGGCATGGCAAGGATAAGCCGGGAAAGAGAGACGGAGGGAGAGAGGAGAGAGAGAGAGAGAGAGAAACAAAAAAAATAAAGAAGATAACAGGGACCGGAGAGATTTGCAGAAGCCGAGTCATAGCCCACGGGCCCCACTCAGACGTTCGGCTGCACTTCGCCAATCATGCGTTGTGTTTGTGTTTTCCATCGTGCAGAGGATCTTTTCCGAAGAGCAGCAGACGAGGGCGGCATCATTGCCTTGGATGCAGATTCTGGTCCGCGACTAATGTAGGGGCCATAGTAACTAGAATAGGGTTTAAGGGGTATATCATAATTGCTTTAATTAAGCCGCTATGCTGGTGTTGCTACTTTTTTGATCTCGATACATGTTGATGCACACGGTCATGTAAGCGTATATCCTGCTTTCTGTTGTACATAAATTTTGGAGGCTGGCAACCGATACGGTAGGTCCACACTTCGACACTCCAGCTTGCTGGAGTCGCGTGGAATGTTACAACCTATAGGTTCGTGATAGAACTCTCATGCTCATAGGACCTTTCGAAAACACATAAACACTCCATGGGTCATGTAGGGCCTCAATGATTAAAACAGGGCTTGGGGATATATCATATTTTATGTATGACAAGGAACCTCCCCCCGTCCACCCCAAAAAAGGTCTAATGATTAAGGACCCTACAGTAGGCTCGGCTCGGCCTGACATGCTCATAAACTCAGCAGGAGAGAAGAGGAGCTTTCAGAACAATAGCTGCTGACCACCACACATCTGCAGAAGGTTAATCCCTATTTCTAATCGCCTGAAAGCCCTAATCGCCTGACGGCTCCAGAGCCTAAACACTCCTAGATTTGGGGTTTAGGCTCGATGGGGTGGCGGCACTTTTCGGGCCATATCTTCACAGCCCGGATGCAAACTCAAGGTTTAGGGTTTACATGACCTATAAACCCTGATCTGAACCCTGAGCCTAAACCACGAAACCCCAGACCCCCAGAGCATGTGCTGCCGAGGAGTGGAAACCTTTCAGAACAGGCTCGACAGATGGAAAGGTTTTCTGCACCGATTTTCATGGTGGTGTGCGGGGATATTCAAAGGTCTCATGCCTCATGCCGCGTCTCGTGTTTGGCATGCAGGGGATATTCAAAGGGCAGTGCGAGAGGTGGCGAGATGCGCGACAGCCGACAATCTTATTCTTGAACTGATGCCGCCAGGGGAGCCACCAACGCCGCTGGAGTTAGTGCAGCTCGCTGTGCCCGAGCCCTCAGCATCCTTCAGAGATTTTCATGGAGTCCAGGCTTTGGGGTATGGGGGCTGTCTGGGTTCACAGAGTGTTTGTAGAGGTATGTGCCTTCTTGATGGAGAAGGGGCCGAAACATGCAAACCCCCCTTGTACCATTAATGTGCCCAGCGAGGTAACAAGCTGGAGCCACGTTTTGGGAGCAAGTTCGGTGAATCGTGATAGTCGCGGCGAGGCTTTCGCTTTCCGACCTACATTCCCGAATAAAGCTTGTCCATATGTAAAATCTCGTGCAACTAATGCCGGCTTGCTGCAACGACCCGCAACCGTTAAACAGACAGGCACCCTTTACAAGGCTAATGGAACAGAAACCCTAAACCCTTATGGAACCCTTGAAAGGGTCTCAGCTTTCGTATCAGCAGTAGTACTCGCACTAGTCCTATTCTTAGAACCTTTCGACATGGGAGTTTTCGAAAATTAGGGGTACCTTGTTTTGGGGTCCCTATAATAAGGCTCCTACTATTTAGGGTACTATATTAGGGTCCCCTATTTTCGGAAACTCCCACATGCTCTGGCGGTTTTAGCCATCATGCTTGAGGCCTTCGGCCTGCTTCCTCCTGGATATCCCCCGCCTCCGCCAAGACGAGGACGAGAAGCTTTGCTTTGTCATAGTTGGGTAACATTTTACACTTTATGGGTACTTTAACCCAATAAGGAATAAAAATGTACATTTTTTATCCTATCCCAACAATGAACTAGTTTAGGGGTTTAGATTGGGCACTGCCCCCACTCAGCAACAGTTGAATAATCTTTAACATATAGACATATTTTAGGCCCTGGAAGCCTTTAAAGGACTGTTACTGTATGGGGGCAGTAGCCAAGGTTTGGAGTTCAGGTTTTCAGGTCCAGGGCGCATGAAGCTGAGGCTCCAGGTGTGCTCTTCAGGGACCTACTGTTGATGATATAAATCCTGCATTACCCATAATAAGGAATATGTCATAATTCCCATAGTTTAGGGCCCTTAAGGTCATGCAGGATTTATATCATCAACCGTATCCCCCAGGCTGACCCCCTGCACTTAGGGTGCTGTTAAAGTGTACTCGGGGGAACTGAGAACTCCTGCCCAATCCTCTCACCAAAAAAGGGCAGGAGGAAGCAAGATCCATATTGAAAACTAGGGTTGATGATAGAAATCCTGCATTACCCATAATAAGGAATATGTCATAATTCCCATAGTTTAGGGTCCTTAAGGTCATGCAGGATTTATATCATCAACAGTATCCAACCATAAGGCTGGGGTTTCCCAAATTTCTACCAAAAAACCTCTCAAAACCTTCGCAACCCTGAAAGACACTGCCGAAGCACACGACCAGCACTAATGTAGGAACCTGATTAAGGATCCCTGGGTTTATAACGCCTCAATAGTAGGATTCATATAAGGACCCCCAATAAAGTGGCCCAAGGTTTCTCAGTCAGGCTCCTCTATAGTACCCTTATCGATCCCTTATCGTTACCCTTACAGACCCCTTTTAAAGGAACCCCAATAAGGGCCCAGGGTTCCTTAATCATGCTCTTACATTAGCACCCTCATCCTGCAAGGATGCTTTGAAGCCTGAGCAATGAAGGTTTCCTTTGGTTCTTACTTACCCCAAGGGTCCAAAGGGCCCAATAGTTAGGTACTCGGTGTCAGGATAGTCGTTATGTAGGTTAGGGTTCTGGAGAGTATATGATAATTAAGTACCTGGACCCTTGGGGTTATAACAAGGGCCCGAAGGACCTTCAGGACTTGATGCATCCCCTAAATCCGCAAGTCCCGAACTTCTACAATGCAAGGCGCCAGGCCTAAACCCCACCGGACACCCACAGTAAAGATCGTTCTCGAATGCTATGACCTTGCTGGCACGAAGGAGGTGGCGCTCCGCACGTTGCTGGCGCGGCTCTGTACCTCGGCTTTGGGGTTCGGGGCATACGTTTTTCAAGGATTTGTTTGTGTTCCAGCATTCATTCGGTCTTTCGGGTAGGGTTTCGCTAAAGGGGTTATGCTTAAGGTTAAGGCTTCCTGCTGTATGGTCCTGTGACTGGCCTGTGGTACCCAGAGACGCCAGTATTACATAACTACCATCCGAAAACTAAGTACCTAATTCTTGCGTCCTTTGGACCCTTAGGGCCTTAGGGGATTACAGTAGTAGCCAGAAAGTTGGAACATCATTACCCTCATGGCCTTAAGGTAAAGTATAAGGGATCCTAGCACTAATCCTCCTAAAGCCATGTTCCAACTTTCTGGCTTCTACTTTATCTCTAGCTTACTTGCACTAAGAACATGAATTGTCCGGATTCCAAGGATCCTGAGCCCCTGAAGGCTGCAGGTGAAGGAAAGCATTCCCTTTTTTGCCGGGGTTTAGGGTTTAGAATGAGGGTTTCGGCACTCACACTCGGACAATCCAGGCGAGGCATGTGGTTCGGAGTCTGTTGAATTAGGGTTTAGGGTTTAGAATGATTCCCTCTCGGCAGAGTCTGGGTTCAAAAAGAATGAGGGAATCTTTAGGTAAGCAGACTTTGCACGAAATGGTTAGGGTTTCGAGCTTGGCTGGTTGAAAGGCTTTGGGCTTGGTTCAGGGGCTTCAACCCGTAAGCGAACCCTTAAATTAAAGGAACCCTAAACCCCCAAAGCCCAAAACCCCAAGGCAAGCTCAGAACCCTCGAAGCCATGCCTGCCTTGTGCGAGTGTGTGAGTCGAAAGCCCCAAACTCCCCTAAAGCCCAAAGCCCTCAAGCCCAAAACCCTGCACTCCCGAAGGCCAAAGCAGGAATCCCTAGACCTTCAAAGCCCGTAAACAGGCAAGGAAGCCCTTGAAGGAACCCCTGAATCTTCAAAGCCCATGAACCCTAAACCCCTAAACCCTAAACCCCAAAACCCTTAAACCCTTAAACCCTAAACCCTTCAAACCCTACAGACAGGCAAGGATGCGTTGCTCCTGGGATTTGGGCTCCTACAGGACGCGGCGAAGGTTGCTGCTGAAGGCCTCGGCAGGACCCGAGCCATGGGCGATTGTAGGGCTCAGGGTTTTGGGTCTCTGTTCCAGGCTTTAGGGTTGAGGGTCAGGGTCATGGCTTGGGGTCTAAAGTTTAGGGTTTGAGGCTGAGGTTCGGGTTTAAGGTTTAGGGTGCAGGGCAAGAGGGAGAGGTTCCAGCTCGGAGGCTAAAGAGTTAAGGTCAGATTGGTAGTATTACTTCACACATAAAATTTGGGTGGTTTTACAATACAGAGTAAGCTTATCCTCTCATAGTCTCAAATTTAGTTACAGTATGGATACTATGAAACTTTACTCAACTTGTTAGCCAGTGTACAGTAGATAACAGCATCGAAAGTTCATCCTGGCTTTGCACATCTATCGTTCGGGTCAGGTTTGTCATGCAGTTATGTTCACATGTTTACTTGCCGTATCTCTACGCAAACACTCAAAACCTGTTTCTCGCGAGCTTCTTTGTTGGACAAAAGTATCCCCTCACTAGGGTGATTTTGCTGCTGCTGGTTTCTTTCTGCGATTATAGTGGGCATGAGCAGCAGTGATCACACGATTGCTGTCAACAAGTTTGCGAACTTCAGCCACCCGACTCAAGACCCCGAGAACTTCTGAATGCAAGTTGTTGATGCCTTTGCGGGAGTATGAGTAGGCTTCAAACATCCTTGCACGGGACACAACGCATAGCGGAAGAGGGCTTGAGACCTGCATCTTGATCATCTTGAATCACGTAACCAGGATGGAAGCCGCCAGGTGAAGCTTGTCCGCAGCTTCCATAGCCTCAACTAGGACCAGGATGTGAGGGTTCCCACAGCTTGATGAAACCCCTCATGAAGCCAAGATGATTTAATTAATGCCTATGCGACTTTTTAGAACCCTCATCCCACCACAAAGTTCAAGAAAGCACATTGTCGTGCTTGCAGAGTTGTCCCTAGGTGCCGGGGGAAGGTTTGAACCGTAGACCCGCCTTCGTAGCCCCTCGCTCTGCAAGCTTCAGGTCAGACAGGGCCCCGCCAGCCCTAAATATTAGAAGGGTCCCTTTAAAGGGATCTATGGGGATTTGATTATAGGGGTTCATTTCAGGGTCCCTTTAAAGGGATCTATAGGGATTCTACATTGAAGCTCTTCAGGATGAAGCTCAAACCCTGTTGCAATCTGCCGATCTCCTATACCAAACCGTGCAAGAACCTTGGCAACATAAGCACATGTGCACATTCACACATGTACATATATCCCTGAAGTTGGGTAGATAGAAAGGTAGAAATATGATTATACACACACGAATATGTACAATGTACATATGCCGATGATAGGCATAGATTTTTAGATAGATACAAAGGTCTTTTAGACAGTTTGTTTTGAACGATAGGTCGGTGGATAGGTAGATCGATTTATAGGTACATACACAGACGTGTATATATATATATACACATTTATTTATACATATACATATATTTACACATACATAGGTGTATATATTTGTGTATATATATAATATTACACACACATATATATATATATATATATATCTTGTTCAATATGTTCAACGTAAGATCTACCACTCTAAACTGAAGATCACCCTGAGGCCTGGACCTGCAGGAAGACGTGAAGCGACCGTCCGGAGGCCTCGTTGTTTCTTAATTGTTTTCTGTGGTTTTAGGGCCAAACTTTCGGGATTTTAGGGATTAGGGTTTTTAAGGATTTTGGGGCCGGGATTAAGAGTTTAGTGAGTTTTGGGGTCTTGAAGAGATTAGGATTTCAGGTTTAAGTGGGTTTTAGGCTGGTTTTGGTTTTGGGACACCGCTCTTTTCAGGACGGGTCTTCGGACTTGGGGAGTTGCGGGGGGAATTAGCTTTCCCGAAGGGTCCATGTGCCCAAGTAGTATACACTTGGCCCCGAAGTACCTGCATGAATAAACAAGATCAATAAATAAATGAATGAGCAGTAGAAACACACACACATATATATATATATATGGTAACCCCCCCCCCAGGACCAACCTCGGCCATTGTCCTGCTCATTACTGTCTTCACAGCGTCATGAATAAGAGCCGAAACCACTGTAAATACCGATGGTGTTTGTGTTCCCGTACAAAGTTTGCACTCTCGACGCCTCTTGACAGACTGGTAAAAAACAGGGTCCAGTTTTATGGACACCATTTACACTCTCGGCGCGTCTTGTCGGAGTGGTAAAATACAGAGTCCAGTTTGTGTGCCTCATCCTTTATTAATTATTGTCATCTTGTCAAAGTCTTGTTTCAGTCTTAAAAAACAGTGTTAACATTGGTCTTGACTTAATTTTGCTCTAAGTTTTAACCTCAACTATTGTGAGTAGTAACCTTAATATTTTTGCTAGCGTTAGCATTATTATTAGTTTTGTGTCATTACTAATTTTAGAAGTTCTAACAATGCTGCTGGTATCTGTCCAATATTACTGTTCGTTTGATTAGTGTTCCTGTTAGTGCTGATGCTGGTGTCAGTGTCAACGTCAGTGTTAGTCTTAATATTAATATGAGTATTAGTGCTCCAGTTTAATTTAATATATGTCTATAGCAGTGTTAGTGTTAGTGTTCGTGTTAGTATTCGTATTAATATTAGACGTGGGCTGGGCTTTAAAAACTTAGTCTTAGTACATTATGTGTATAAGTATTCATGTGTGTATATTCAGTATATTGGTATATAAACAAAACATATATATTCATTAAAAAAATTTTTGGGTATACTCGTATATTGGTATATTAGTAACAATGGTCTATTGGTATATCAGTTTCTCAGTATATTAGTATATTAATTTATTAGTATATTAGTATAATACTATAACCGTACATATTGGTAAATGAAAACATTGAGTTTTTAACAATCTGATGCATTCATTTCCTTGTGCCTTATTCTGATGTATTCTTTAGTATACATTACAAAAGCGATATTGACATTAATATGATGTTTGTAAATTCATATTGGTATTGATATTAACATGAGTTGTCATCTTGTCAAAGTCTTATTATTAGTTTCAGTCTTAAAAAACAGTGTTAACATTGGTCTTGACTTAATTTTGTTCTAAGTTTGAACCTCAATTATTGTGAGCAGTAACCTTAATATTTTTGCTAGCGTTAGCATTATTATTAGTTTTGTGTCATTACTAATTTTAGAAGTTCTAACAATGCTGCTGGTATCTGTCCAATATTACTGTTCGTTTGATTAGTGTTCCTGTTAGTGCTGATGCTGGTGTCAGTGTCAACGTCAGTGTTAGTCTTAATATTAATATGAGTATTAGTGCTCCAGTTTAATTTAATATATGTCTATAGCAGTGTTAGTGTTAGTGTTTGTGTTAGTATTCGTATTAATATTAGACGTGGGCTGGGCTTTAAAAACTTAGTCTTAGTACATTATGTGTATAAGTATTCATATGTGTATATTCAGTATATTGGTATATAAACAAAACATATATATTAATAAAAAATTTTGGGGTATACTCGTATATTGGTATATTAGTAACAATGGTCTATTGGTATATCAGTTTCTCAGTATATTAGTATATTAATTTATTAGTATATTAGTATAATACTATAACCATACATATTGGTAAATGAAAACATTGAGTTTTTAACAATCTGATGCATTCATTTCCTTGTGCCTTATTCTGATGTATTCTTTAGTATACATTACAAAAACGATATTGACATTAATATGATGTTTGTAAATTCATATTGGTATTGATATTAATATGAGTATGTAATAATCTTTCTATATTTGTATGAGCACAAATAATTTTGCTAGTATTATGCATGTTCGTACTAGCCGAAGTATTAGTGCTCATATTAATATCAATATGGTTCTAAAGAGACTATTAATGTCGGTATTCATACTGAGAATAATTTTGTTAAGAACATGAGCATAAATACCCGTAGGAATATTCATACCTATGCTTGTATTGGTATTAATACTCGTATTAGCATGAGTACTAGCATTAGTACGTATCTAGGCATGACGATTCTTATATGAATATAAAAGGGGAACATGATTATTAGTATTCGTAAGAACATTAGTTTTCCTATACATTAATGCTAACTAATATTACTATGCATATTAGTATTGGCAAGAACATTAAAGTTCGTGTTCACATCAATTCTAAAATTGGTATTAGTACAGTTTTTTCAATATTAGGAGTAGATACTAGTAGTAGAATTAAAATTAGTATGAACAAAACATGCGTTGGTATTTGTCGGAATATGAAACTTGAGGTTACTCTTCGTATGAGTTACTAGTACTACTGAAAAACATACCAATGCTGATGTTAATACGAATGCTAACATTCATGTATGAGCATGTTATTATGCACGTTCGCACTAGCCTTAGTGCTAATATTAGCATGAATATGAGTACTCCAAAAATGAGTAATTTCACGAATATGCATAGCCAATATTCATACTAGCGATAATACTAGCTATAGTATGTATATTAGTATTCGCATCAAGACTATTCATACAATGTACATGATTTCAAGTATTCTTGGGAACATCAGTATTCATACTAGCATACTATCAGTTTCACCAGTAGTATTACTATAAGTATTAGTACTCGTATGAGTATTATAGTTTTCAAAGTTTTCAAAATAATATCAATATTACTACAAGTTGCACAGACACGTCAACCGGCGACGTCGCGAGGTCGAGTTCCCTAAATTCTCTAATCACTGCTTCCATGCCTCGAATTTACAGAATGCGTGAGTTCCTGCAGACTCCCTAAATCCCTAAAGTCTTTACATACCCTAATTTCCAGCCCCATGTGTTGGTTTTAGCGCATTCCCTAACATTCCTGACTCCCAGCCCGGACCATGTGTTGGATTTAGGGAATTCCCTAAATTCCCTAAATCCCTAAATTCCCTAATTCCCTACCCCATGTGTTGGATTTGGGGAATTCCCTAAATTCCCTAAATTCCCTAAATTCCCTAAATTCCCTAAATTCCCTAAATTCCCTAAATTCCCTAAATTCCCTAAATTCCCTACCCATGAACGGAAACCATTGAATCTTCTCCATGGGGGTCAGACTTAGGGAATTTAGGGAATTTAGGGAATTTAGGGAATTTAAGGAATTTAGGGAATTTAGGGAATTTAGGGAATTTAGGGAATTTAAGGAATTTAAGGAATTTAGGGAATTTAGGGAATTTAGGGAATTCCCCAAATCCAACACATGGGGTAGGGAATTAGGGAATTTAGGGAATTTAGGGAATTTAGGGAATTTAGGGAATTTAAGGAATTTAGGGAATTTGGGGAATTTAGGGAATTTAGGGAAATAGGGAATTCCCCAAATCCAACACATGGGGTAGGGAATTAGGGAATTTAGGGAATTTTTGGGAATACCTAAATCCAATGGGTAGGGAATTAGGGAATTTAGGGAATTCAGGGTTGGTCTTGGGGGGGGGGGCTAGCATATATATATATATATATATATATACATATATATATATATATATATATAGAGAGAGAGAGAGAGAGATAATAGGGACTTAGGCCAAAGTATATCCTATCTGGGTGCATGGACTGTTAGGATTAGGGTTGCAGGCTGCAAGATTGAGGTGCATGCGCTTCGAGCTTAGACCCTAAGACCTTCTACTTCGGTTGCCCTCGTCTAGAAGATCAGTGACAAAGCCGTTGCGGGACAGAATCACCCTCACTGTAGGGGTCTGAGTACTGTAGTCGGGAATGCTATCCCCTCTACCCCAGTGAACCTGCCTTAATCTACCCCGAAGCGCCACTCCAATTCTCCTAAGACTTCATATGACATCCGCAAATCAAAGGCCAAACCTCAGACCGGATTTGTAGCCCGCTTGCTAGGCAACGGTCTCGCTGAGATCCTGCGCGCCTCACTGCACCGGTCATTGCCGAAAGAGGAGCAGCCGCTGGACCAGAGAACTTCAAGAGTTCTAGGAAGGGAGAGAGAGAGAGAGAGAGAGACATACAAGCCAGAGACAGAGCAGAGAGAGAGAGAGAGAGGGAACGAGAGCGAGCAAGGGTTGGGAAGCTTCGTATGTCGTATGCTTTGGGAAGCTTGGCTCCAGCATCTTTGTACATCAGTATTTGTACATGAGGTCTGCATGTTTATGCGCTGCATTATGTACCTACATATGCATATTATGTAAAAATCGTTCAGGCATACTTGGATCTGTACATCCACATGCTCGCCAAGCGGTTGATCATGACTGCCGACGCCTTGAAAAAGGTGATCAAAAACAAAGAAGACCCTCACATACTCTGCACTCTAAGCTCTAGACAGTCTCCAAACCTTCAAGGCCCCAAGACCTCAAAAGAATACCACCCTAGGTTGCGCTGCTCCCTTCAGCTACCCGCCCCTGTAACGTTTCCATCAAGCCCTAGGGAAATCCACCGAGCCAAAACACTCAGCCCTGAAAACCCCCGAAACCCCAAAAATCTCAAGCCCCCCGGAAGCCAGAGAGCCCAGTACCCTTCAACCAAGAAAGGAATGTACCTTAAGCCAGAATATTACGAGTCCTCATATTTCAAAGGTACCTTCCTTTATACCCTAAACCCTAAACCCTATAGGGGGCATTGAGCTCTCTGAGAAGCCCCGCCCCCAAAATCAAGGTGTTCAGACTGGTCCTTGCGGCCTCTCACGGAGAAGCAGCGGCGTTGCTTTTCCAGAATTGTGAGGAAAAGCTTGCTTTAGGAGTTTTAGGGTTTAGTTTCAAGGCCGGCAGTCGCAATAGGTCTGGATGCAAAAAGATTCAAGGCCTACGAGTACAAAGTTTCAGGGCTTCAGGGTTGGGATGCAAGGCCTGCAAGAAAAGAGTTTAATATATAGAGGCCTTAAAAATTGCCAATACTATTTGGGGGGTTCCTTATAGTATAAAGGGCCCCAAAACCTTATTCTAATTATTAAGGCCCGTATATCAGGGTTTTTAGGGCTGCCGGCTCGATGTTTCTTTTGCCTTTGCGTCTTTAGGATTGCAGGCTTTTGGCTTTGGGGGTGTCAAGGCTTCCGGTTTAAAGGAATCTCCAGTGGCTGTGTATTCAAAGGAACGATAAGTAGTTGAAACACAGAAGACGAAAACCTCAAACGACCTTCTATGTACGGCCAAAGGTCCATGCAAACCCTCATGTTTGGGACCTTGCTTGGACGCGGTGCAGGACTTCTTGTAAGTAGGACGCGTGTGATATTCGGAGGAGACATACCTCAGGCATCGTCTTCGATGCGGAGGGGAGAAAAAGTTCACGATCCAAGCAGTTGTTGCTTTGTGCCGGGCGGGTTCATACGAGTTGTCACAGGCTACTCCTTTTTAGGAGCTACTTGACGAAACAAGCGGGGTTTCTTTTCCTGTCGATTTCAGGGACTGCCCATACCCCTAGTCGTAGAATAGGTACCCTTTCACCTTGTTGGGGAACTATACTGCCTACATAATCCTAATGTACTCCCCAAGGTTAACCTTTAGTTCCCCAAGATACTAAACCCTAAACCCCTAAAAAATAAACCGTAAGCCCCTAAACCCCTAAACCCTAAGCCCCCACGCCCTGAACCCTGACCACAGCTAGGCTACGCTGCACTGGATGCTTGGGCGCTGCTCCAGGCATCACGCTGGGCAGTCTAGGGGCGGGCTTGAGAAATTGCCTCTACTATTTTGGTGCTCCTCATTATAGTTAGAGCATAATATAGCCCCCAAATCCTATATGCATCATGAGGGCCCCCGGGTTTTTTTTGGAGTCGAGGGCCCCAGGTTATTTTTGGAGTCTGGGATTTAGGGTTTGGGGTTTCAGGTGGAGGCTTTCTATTTAGGATGCACAACGAGTCCAAAAGGTATCTTGCACATTGCTTCCTGTAGTTGCACAACGATAGAATACTCTCGTGAGTCGAGAACCACCGCATGCGGGAACGTCGCACATAAACACATGTAACCGTAGTTTGCGAGGCGAAGCGTCATAAAATCTGGTATGTATGTATGTATGTGTATGTGTGTAACGTATGCATGCATGCATGTATGTATATACCCTAAAGCCTACAGCATGGGGCCCTCTGGATGCAATGCAGAGAGAGAGAGAGAGAGAGAGAGAGAGAGAGAGAGAGAGAAAAAAAAAAGATACATGAATTTCAGGCAGACTCCCGTAATCGAGCCCTATAAAACCCTTAAAACGAAAATCCAGAATCTAAGGTATATTCCTTGTTTCAGTCCCCCTGGGATCTCTGATTACATACGCCTTCGCTTGCCAGCTCCTCGCGGTCGACTACGGTTCGGCGCCGGGTGCCGGGACCGTTCTCGCTGCGCAGGTGCGCGGGCTGAGGGTTTTTGTAGCGTTCAGATCGGGTCTTGTATGGTTTTATAGGGCTTATAGGTTTTTGGGGTTCAAGGGGTTGGTGTTTCTTGTGGTTAAGGTCTTCAAGCTACGGAGATTTAGGTTTCAAGGTGTAGGGATGTGTGTGACAGCTTGTGTGTATGTGTTTGTGTGTGTGTGTTGGTGTGTTCCTTTGTTTGCTTGTCTGCTTGCTTGCTTGTTCGCAGACATACGATGTAGTTTGGGTTACTTGTTGCGTTCCTTTGGTTGCTTGTCTGCTTGCTTGCTTGTTCGCGGACATATGATGTAGTTTGGGTTACTTGTTGTGGTCATTTGTTTGCTTGTCTGCTTGCTTGCTTCTTCGAAGACATATGATGTAGTTTGGGTTACTTCTTGTTGTCATCTGTTCGCTTGTCTGCTTGCTTGCTTGTTCGGACATATGATGTAGTTTGGGTTACGTGTTGTGGTCATCTGTTTGCTTGTCTGTGCTTGCTGGTTCGCAGGCATTTGATGTAGTTTGGGTTACTTGTTGTGGTCATCTGAGGTAGTTGTGCGCAGGATTTGAGGGTACGTGCGATTGAGAAGTCACGCAGACAGGTTCTCGCCTGAGGTTGCGCACAGTGATTACTCGGCACTGGTCCGTGGGTTCTTTGGATAGGAACGCTGGATGACTCGAGCTGGTTGTTTCATAGCCCCAGCTTGCACACCGGGCGATGCACAACCGCTAACGGAACCACTCTACGCAGGATCTGGCCCTGTGCCTCAAAGACGTCGTGGCACCGGCACGGCCCTTGCTGTTGCCATTGGGCCCCGCCGCATCCTGAGAGAACCTTTGTTTTTGTTCCGGTCCCGCCCTCTGAAGATGGGTAATCGGGTAATGTTCAGCGTTCAGAGTTTCAGGGTTCTGGGGTTTTCGAGTTCAATCCTAGGGGAGGTAAGAAGTCCAGCTAGGAGTATCTTTGCTGCCCTCGCGATTCCTTTTCTCTTCTAATCCACTTACTAGTTGAGCGAAGCATAACGACATGTTGACTCTTATTCTGCTATCGTTCTATCTGAAAGAGTGTAACCCGTATACCCAAAAGCTCGAAACCCTGAGCGGTTTTATGTGTGTGTGTGTGATTCTTAGCACCTGCAGCGAAGGAACATGTAGACCTCGCCTTTGAGAAGCTGTCCCTGCCCGTTCAGGAGGCTGGATGTGAGCTCATATACGGGCTTAAACAAATAATTACCGATAATATTTTGGGGGGTCCTTGTTATCATTATAGTATAATGGGCCCCAAAACCTTGTTCAAATGATTAAGGCCCCTATATGAGGGTCTTTCAGTTTGGAGAGCCGCTGGCAGATGAAGGTCTGAATGCTCCGCTCCACAGCGAGACCGTTTCTGGCCGCTCTATTCCTCTGAAGGCACTATGGAAACCCTAGGAATCACCAGGACCCCCAATGGCCCTTTAATAGAGCCCTTATGGTCCTTGATAGTGGCTATGTGGGGCACAATAGAGAGTAGTTGCGGGGTCTAGGTACTTTTTTACAGTTTATACATAGTTTTGCCACGTATTGGAGTCGACCACGTCCTGTTTCCGTAGCGGCGACCGGCTGCGGCCAGCTTGTCACAATATGGAGTATTGGAGCAAAAGCGATGGGTCAGGAGTGGCTGTTGCGAGCTTCAGCCATGCCGTGCATCATGATACTATACCATACAGCCACGAATGAGAAAGTTTCATTGAGAAACCACCAACTGCAGTTTCAAATCCCATGCCCAGCCCACGGAACTGCCTCCATATTGTGCGGAGGCCACCCCAGCAACTGCAGACGCTGTACAGTGCAAAACGCTGGGGCTGGTCGGAATTGCATCGGAGGCCAGATGTTGCATGGTCTTGTAGAGAGTGATTTTGAGACCCCATATTCCTTCCATAACTGAAAATGGTAGCCTTTTTCAAGCTAGGGTATTCAGTTCCTAAGACCTGGACGAAAGACGCCAGCCTGTATCTCGGGGTGATGCTGTGCAGGATCTGTCGGGTTTGGGCTTTGTCCCAGGAGCGAAGCTTTCCGAGTCAGTTGTTCCATCGTCCCATATTTACTGCAAGTGGACTATTACTGTTTTATCTTGAGTTCCTGTTGAACACTGTATGTAGGTCCTCCCAGAAAGGTTTCTCGATTCTAGCGATTCTAGTAGAGTAACCTTTGTCTCCCTTCCTGGACCGGAGGAGGTGACCCGAGTCAATGCCCAGCAACGCTGTGCCGTTGTTGTCCTCCGTGCCTTGGTCCAGATACGAAACACCAAGGGTCCATGTACCCAAATCAGGGTTTAGAGTTTAGGGAAGGGTCCATGTACCCAAATAAGGGTTTGGAGTTTATGGGTAAGGGTCGTTAGTAGTGAACCCTAAGGATCCATGTACTACAGTATATACTTTGGCGCCAAGGTGCCCATATAGGGACTGCTTCAAGGCCAAAGTATGTACTAGTTATTCGGGTACATGGCCCCTTAAGGGAAAGGCATACTTTCGATGTTGGTGTACATGTTTCGAACGTCGACAAGGAACAACAGGCCTGCAGGCAGATGAACGGCGAGGTCATCTTGTCTTTGTATGCAAGGGTTGCTCATGGTTGCTCCAGGTCAATGTTGACATGATCGATTCAGATCTTGGAAGTTCGAATAGCAGCAAAGGCACCCAGAAAGTTGGTCTGCACGGCTACTTCAAGCTTTGCTGAAACCTTCCTCCTGCGTAATCTTCATTCGCTCTACGACCTTTTGTGGCCAGACAATGAAGCGGTCCATGCCCACATTATGCGGATGATCGATCTACCGACGTAGGCATCTCGAACAAAGCGCTTTTTGAGCCGGATGTTTGCAGCTTCCTTGCGATGCTTGTGACTGTGCCAGACAGATCAGGTACCACCCCGCTATACAAAACTTCACCAAACTATCCAAGCTGTTGTGCAGGGTTTAGGCGTTTAGGGTTTAGTAGGGTTCCTGGCATATGCATAGTCCAGGTGTAGAAGGGTGCAAGCCTGTTGCAAAAAGGGTGTTCAGTCGCTGCGTCTTGTGTGGAGCACGGGTGTCGCCGGCTTATCGAGGCACTTCAGAGAGATCTCGTTCAAAAAGGGTTTAGACACTAAGAGCTTAGCTGCAAAAAATGGTTTAGAGTTTGCTGATTCAGGCTTCGAGCACCAACTCTGCATGGCCAACGCGAGTGAGGTGGCGGGTAATGATTCGGAGTCACATGGCCAAGACTTGCAGGTGCCACTTTAGGTTTAGGGGTTTAGGGGTTCAGCGTTTAGGAGATCTGCTATCCGACCTCGTCACGTGTCGGTATTTTTTGTCTTTTTTGCTATCACGTCCTGAGATGAGCCCGATGCACGTTTGTGTGAAGTCATGAGCACTGATTCAGATACCTAGTAGCAACCTAAACCAACTAGCCACAGACAGAGACCTCGGGGACTTCCCTGCGTACCACCTGCTTGGAGGTTCTTGGGTAGTTACAGGCTATAAGCAGGATAACTATACTTGAAGCTCATATTTGGGAGTTGTGACCCCCCACCTTAACTACCCATGAACCTCCAAGTGTTCCACTTAGCAGCAACAAGGTTCGCACGGCGAGTCGCGTCAAAGTGAAAACGGGGATCTGCTCAATTTTATCCCGGTCTTGGGAATCAGGGTTGAGGGTTTGTTTGTCCCGGTCTTCGGAGGTCCTGAGACGCCAAAGCCCTGCCTTAAACGGCGACTCGGGTTTGCTTCAAACATCGGAGGAAATCGACAGAGGCCTTCCTACACACGATGCAGCAAACGGCGAATTCAGCAACAAACCCGACGAGGACAGCAATCAGCAACAAGGTCTGCAGCAAACATCACACACAACATATGATCTATGATTTTATACATATATGTATATACATAGAACCTATATAATCCCTTCCCCCATTTACTAAAGAGACCCCTAATTATAAAAACACTTTTCCCCCGATCCACCCGGAAGTAGCACCGCCCTCTAAACCCTAATTTGAATTAGGGGGAAGGTTTAGGGTCTATAGATTGAGGGTTTGGGGTGGTGGCTTTGGCTGAGCTCTGTGTATTTTCGGCTGCTGCGGTCGGTCTGCAGCTGTGCTGTCTGCGAGTCTGGCTGTCCGAGCCTGTCTCGCTGTTAATTATACAGCCAAGCCAGTCTAGTCTGGTGCTGTCTGTCTGCCTAACCCTAACCAGGGCTCAGGGTTTAGGTTTAAGGGTGCAGCATCATGTTCTTCATCATCATCATGTTCTTCTCCTGGACCATGATCATCGTCATCATTACCATCACCACCACTACCGCCATCTTCATCATAACAAGCATCACCGTAATCGTCATCATCATTTTCATCGTCATGATTTTCATCATTTAATTACTTGTAGAACCTGTGTTTCTGGCAGTTGAGATAACAACGGGACCCTAATTATAAAAACATTCTCGAGTTTTTATTTAGGGCGAAGGGGGGGGGGCCCGACCATTTAATATTAGGGGGAAGGGATTAATATGTAGTATATAACCTATTAATACCAAAACTTACTTAACATACAGCCGATGATCTATAATCTATTTCTTTAATTATGCAGTTAAACAGTTAAACAGGTATAAACGATGATAGTTATTTCAAAATCCATAATCTATAATGTATGGAGGCACTCGGGATGAGTCGGCTCCGCCTCGCCAAGCGCCGGGAGCTGCCGCTGCTCTTCGGCTACGAGGCCTTCGCCAGCTTGGGAGGGGTTACTAGAGGAGCCTTAATAAGGGTTCTTAAAGGGCGGCTTGAAGGGATCTATAGGGCTCCTTAAAGGGATCTATGGGGTTTAGGGTTTAGGGCCTTCTTGGAAGGGCAGGGGACTCTTAGTAAGCAGGATATAATTGGGGTAACTCCATTTAGGGTACTTATAACTCTACTTATAACCTTACTAAGTCCCCTGCCCCTCCAAGTTGGGGTTTCGAAAGAAGGGCTCCTTGAAAGGGGATTATAGCGCTTCCTCTAAAGGGCTCTAGAAGGGTGCTGAAAGGGTTTAGGGTTCAGCGTTTAGGGTTTTGGGGGCTTAGGGTTTAGGGATGCAGGGGCGTAGAGGTTTAGCATTTATAAGCGGTTGAATTTCGGTCCGGAGCTGTCCGAAAATCAGGAATATGTAGTCTGAGCACTGTCGCAGCACAAGCTCGAACAGTAGAAGCAGGCGGTTCGTGCATCATGTGTTGTATCTTCGTCTCCCTCATCATCGTCTCCATCATCAACATCAGTATCACCATCACACACTACCCTCATCATCATCACCATCATCATCATCATCGTAATGCCTTTCTGAATCTGCTTCCAAATGTCGCATTACTGGTCAAGTATCTTTGCCCATCCATATCATATCGGCTCCCTGTCCTTGGAGCGGTCTCATGACTCCGAAAGCCTAAAACCAAAGCCTTGCGTGTTCCCCTATGTCCATATACGTACATACATGCATACCTTTATACATACATCATCACTTTTTTCTGCAGGCCGGAGGCATGGGTGCCGCAGCTGCATCTTGAGAAGAGGCCACAGCACCTTACTCCGCTCAGAGAGCTGGAAGGTTTCGTTGCGCGACCCACTTGAGACGAAAGTTTCTTTGACTTGGACAGAGGAAAGCGGTAATGCACTGGCAGCAGCTACCCAGCTACCCTTCCGGCAAGTGATGTTTACATGTTTCGCGCATTTCCTGCAATCAGGACATGCTTGTGCGAGGCCCCAAACCCTTAATCCGTTTGCCCAAGTCAGCACTGAGGGCCCGTGGGTTTGCGTGAGCCCTCCTTGCCGATCATCGTCGATGCATCCCTGCACAACGGAAAGGCGTCCTGGTGTTTCCCAGAGACTCAAAAACCCCTTAATACAGGACTATACCTTATAACTCTTATTAGGGTTCATTGTATCATTCAGTTTAAGGCAATTATATTGAGTCATTCATGGGATTTGGCGTCTCTGTTTCGACCAAAGGATCCGAAGTAATTAGCGATATATGGTAGAAAAAGTAAGGTTTCCATAGTGAAAATTTCGGTTATGGGTTGGGTATGTATTCCCCCTACAGGCACTTGGCATCCTTTGAGTCATTGACTTTGACACGGCGGTCTGACAGCGTCAGAACACTCATGGTGTCTGAATAGAACACGGCGATATTCGGCAGAGTCAAGCGGCAAAGTTGAGGTGTGTTTAAATGCAGAGGGTGTTTCATACAAGAGAGAAGGAAGGAGGGAGACAAAGAACGAGCGAGAAAGAAAGAGAGAGAGAGAGAGAGAGAGAGAGACAAGGAAGAGGGCCGAGCGCGACTCTGCCGAAGCTGGAAGGCCCCTACCTGCTACAGAATGATCCGACTCCCTAGTATGATTCTTTCGGCACTTATCCTTCCAAGCGCTGCGCGATCGGAATACCACACTGTCCAGTCCTGGGACTGTCAGTTACACGTTTTCAAAACTAGGTACATCATAGACTCGAATCATGTACTCTGTGTTTCTGGACGATTTCTGAAGCTATTGTAGCACCTCGTTTGATGGTTATGTTATGGTCTGGCTGCCTACAACTTGAAAACCAACTAACCAACAACACAGCTTCAGCCGACGTTTTGGGCAACACCTCCGGAAGATCACCTGATGAGTGAGATCAATAGTCAGTCTCGGGATTTCGACCAAAATCTGCAGGATACGTTTGAAGATGCCTAAGCAAACAGATCCGCGAACTCTCAAGGAACTCTCGTGTGGGAGTCCCGAAACCCTAAACCCCAAACGCTAAACCCAGTCTAAACCCTACAGCCCTGAACCCCTAAACCTTGAAAGCCCCAACCCCCTAAAGCTTTGAACTCCAAAACCTACATTAAAGACTTAAACCCATAAGCCCTAAAGGTTTGAACACCCCGGCAAAGCTGTGGAGGCGCTCCTGGTCGGCGGCGGGCGCGCAGGCAGGGACTTGGTGTTGCCGCAGGCAAGGCCTCCGCGCAGTTTGGGATTTGGGTTTCAGGGTTTGAGGTTTAGGCTTTTATTGAGGGTTTCAGAGCTTTGAGGTCCGGGATTTTGGGGTTTAGGGTTTCATTGAGGGTAAGGTTTGGGATTTTGGGGTTAAGGGTTTTATTGAGGGTTTCAGGGTTCCGTACGGTTAGGAATCACGACTGGGAGGGTTTCTTCCAAACAACAAAAAGTTCGTTTTTGAAGAGTTTGATTGAGGGTTTGTTATGGGATGGGTTGGGTACGGCCCCCACTCAGCAATAGTTGAGTCATATTCATAATGTAGATAATATGAGGACCTCAATAGCAGCCCTAGTATAGACTCTTACTGTTTGGGGGCAGCTTCTAATGGATAGGTGGTCAAGGCCGAGCGAGAGGGTGTAGGGTTTAGGCTGGTAGGGTTTATAGGGTTCAGGGTTTAGGGTCACAAAAATCTAAGGGTTTGGGGATTCGGCTTTCGACGGGGTCTTGGGAGCAATTGCGGAGGGTTCAGGGTTCTTCAGACCCGAGTTTGGCTGTGCCTTAAAGCGCTCGAGGTTCAGATGTAGTTGGGGATGTCCCGTTTTCATGTGGCATGATTCGGGCGCCGAGTAGAAGACTCGTGCATCATGCCAGGTGGCGTGCGCAAGGAACGCAGAATTCGAAGGGCTCGTCACGAATCTGCTGATCCAACTTGGCCGGCTTTATCCGGACCCCACTCAGGATCGCCACGGAGTCACATTTGATCTGACAACCATATCAGTATACCTAACTTTCGGCTTACAGGCATTCACCAATGCAACGGACGCTCGAACGTTCTTATGGACCTCTACCTTCACCTCTGGGCTGATTGCCGTGGGCAAGTGCACTTCGTTGAACCCCGAATGTCGAAACCCCAAACCCCGGTAAAAAGAGCTGTTCTTGCTTGGGTTTCCAATGCGGGACCGGAAACAACCCACTCCAGCCAACACTTACGGACACTGTAGCCAGATCACAAGAGGGCAACCGCCGACCAGATATGATTGTTCGGCCTTTCCGAGTGCTTAGGGTTGTCAGGGGAGCAGAGTCTGCCTGTATAGGCCCACAGAGGCCCACCGACAAGAGTTTAGGGTGAAGGGAACTCCCAGCGAAGTGGAAAGCCTGTTGCAAGAAGGGCGTAGGGTTAAGAGCCACCACCGCGGTGCCATGGCTGCTGCAGAAGATCCTCTTGTGCCAGCATGCGCGGAGGTGCTGCCTGACAATCTCGGCAATGCCCGTAGTCTCCATTGTCCATTGTGGTTCCTCTTATGTTGTAGGATCCTTCCGTCTGGGTTGGTTCACCAGAAAAGAGCACACACCCCTCATGTTGGGGGCTGAAGAGTTTGAATTTGTATAAATACGTACCGCTTAGATTTTGCTGTTTGAAGCCCCGGGGCAGTGATTGAAACCTTAAACTCAAAAAACGGTCACGCCTAGCGAAATATTGCCTTTGACGGTTGCAGGCCGAAAAAGCGTTAAACAACTACAAAAGCTCAAGTTCTAACTAAACCCTACACCCTATAAGTCCTTCCTATAAGCCTTATAAGCCCTAGCCCTATAAAACTCCAAACCTCGATGGGAACTGTCAGGCTCCCCCTAACCCTGTAGGCCCTAAACCCATCTAAGCCCTAAAGGAGGAGCGGGTGGCCGTGGACATGGCAAGCGGAGATGCTGCCAAGCGCCTTCGGGGGTGCCTTGGCTTTTCGGGCTTCAAGGGTTTAGGGTCTAGGGGGTTCTTTGCACCGAGCATTCTCTATTCAAGCTAGATACTCCGGTATCGAATATTTGGACCCTGCAACATTAAACCCTAAACCCTAAACCCTAAACCAGCATGTCTTTTCGATTTTGCATCTAAGCCCTGAAGCCTGACCCGTTTTGTGGGACCTGGTACACACCAAAAACCTGTCTTGCTGGCGAGTCTGAGTTCAAAATCACTCCAAAGCAGCTCTTTGAGCTTCCAGAAAAAAAAACGCACATCAACCACATCCCCACCCCACCCTCGGACCAGCCCTAGAAGCGAGCACAAAGGACAGCTCTGGAGACCCTCAGCCTTAAATCCCTAAGATCTGTTACGGCATTTTTTGTGGTTGGGTTTTTTTAGCCTTCACGACAAGCCGGAGCACCGAGGCCCCAAGAACCAGGAGGCCAGACTAGGCGATGAATCCTGAGGACGAACAGAGACGAAGCTGGTAACCAGGCCAGTACGTAGCCCTAAGCCCTGAAGAGCAAGCCAGAGCTGGCCCCGTGAACTACCTAAAATGGAGCATACTTAAACCCTATACCCTAAAGCCCTACTAAGCCCAAAAAGGCCAGAGTTGGAGTAGCCACAATGAGATTCATTTGTGGGTTACGGCAAGTCTTGCCTGAGCCCGCGAATCAGTCTAAAGGGCTCCTTGTGGGGTTTTACGGTTTCGAGTTTGACGACGGCTCTTGAGGTTCCTTGAGTTCGAGGCGTAGGGTTTAGGTTCTTGGGCTTTTAGGCTTCCTTTAAGTTTCGGGTTGTGCTTAGGATTTGCGGTTTTGGGGTCTTAGACTTCCAGGGATTCCTTTGAGGGTTCCAATCAGGGTACCTAAAATAAGGGCTTTCCTTCCCGACCCTCTCTGCCGTAGATCCTCCACTGCTCTTGAGGAAAGTGATGGCATCCTTGAGCTGCAAGGCACACATCAGGGAGCAGAGGGGCCCATGGCGGCTGAAGGTGATACTAGCAATAATGGTAACACAAAACATATCTAACAATGGCAGAAATACTCTGCGGATGGAGGAAATCTTGCACCGCTTTTAAGACATGTTATGTAGCTTCACCCTGTGCCCCCTTCTTAACATTGATATGAACACGGGGTTTACTAAATCGTTCCGATGACATAAAACGTGCACTGCCCCACGAGATCTGTCGTCAATGATAAAAAATTGAGCACGGGTTTGTTGCTTGGATGTGTACCTGTAACAGTGGATGTAGGTGGTGCAAGATTTCATCCATCCACCGTAGGGCAACCGACGGAGTTAGTCTGCATAAAAGAATGTCTACTCTAACAGGCATGGTATTCACAGGTAGTCAAACAAATATGGTGGACCTAGGGACACCTGGGGGCTCACCTTCGAGATCTCGCTGTTTCCATTCGGTCGGAGCTTCGGGTTCTCATGGTTTGCAGATGTCAGAATCTCTTGAATGAACCTACCGGGCATGTCTTGCCCATCAGTCGTCTTCATTGCAGTTCGAGAAAGGGAGAAAGCTAAAGAGAGCATACAGATTGTCCTTAACCCCCTAGACTTCGAGCACAGCTCTTTCAACTGTTGCTCCAGAGTTTCTTTGTTTCTCTAGGTAGGAGGTAAAAAAACCCTAAACAAAAGGATCCAAGCACGGCCCTCTACGACATGCAGGAAGCAGAGCGGCTCTTGGATGGCAACTTCCGTGTGAATGACGAGGTCGGAGCGTACAGTTTCAGTTTGAGGCATATGGAAGTTTGGGACAATTAGGGGTTCATTATTTTGAGATCCTTATAACAAGGATCCTACTATTTAGGGTACTATATTCGGGTCCCCTATTTTCGGAAACTTGTCGGGGAACCTTGAGCTTCACATCCTAAACACTCTAAACCCTAAGACAATGTGACTGTGCGATCCTTGAAGCAATTGTATGGAGTATGGAGGCACCGGGCCAGATCGCTGTGTTGTGCAGGAGCTAGCTATTCTTGCCACGCGTGCTTAAAGTCGAAATAAACTCCCATCGTGGTACACTTCAGATACGACCTTGTGCAACCAGTTTGTCATATGTGAGTGCGATCGTGTGCTTGGCATGTGCTGCGATGCTACATGATGGCAGATCGATGGCAATTCCTGCTTCGCGTGTGTCTCGCTACCACGATACAACCTCGACAGCATGCACCGGCAGGTCTGCTCGGCTTTGCGTGCAGCCTGGGACTGTGTCCGGCGCCAAGAGGAGTCCACACCCCAATAGATCGTAAACACGTTCCGGGCATGCCACGGTCAGACTTCAAGGAGGAAACGACTATATAAAGAAGTCCATGCACCTCGTGCAGTCGCTTCATTGTGTTTCGACATGGCTCTTCCGAAATATACCCCAGACCATGGCATCCTTGACATCAACCTCAAATAACAATTTTAAAATGATACGGCCCGTCTTAAAGCGCCCTGAAGCGAGGCACCGCGAATGTTGAGACTCCCTAAGCCTTACCTAATCCCTCAACCCTAAACCCTACCCTAAAGACCCTCGTCATCTGGAACAAATCGAGAAGTGTACCAAGCACCCCATCCCGAAACCTAAACCCCCAAATGGGAGTGTCCGAAAATGGGGGACCCGAATAATGAAGCAGGATCCTTATTCTATAAGGTACCCCTAATTTTGTCGGAAACCCTAAGCCCTTATAGAGCCCTGTACAGGAACCCTTGCAGAACCCTTATAGTGACCCTTTACAGGATACCCCAGGGTCTCCCTAATTTTCGGAAACTCCCCATATCAGCTTCTGTGCAGCTCCAGGCTGTCCGCCTAGAGGCCCAGTTGGGCGAGGCCTGCAGTGTTACACAGAACGGGTTAGGGTTTAGGGTTTAGAGGTTTAGGGTTTAGGGTATCCCTGTAAAAGGAACCCTTTTGAAGGAAGCCTACAACTTTAAGGATCACGAAAGGCCGTGATGCAAGGATCTGGCTGTTTCGCGCGAGCGCGCACTTGGAATGGTCATAGCTCAGTCGGTATAGGGTTTTGGGTGCCATCAGGCAATAGTTGGTCTTATCCCAGTTTGCAACTCCTACCTTCGTGCCAGAATCACACCTCAAATCCTTGAGTCGCGGGGCCATCAAACCCACGTAGAAAGGTTGGCCAACGTGCTCCCAGAGAGCCCAATACCCTTAATTATATGAAGACCCTTAATAATGTAAGGTATACTGTAGGCATATACCTTAAGCTACTTGGAGGGTCGGGGGACTTAGTAAGTAGGTAGTAAGTAAACTTAAAAGAACCCTAAAAGGGTACCTAACTGGGGTTATGGCACTTATAAGTCTCTAATATATCCAGTTACTAAGTCCCCCGACCCTCCAAGTACAGGGGCCTAGATTTGCATCACTTACGGTGATTTCCTTAACTAATGGGTCCCTTAAGCTCTCTGGGCTTCTCTGTGCTTGTGAGGCCGATCGGCCGTGGGAAGAGCGAAACCGCTGGCTGCAGGACTCCGTCTCGGGTTCTTCTTAAGGTACCCTTGAGGGTTCCTTGAAGGTCCCTGTAAGGTTCCTCTTAAGGGTTTGGACTTTCCACAAGGGTTCTATGAGGGTTTAAGGTTTATGGCAAAGGGATCGCCGTGCCCAGCTGGGACCTCTAAAGGCCATTGCGCAAAGCAGTTCTGCGAGTCTCGGGAACGAACAGCCCGGCTTGCAGCGGAAATTCCAGGGCTGAGGCCTAAAACTTTGGACAGGACAGGGCTTCGAAGGAGACTGAACATGGCCACTTGCTGCAAAGACAATGTCTCTGAAGCCACTGCCACGACAAACACCGGAAAACCAATCCCTGCAGCGTGAGTCTTTCGAGTCTTGCCATATTCCTGGCCTGCCTTTGTGTGGAGACTCGCTCAGTCAGCAGTCAGTACCGAACCCTTGCCCATATTTTCAGAAGCCCTTGTTGCATGCTGCTAATATAGAAGCCTAAATGATTACTTATATTAGTCCTTAGGGTTCCTTCTTACAACTATACTATACAGCAGCCCAAAACCCTATGCTAAACATTAAGGCCCCTATATTAGTTGTGCAGTACATAAAGCCTTGAGATGGGCAAAGCGCTCATGCTGCCTCTTTCCGTAGAAGCGGCCTACTTGTCACAGTCGGATGAGAACAAATTTATGAAGAGATTTCTGAGCTATGCACCGCAAAACCCAAACTATAACAACCCTATAGAACTTTCAATAACTATTCTCAAAACTTCAAATCCTAGACAATTCCCTAAACCCCAAACCCTCTAGGCCTTACAGTTTTAAGCCCTAAACCACCCTCCTTTGCCTCGCCTAAACCACCCTCGAAAGCCTTCGAGGACCTCGCGGCCGAGCGCGGCGAACTGGAACAGCAGAAGGCGGATCTCGAGGCCGGGCTCTATCATTACTAAGGCCGCTATATTATAGTACCCTTATATAGATCCTCTATAGACCCCTTTAAGGATCCCTTTAAAGGAACCGCCGGTGTCTATCAGCATCTCGATCCCCACACTGAATACTTGGAGGGTCGGGGGACTTAGTAAGTAGGTAGTGAGTAGACTTATAATAATAGTATCCTAAAGGGGACCCTATAATTGGGGTTATGGTACTTACGAGTCCCTAAAACAACCAGTTACTAAGTCCCCCGACCCTCCAAGTAGCCTGGAGCCTAACCTCCCATAAACCTTGAAAAACCCTTTCAAAGTGCCTGGGCCTAAACCAACACCGGCGCAAGGCCACGCTGCTCACGGCGAAGCTGGAGGTCAGCTCTAGGAAAATCACAGGGCACTCGGGATGCTTCGGGTGCAGTTTGTGTTTAGGGATTCCGGCACGAAAGGTTAATATGTGTATATATATATATATGCATATATGTATATATATATATATATATATATATATGCTTTAAGGAAACGGACTAAGGTTGTAGGCGGTTTGAGGTTTGAGAAAGATGTCAACGTCAAAGCAACAACCGGAGTACTAAAGGCTATCATCGTTCTCGATTACCAATTGCGTTGCTTTGTGGATAGCGATACCAGCTGCCTATGAACAACGGCTTTTGGCGAGGTTCACGTATGGGCCAGGGAACATGGTATGGGATAGAGTGGTAAAGTTTGAGGTTTAGGATTTAGGGAAGGGTACCAGGGTTAAGAATGGTGCATGTATTTTCAGGGTTTGAAGTGCCAGGGCCTGGGGTTCGGACAAAGGTTAGGGGATTTCTACAAGTCTGAGGTGACGCATAAACTTCCAGAGGTTCTCCCTGGAGATCTAGGTCAACGTTGGGATTGTTGCTTATGCTTCGGGCCTGTAAGATAGAACCTAGTAAATCTTCCGTAGGGCCACAGGGCTTATTATCAATCTAAGTCTGCTGTAATTATACATGTCTTGCCCTATTTACCTCCCTTAGCCGGTGTCGTCCGGTTCCTAAGCAAACCTGTATATGCAGCAAGGTTTAGAGAATCCCCGCCTGCTTGATTCACAGGTCTACTGAGCTTCTTACCTTTAGGCGGTAGAGGCGCTGCAGACCGGATGCAAAAAAGGATGTGGAGGAAAAGGCTGTGACCTAGGCCAGGATACTCTGACCGTCGCCCCCAACCCCAGACTTGAACTCTGAACTCTAACCCCAAGAACAACAGCTCTTTCAACTGTTGCTTCGGAGTTACCCTGCAATGCGGGCTTCCTCCTTGCGAGGTGGGAGGGAAACAACCCCAAGAACAGCTTAGGTTTAGGGTTTAGGAACTCCTCACCCCGAAACTTACAACCCTCAAACACTATGCCCACTTATGCCCCAAAAAATGCGTAACCTCAGTTCCCCGCAGGTGCAGACGGCCTGTGCCGCAGCTTCTGGATTTCAGGCCTCGCGCTTTGCCCAGGCAAGTCTTGGGCGTTGAATAAGGAACTGGAAGGCTTCATCAACAATTTTACAACTCCATTCTCGTATTCTCTGAGCTCCAAAGCCTGAACCCCTTTAAAACTGTTCACCTAGAAAACCATCCCGCTTGAACACTCCAGTAGACTGTAGATTCGGAACTCCCAATTTCTGACATACTTCATCTTCGGATTCCTTTTGGGGTAGGAGTTGGCAGTCTGTTTAGTTGTCGAGGCTCAGATGTCATGTCGGGCGTCCCAGGCCCAGCCCAAGCCTCACGTCGGAATCCGCAATCCTTTGCCTTTCCATCCTCCAATCCCCAAGCACATCCTAAACCATGTCTCGGCTAGCTGAGCCTGTGCCTGAAGATGGGCCGAAGGTTCCTCCTAAGTCCTGTAGACTTCGTAAACCCCGGAGCCGTTATTGGCAGCATGTGTTTTCACATATCGCCAAGGTGTATACTCCTTGTGGTCGGGGTCGGGAATCTTGCTGCGCGTTTGGACTTTCAAAGCATCAGGCATATGCCTGCCGAAGGTTGCAGGGTTGTAGTATCTATGCTATAGTACCATCATAATATTACCCAGTATAGTAGCCCTTACAGATTCGTTTTAAGGAATCCTGGCAATTTCCCAGGTGCTGGAAGAGAACATCACTTTCCGAGCTCGCTGCGCGCGGCTCGGGAGATGGGGGGCGCTGGGCGGGAAGGGTTTCGGGCCTACGCTGGCGTCCTGGTTCGGGATTACGTTCCTATAATAAGGACACCATATCATCTACTATAGATCCTCATTATGGTAACTTAAGTTAAACTCCTTAACAAGGCCCCAGTACAGGATCTATCCTAAAACCTAAACCCCCGGATAGGTGGCTCTGTGCGTGTACGTGTTGTGGGTGCATGTTAACGTGTTAACGAGTAGTAGTACTCGTCGTCGTGTCGTCGTGACAGTCTGTTGTAGCACCAGCAGGGCAGTCGTCCTCGTCGTCGCCATCGCAGTCGTCGCAGTCGCAGTGTTCTGAAGGAGGCAGCTCGAGTCCGTCGTGCAGTCAGCCAGACGAAGCCTGCGAATGCCGAATGCTCAGCAGAACTGTCTTCATGGCTCAGGGTCTAGAGCCCTCCATCCCCAGAAACCTTAAAGCGCACTGCGGAAGACGATTGTGATATTAAGGTCCGTTAAGGCCCTATAGTACAAACATATGGTTTGTTTCACGGATCTCGTCCCGGAAGATGCATCGTCAAGTTCGGCGAGCCGGTCCAGAGCCAGCTACAGGATTTCGGCAGTTTTGACATGGCCGAAAAGCCCTAAACCGCAAACCTATTGTACTATCACAGGCTCATCCTGGTAAAGAATACTAGCTAGCTGATCTGAAGAAAACTACAGCAAACAAAAAGAAAGCAAAGCCCTAAACCCTACACCAACTGTCCGAGGAGTCGCGGTTGCTGCGAAAATAAGGACCCTAATATAGCACCCTAAATAGTAGGATCCTTAGTATGAGGACCCCCAAAATGAGGTCCCCGCTAATTGTCGGAAAACCCCTAAACCCTTAAACCCTTTATAGAATCCTTATAGTATCCCTTTAAAGGAACCCTAAGGTACCCCTGCTTTTCGGAAAGTCCCACATGACTTGCCTGTCCCCGCTTCTTTTCTGAGAGTTTGACTGCTGAGGCTGGGTGAGCGCCCGGATGTGCGGCCCGAGTCCGAGGCCTCTCTGGACTTACATATAAAGTAAGAATAAACTAGTTCAAAGAGTCGTAAGACTGCTTAAATAAAATTCATATATATATATATATACATACATACATACATATATACATAAAGAATCATATATAAATATATCAAGAATAAACTACTGAAGAGATTCATAAGATTGATGCTAAAGAAATCAGTGTTTGAAAGTTTTGGGCTGAAGTTCGGGGTTGGGGTTGGCAGGATGCAGGGCAGAGGCTACGGCCAGACAGTTGGGACCAGAGTCTGGTCTATAATAGGGCTACTATTAAGATCCTAATATACCTATAGTAAGAGTCTATAATAGGGCTACTATTAAGATCCTAATATACCTATAGTAAGAGTCTATAATAGGGCTACTATTAAGATCCTAATATACCTATAGTAAGAGTCTATAATAGGGCTACTATTAAGATCCTAATATACCTATAGTAAGAGTCTATAATAGGGCTACTATTAAGAATCGAATTCAAGCTCCCGAACAGCGGCCACAACCTGTCGCAGACAGTTTCGCCATCGGGGGTTTAGGGTTTTAGGGTCATTCGCAGGCAACTTGGAGGCACTTCAGAGAGAGCTCGTTTAAGAAAAGGTCATCGTCACGAGTTGAGTTTTCAAAACATCCATCACGGCATTTCCCAACCCTGCACACATAAACCCTGATCTCTAGTTTTCGCCAGTCACTCCTCTAGTGGCTCGTTAGATCGTCCTCCCTCACCTCACAGCTTTCGAGTCTCTAGTCCCTACCCCATCGTCTCCATTGTTGTTCCTTTCGGGGGTTACCCTTTATGATCCTGAATATAGATTACCTTTAGGATCCTTGATATTTAGTTAGTTAAACAGAAAAAAGAACTAAATTGGAGACTGTAGGTAACAATCTAAGCAGCTTCTGAGGCAGCAGGCATGGCCAGACGATGGCGCCTGGAGTTCGATGCCGCCAGTGATGTGGCAGCTCGTCATTTCCAGTGTCAACAAAACAGTTCGGGGAGTTCGGTTTAGGATTTAGGGTTCATAGTATGCTGGACAACGAGGCCTGCCGCAAAAAGGGTTCATGGTATAAGGGCAGATGTCCTAATTTCTTGAAGCTTGGATTTCAATACTAGGGATCCGTTGAAAGATGTTAGACAGCCTAAGCATATGGGGTAGATTCGGTCCGAATTCCCTGAACTTCCAAGAGCCGGAGGGAGCCCTGAAAACCCAAACTGCACAGCCTGATGAGCACGAAGTGTCTCAGCGAGAGTTGTTGCAGTTATGGATTTCTTCGTAGCTGAACGAGTGCATGTTCCGTCTTCTGTGGTAATCTTATCCTTTGTAGAACTGAAAGTTTACATGTCCTTGGGCTTATGAACTTCGCAACCAAAATTCAAATCTAGGTCAGCCATGTGTGCTAGAAGCTGCGGCGAAACTTGGTGAGCTCCGTGTTTGGGTACCTTAGGGACCCGAAAAGGGTGCAAGCATAAGCAGTTTTAGGGGATATCCCTACCTCATTGGGCTACATTCTAAGGGGGCTTATATGAGATACCTCTATCCTAGTTTGTGCTTTTTTGGGGCCCTATTTCTCCTTCACCCGCCGTTGTCCCGGAGCTTCAGGTGGAAGCCATGCTCCGGTCGCTGAGGCAACGGGTGGCTGAGAGCATTAAGTGTAATCGTGGGACTGGGGTTTAAGGAGTTGCAATCGCCACAAACCATGGGCATCTGCTCAAGTCCTTCGGAATATTCCCGCATCCATCGGCATTTTCCTGATTTCTGGCGCTGTTATGCGGCGCTATCAAGCCCGAAGGCTCCAGGCACACAAAAAGTACGTGACTGACCATATATGGGGCTTAAGGGTTTAGGGCTAAGGGCATATGCATAGTCCAGGTGTAAAAAGGGTATGAATACTGTATACTAGTAACACAAAATTCTACGTGACCGGAGCCCTATAATAGGGCCCCCCCCATCTTTCTGACACTCCCAATATGAACCCTTATAGAGCCCTTTAAAGGAACCCCTTATACCTATAAGGGAGTTTCCGAAGATGAGGGGCCCTAATATAGTACCCGAAATAGTAGGATCCTTATTATAAGGACCCCCAAATAGGGTACCCCTAATTTTCGGAAACTCCCAGAAAGCTTGTACATCCTTCGAGGCACCCCGAAGCCGCCACGGCTGTGGCCGCCACCTCCTTGGAGCATGCGCTCCTCGATCGTTCGAGCTGTTTTGCAGTTTCTACTACAAGACTGAAACTGTGCACTTTTTGGGGCTTGTGAACCCAGCAACTAAGAATAAGCCCCTATTGAGGAACACCTGTAAGGAAACAGCATAAAACCCGTGTTAGGTGTTTGTCTGTTTACCCATCATCATGAACATAACTGTACACATATATACACATACATACATCCAGATGTGTTTATACTACTTTGTTCATGTGTTTGCCTGCAGAACATATATATATATATATATATAGACATTCATGTATGTGCATATGTACATGTGTACGTATGGATCGATGTTCTGTGGTTGAAGCCGATATTTTGGAAGATACGGACATCGCAGCGCCAGGCTCGTTCAATGATCTTCTGCAGTCTCATAGGCTTCCAAATGTTGCTTGTATTGAGACGCGTTCAAGAATCCCGAGCCGTGTGTAGTCCGCAGCAACAGCTCGGAAGTATCGAGAGGAGAGTCTCAAACCATCAAAACAGGATTTTGAGTTTTGAGGGCTTCACGGTATCCGATACATGTTCTCTTTGTTTAGACCCTTTCGATACTTGCAGCTGCGGGCACCAAGTGTTCAGAACATTGAGTTCTTTAGGGCTTCGGACAGCAAGGCCTCCAGAGAGTGTTATGACTTTGGGTTGCAGCACCATCTCCAAACAGGAATTTCAAGAGACGTTGTGAACCGCGGTGGTGTGTTCAGCTCTAGCTTGTAGTAGAGTAGGCAACCTTTAACCTTTTTGGGCTACTCCTGTCCCTATGCAATTTCAAGAAGCTGCCAAAGGTCAACCTTTAGATCCCCCGGATCCTCGACGAGTAGGTTTACATCGTGTAGCAGTCCACCAGTGAGGTTGGACCACAGCTGGAGCGGCTCAGATGAACCTCAACCCCAAAACCGTAAACCCCAAAACTCCCTAAAAACCCTCGACCCTAAAACCTTAAAACCCTGAAACCCTGCAGCCTTAAAACCCTAAACCCGGGGAGATTGTCGGGCTGAATGTCGAGGGAGGTTTTTGGGTTTTCCGGTGTGGTCGTTTTAGGGATGATGCTGTAGGGCCCATTGGGCTTGGTGCTGAATGAAAACCTAGGCTGTATCATGAAAGGGTTAGGATTTTAAGGTTTCACGGTTCAGGGTTTAGTGTTAAAGTCTAGGGCTTATCATGGAAGGGTTATTGATTGAGGTAGTTTAGGGTTTACAGTAGTATTTCGGTATCTCAAGTGGCCCTGAAGACTTTTCCATCTCCAGGAGGCACGTCTGATCAGTTGCACTGAGAATTTCCAAGAGCTGGTTCTTTCGAGCGACATCGTGCCTGGATTCGACCAACCACCTACTATGAAGCGTCAATAATTACCGACTTTATTCCACAATATTCCTTGTAGTCCCTTCTTACAACTAGACTACACGGGAGACCCTCTTTTAAGTATAAATGCCCCTATACGATAGTACCCTCATAGATCCCCCATAGTAGCCCCTGTAGACGCCGTTAAAAAGGAACCGTATTCTACCTATTAAGGCCCCTACATTCATCTCCTAATTCCTGATCCACCGCCCTGAGATATGGCGATACGAGAGAGGGAAGAGAGCTATCGAGGAATGCTATAACAGCTGAGTCGAATGAACCTGGTGGGTTTGGAGTTTAGGGTTCAGGAATTGGGCTTGAGGGTCTGCGATTTATTCAGCAGTTCAGCAACTTGCTCTCGAGGATTTGTATTGGAGCTGGTCGGCTTGATCGAGCGCTTGCTGGATGGCCTCGAGGGCGAACTTCGGGCCAGTGCTGATGCTCGGAAATGTGAAGCTGAGGTCCAAGTTCGGGACTAGGGTCTCGGACTAGGGGTTCATGGTTTATTTAATTAGTGAGTGCAAGCCGCCTTAAACCCGATGCAGGATGCGAACACAAAACACGCCATCATGCCCAAGTGCCATGAACCCCAAACCACGAATCACTAAATCCCCAAACCCAAAACTCACCAAAGCTCAGTTGTGACGTGGCTTCGGACAAATTCCCTGCGGTGCCGAACTTGTTCAGCTGGGTGGGTGGAAAAAACTCACCAAAACCACCGTGATTTCAATCAACAACATTCGGAGTCCCAATCTGACAAGCAAAAAAAGCGCGCAGGACACGTCTCGAGACCCTTAACCCAGCACCCTGCCAACCCAAGAAATACACCAACAACCCTAAACCCTAAGCCCTAAACCCCTAAAAGTATTGCAGACCTTGCCAGGCTTGTCCGAGTGTGAGTGTCAAAAAAACCCTAAAAGCTTCATAAAGGCCCTAATCCGAGGAACCCTTATAGATCCCTTTAAGGAACCCTTACAGGATCCCTTTAAAGGAACCCCTGACCCTCATAAACCCCCCCGAATCCCAGGAGAGCCTCCGGGATCGGCTCGAGTCCTCACTCCCCCAGCTCTTGGAGGCGAAGCTACAGGTGCAGGAGATCCCAGGGGGGGGGGGGGACCAATAAAAAAAAAAAATATATATATATATATATATATATACATGTGTGTATATATATATATATATATATAGGTATATATGTATATACATATATATATATGTATAATATAGATTAAGTAATATACTATATTATGCTTAATCATATCATATGATACTATTATGTAATATTATTTTATGTTATACATATGTATGTGTGTGTTTTTGGTTATTTTTGCAGTCTTCTTTCAATAAATCGCTTGTTCTGCACAGTATGGCCGCCCCAACACCCGATTGTAATTGTAAAGCTGGTGTGTGTAGACTTCGATGCCTGTGAGATTTTGTGAGTTTTATGATGGCTTCATATGTTTGACAGGGGAGTTACTTGGGTTTCGAATTACGGTTTCGTCGAACTAGATAAAGCTGCGTGTTGACACTATATATGTGCCAGCATCCGCGCACCCCCCCCCCCCTCCCCCCCCCATGGTAATCCCCCTCCCCCCCCCTGTGGTTCCTGTGGTTCCCCCCCCCCCCTGTGGTTCCTCTTGGTTTTCCCCCTCCCTTTTGTGGTTCTTCTGGTTCCTGTCTCCCCCCTCCCCCCCTGTGGTTCCTGTGGTTCCTCCGCGTGGTTGCTGCTGCTTTGTTGTTGCTGCTGTTCTTCTTCTTGTTCTTGTTCTTGTTCTTGTTGTGTGGTCGCCCGGGTCGGGGGGGGGGGGATACCATTGGGGGGGGGGGGGGGGGGGGGGGGGTCGAGAACGCGGAGCGCGGGCACATATAGGGCCTAAACCCTATACCCTTGTGCCATTGCATGATTCCACTCACGCAGCACGAGGATGCTGCTTCGCGTGGTCAGCCACAGGCTGGGCGGATGTTTCTTTGCGACCTCCTTCTGAGGCTCTCATCTATGTAAGCTTTTAGAGTTTAGGATTTTGGGGTTTAGGGCTTAGGGTATCTTACGGCTTTGAGCCCCCATCTCGCACCGCCAGAAGATCGCTCTCTCCCAGCGTTTCTCACATTTAAAGGTGCTAGAACGAAGCATAAGAACCCAGCCTGCAAGGGTGTGGGCTGGGAGCTTCATCGGATTTGCTCCGAAAGAGCCGGCAGGTAATGGCCTTAATAAGGGGTTCCTGATTATAAGTATAGTATAATAGGCCTCCAGGCCCTATTCCAACTATGAAGGCCCCTATCTCACAAGAATTCCGACATGTTCAGCTTCCATCGCCTGCCACATTCGGACCCCACCAGGTCTACCAGCTTGCCCTTTCTATTGCCGGGTTTCCCTGTTAAAACTCATGAAACCAAACAAAATTTGATTCAGGCCTTTCAGGGGATCCCCATAAACCCTATACCTTAAAGTTACGGGGGTACAACCTGATCGGGGGATCATTGAAAATCTGATCTTCGGAGCTCGAGCAGTCCATTATAAGTCCGGCCCAAACAGCATCAAACCCAGAAGCAAATTAGGTCCAAAGCCGGACGAAGACAGCCTCAGCAGTTGTCAGCACCTTTACCTCGAAGCGCTAAGCCATAGACCCCTAAACCCCAGACACCTACCCACCCTAACCCCCGACAATAAGACCGTATGCAGGATGTGGCCACCTGCACCAGTGCTCTGACTGAGGCGCAGAGTGGCCAGGCATCCGTGCTTCGCTGTTTCGGTTTAGCATGCAAAGGCGAAGAATCTTGTGTTCAGGCGTCGGGCTTCATTGCTTTTCGCGTTTAGCGCTTTTTGTTCTGAAGCTGTCGTGTTCAGGGCTCATAAATAAACTAAGGAAGATTTGAGTTTTAGGGCTCTGAACGCGCTTTGCCCTTTTAGAGTCTGGCGTGTGGGGTGAGGATCAGGGAAGGGATTTGATGATTCAGGGCCCCACAGCCCGAAGCAGGATTCATGGATTGGGCTCGCGAGTTATCAGTTGCACCAGATGACATGTCATGCCAAGCATGTGGACTCATCGTTTTCGAACGGTTTCCGGATTGGGTTGGACACGGGGAAATTGAGTAGCCAGTATGCAGCGTCCTCTTCTAAGATTCTAGTCCCTGTGTAAGTAGTCTAGTGTCCCTGCAATCCTGTTATTGCCATTGTAGCACGCCTGCTGTGTAGCTGGGGGAGAACGCAACCTCAGACACAACGCGGTTCGCGACACAGTGTTTCGGTGGGCCGAGCGTGCCGGTCTGCACCCTGAGCGCGAACGCCCAGGATTGCTGCTACCACAATCCCCTGAAGACGTGCAGGCGGGCCGCCGCCGCCCTGCCGACCTGTACCTGCCAGCCTGGCTAGGGTCACCTGTTGCCTTCGATTTCGCCGTGACGGCGCCCCAGCGACAGGAGACACTCGCTCAGGCCAGCCTGCAGGCCGGTGTGGCTGCGGAAGCGCACGCCCAGCACAAAGAGGCTTATCTTGGCACCGCCATTGCGTGCGCTGCTCAGGGTGTCAAGTTCGTGCCGCTAGTGGCTGAAACGACCGGGCACTGGGAGTCCGGCGCAGGCCGTGTGCTGAAGCAAATCGCAGGAGCGGCCGCGGCCCGTACTGGCGCAGAAGCGGGGCCGCTGCACGATGCTCTCCTCCAAGAGCTGAGTGTCGTCATTCGGTCGTTTCGGGCCCGCGCCGCCCTCCGGCGGCGGGCCGAGTTGGACGCCTGAGCACGTTTGCCTCCTGGCGTGGTCGCCCGAGGCACCGCGGTGGCGTCAAGGGAATACTCCCGGTGTGGGCCTGCCGTGGTGTGCTCGGGTTGACAAAGGCTGGCAGTGTTCTGTGCTCCCTTGCAGTAGATCTTTGCTCTCCTTTTGTCTGTACCGTATGTCTCTTCGTTCTCTTCGAGTGTTGGTGGTGTGTTTAATGCGAGTACTTGCCGGATTCTTTGTACTTTTACCTCAAGTTGCCAACGTGCCTCTTGAGATTTTGCGTTCATGTGACGCAATCTGGGGCCCCTTTGACCTACAGGAGCCTTCAGTTGCCGACTCACTGAACTGCTGACTAGTCTCTAGTAGCACGCCTGTGTAGCACGTTTCAAGCACTCTATTCTGACAATGAAGGCCTGTAAATTTTGCCATTGCAGGTCCAGCCTTGGGCTACGGCAATACTCAGGTTGGCGGCTTGAAGACCTGAAGGTCTACATCATGATGGCTCTAAGAAGTGTTTCGAAGGGCACCCTGCAACATGTAGTTCTTAGACCCTTCGGCAGTAGAGCCGAAGATCTAACCGTGCCTGCTCAAGGTCTTCCAAAGCCTATACACCTTCCCGACCGGACTCTGCCCAGCTTCCCCAGTAGTGCCCTGTTGCCCTTTGCTCAGTACTAACTATCCAGGGGACACTGAATAGCGAGAATAACGGTAACTACAATACTGATACATACTGATAAGAATGACAAGGACAATACGAATAGTGATACTAGCAACAACGGTCATAGCCAAAATATGGTAATAGCAATAACTGGAGAACCTGGCTGCATGTCCTCGCAGGTGGCTTCTTGGAAGTTGCTCACGGCCCGAAGCTCAGAGATCGCCCGTCGCTATAGAGATACGTCGAGATGCGGATGGCCATGGATGTCGCAGAGGTGAAGAAACAGATGCAGAAGAAGAGTAACACGCTTACGACGAATATGATGATGGTGATGACGATGCAGTGAAGACGGGTCGTACTGCGCCCACTGATGCATAGAAGTCACAACAGGAACAGCAACCCGCTTCAATGGTCGGATCAGTTGTCATTTCCACGATGCACAAGTGCAGTGTTCTCCCACCGGCGCTGCCACTGCCACCACCACGACCCGGACGGAGACAACGCAGTAGGAACAGCACCAGCATTAGCGCAACCACCGCCGCCACCACCCAACAGCCGACACCCGCCAACGACACCACAGCCTCCGCACCACCAGCACTGACGCACAGCGGTGCCATAATCAACACCGACGTCACCATCCTCACCCTCATGACCGGTCATCATCGGTTCCCAGTCTTGTAATGGATTTCTTCCGACTGAGCGAGACAAGGCTAATGCCATCGATTTGAGCAGCATTGTCCCGACGAAGTTTGCCGAGGATCGATGCAGTGGCTCTTGGTTGGTCTAGGAAAAAAGGATGTTGAAGGCTTGTTGCCACTAGCGCTAGTAAATCGATGAAGCCGAGGCGCCTGACGTATGGTCTTTGTTCGAGTCAGGTTCATAGATTCATAGACCATGAACCCACTAGTAGTTCCAGCCAACGATTGGTTGCGGCCAAGGCCCCAAAGCCACAATGACAGGCCAGAATCCGCAAATGTGGGTACGAGTCCTGCGTATATGTTTAATTATATAACCGTATAGTCTTTAAACAACCTATATTATAAGCAGTAGACACCCAAACTTGAATCCTTAAACCCGGAACCAAACAGGACCTCTTTGACCAGCTGAACTACTGGGGACTCTGAGGGGGGTACAGGGAGGGGGGGGTATATGGGGCCTTAATACCTATAATGAGGACTTAATACGGCCTATTTAAGGAAGCATAGTCCCCTACTTGGAGGGTCGGGGGACTTAGTAGCTGGTTATTTTAGGGACATAAGTACCATAACCCCAGTTAGGGTCCCTTTTCGGGTACTTATAAGTCTACTTACTAAGTCCCCTAAAGACCCTCCAAGTACCCCCCTTCCCCCTACCCCCCTAAGGGTCCTATGATGAAAGCTCCCTAAACCCTATAAACCCTGAAAGCTCCCAGGAGATGCTGCCGCACCCGGCAGCCTTCGGCACGGCCCCACCGCTTCCCACGGAAAGGGCTGCAGACTTCCCTCCGGCCCCTCGGCGACAGAGTGAGGCTTCGAATGCTTACTGTACATGTTGTCGGCCAAGAGGACACTGGCCGGATTCTGATGAAGCTGTAGCTGCACCTACAAACCCCCCAAAAAGAAGGCTAAACTTTAAACCCTAATCCCCGGTCGAGATGCTGGACGATGTTGGTTGTGGGTTGGATGCCGGGTTTAGCTTATTGGGGATTGTCTTTGCTTCCGGGCCTGTGTCCTTGCTTCTGGTTTTCACCTCTATTGACAGTCGTGCTGACCCGCGCCTGCCCTGTGCGAGTGCGCGACTCGAAACCCTGACACGAAACTGGGACGGTAGGGCCGGGTCGATGCCAACATGTGTTTGTCTTCCGAAGGCTTTTCGCCCCCGCTCGGCATGCACACATACAATTTGTATGTTGGGTGTGTGCATATCTTTATATATATATATATATATATATATATGCAACAGGTATATAACTACGTTTAGTTAGCCGTTTTCTATGTAGCTACTTAAGCTGGTATGTGTGTATGTAACATATATGCGCATATATATATATATATATATGTGTATATATATATATATATGTATATATATGTATATATGTATATACACGTATGTACTGTATGTATGTAATCATACATACATAAGAACAAGTGCAAGTGCAAGTGCAAGCCTCTTTTACTATCCTGCGTTTGGAAACCCTGGCACCTAGGTCCTGCGCCTGTTGACCTACAACCTCTTCCTCAGGCCGGGTCGTAAGCTCTTTTCGTCTCTGAGGTCCTTTGCCATACTTGGAGGTTCATGCGTAGTTATATGGGTTCCGTTAAGAGTCCCTTTAAAGGGATCCATAGGGATCCTATAAGGGTATAGGGTTTAGGGTTTACTTGGAGGTTCATGGGTAGTTATCAGTGTTATTCAAAGTAGGGTAACTGCGACTGACTATGACCCACATCGCGGGAACAAGGTTACCGTGAGGAAACTGGGCCCCAAGCAGTACTGTAAGCCCGGAACCCTTCAAAGAGCCCCGTAGTGATGCACTAAGTGCATAGTTCAGTTGCCGACCCGGACGCATGGACCTCGTCTGGCTTGCCCGAGTTGCGAGAGTTTAAACCTTCACCGAGCCGACTATCGACATGTCTCGCCTGGATTGTCCGAGTGGTGAGCGCCGAAACCCTGACGTGCGATGTGCAACAGAATCCAGGCAAGCAGCCAAGAGCCAGAACCAGGATCTTCTAGAATTCATTCAAAATCTACTACCATGGACTCATTTGTGTGACATTATTAGCTCGCATCATATTAAGTATGACATGAAACTCTAGAACCCCAGTGTTACCTTATACCCTACACGCTAAACCTTGGACCAGGGCCCCGGCGCCGCAGTTCACTCACAACACGGACAATGACCGCAAGGATATGAGGGGCAGTTTAAGGTTTAGGGTTTAGGGTTTAGGGTCTGCTATAAGATCCCTATATTCGTTTTGGTGTTGTTGAGGGGTTGATTTCCAGGGGGTTTCGAGTCATCTCTCAATTTGCGTCATGTACCTAAGCAGGCTTTCCTTGCGTGAACTGTGGTTTTGGAGGTGAGGGCTTAGAGCTTAGGGAAATTGTGGTTGAGTTGACATCGCGAGTCCCGGGTACCACTGTCAACACTGGGTATAATTCTCATGCCACAAGTTCACAGACGGACTACCTTTTGCAGGACGAGCGCCTCTGTCGCTTCGTCGAACACCTGGCGAGGCGTCTTGGGCCGATGCCATCTGTAAGCTGGCAGTTTGAACATGTTGGAGGCCTCAAACCCTACAGGTAGACTATGAGATGCAGCGTGCCATTTTTGTGCAGTCGCTGTGCTATGACATAAAGCGAAGCTGAGACTCTTTGGACAGTCTCGGATGATGCAGAGCCAGGTACGACCTCTTGTGCTTGCAGGAGGTATACGGCGCATTTTCACAGAGACTTGACCGTCATATCATGATGCATGAGGGCTTTCTGCCAGCCAGCGTGCATGGACGGAGGCACTGCAAGATTTATTTCTTATTGGGATTCTAAGCCGTAAACCTAACACCCCGAACCGTGAAAGTCCACCCACCTTTGGTCCAACTCCGTCCTTTGCAGCAGCGGCTCTTGTGCATTTGGATACGGCTGTTCTGCTTTTGGATGATATTAGTGGATTCAGGGGTTTAGGGCCTTAGGGCCTAAGGGTTTTGGGACACAGGGCTTTGTGACTTCCAGTCCGTGATCAGCAAAGGGTTTGGGGTTTTAGGGTTCGCATGGTGATGCCTGCCCAACGTCAGTTCAGCAGCTGCCCTCTCTGCCCACTGCAAGTCCTCCGTTTCCACATTCGAGCTTCCATGCGCGAACAGTTCTTTTTCATTTGATGAACCACAGCCTACACCTGTTCCCCCCAAGGAGCATACTACCATGGACCCACCTGTTGAAAAGCCTTCGTATGGTATGAAGCGGCCCTGCTCGGAATAATGGCAATAACGAGAAAGCACAGCTTGTCACCATCTTAAGCCAGCTCTGCTTCAAATTTCCGAGTCGCGCTAATCCCGGAACCAAATCCTACCGCAACGTAGTGCAGGGAAGAAGGGAGCTTAACCGAAAAAGCTTGTAATCCTAGAAACTCAGTTCATTAACCCTACAGCCCTAAACCTTAGATCCTAAACCCCTAAACCCAGAAAAATTCCTCCACCTTATGAATCCTAAACCCGGAGCTAAAATCCTTAAAGATATTGGGGAAGAAAGATTTTTCCCCAAGATGTTTAGTAGAAGAACAAATCCTTAAACCCAGGAGACGTGATTGGCTGATCAACGTGGCGAAGCGGTTCGGCCTCAAGGCCTTCCTCGGAGAGCCCAATACCCTTAAAGGGGTCTATAAGGGTTCCTATAAGGGATATATAGGGTTCCTTTAGAGGGATCTATAAGGGTTCCTATAAATCCGAAGTCCTCGAATCTCACTTGTGCATATGGCATGTGAGTGTTGAGGGCTTCCGGGATTTGCTTCGTAGTGCTTTGCCTTTGAATTTTTGAAGCTGTAAGGATGGAAGTTTGCGGTGCAAAATTGGTAGTTTCGGAATATCAGGCATGCCTTCTGAGGGAGCAGACTGTGCTGCAAGACCCACACGTTAAACAGTAAACCCGAAAACCTTGAATCCCTACATAAACTCGAAGCCCAAGCCCTCAGCCCGAAAGCCCTGGACCGAAGGACTCACACCGGTCCTCCACTGGTGTGCGGCCACGATTCATTGTCGATGCTCGCCTCTTGAATAGTCAGTGTTTTTGGAGAGATTTAGTCCCAGCTGCAAAATGGTTTTGTTTAAGGTTTCTACACCAAAACGTTCAACCTGCACCAATGCCTGAGGATGGAGGACTCTTGATCCTTTCCCGACTGCCAATAGCCGGGCCCTCGGATCAGGCAGAGTAAAGCAGGTCGAGCTTCCATGATGAGAGCCGTCATGGCTGGGAACTGTTCGCAAAGGCTCAGCTCAGGATTTAGTGTGCTGGCAAAAGCAAGAACCAACGGAACATCCGTCGAGCGAAGCGATGTGGTATGCGCTCGTGAAACTCCCACATCCAAACTTCCATGATGAACTTCCCGAATCATAAGTATTCATCCCATGCCAACCCTGAAACCGAATACTCAGTCGCCAGGTAACCCCCTGAGGTGAAGCCTAGAACTAACCCCCCCTATATGACTGCGGTAGGGACCCTGCAACCACAGAACACTCTAAACCAGGTAAAACTCCGAAAAAACCACCGGACAATCGTTTTGAAACCCCACAAGACTGTAATAGCACCCACTGACTAAAGTCTTCATAGAACCCCGTTATAATACCTCTCGAAAAAACATCTTAAAACACCCTGCCTAGGACCTATCATGAGCCCATAAACCGCAAAGAACCACAAAACACAGAAAGACCCTATGATCCCGAAACCCCAAACTCCTAGACCCTGAACCCTAGAAGCCCCACACCCTAAACTCCTAAACCCCAATACCCCAAGCCCTATGGACAGCCACCTGAGGTCTTCAAGTCCTCCCACACCTTTGACCCCGGGACCAGTCTCGATCGCTTCTCCGCCAAGGGTGCGCTCTACGCTAAGGTGGCGTTCAGGGCTTTTAAGCCTTGAAGGAAACCCTATAGATCCCTTAAAGGAGCCCCTTAAGGGATTTTGGGTTTTGGTGGTTTATGGTTCAGTGTAGGCTTCGGAATTCAGAGGTTTTAAGGGGCTGGCGCCCAGAAAGCAACCTTGAATAAAGCCATGGAAGCTGCCCATCCTGCCATTTCATGTCGCGTCCTACCTCAAACCCCAAACCCTCAAGCGTGAACAGTAAGAATCATGTGGTTGTTTAGGACTTAGGGGTTTCGGTAACGCTTTTTGAGGGCTGCTGTGGTTTCTCAACTCCACGAATGATAAAAATAATGTTTTTCAATTGGTCTTTCTTGCCTCCGCGCCGCCATCTTCCTCACCCCTTTCGATGTGCTCCTCACGTCGTCGTCCCACTCGTCTTCCTCCTCCGCCGCCTCACGCTTGTCCTCATCTTTGTTCTCGCCGTGCTTGTCCTCGTTCCTGTTGGTATCCTCGTACTTGTTCCGGGCAGCATCGGCGCCGCCACCATCATGAGCATGAGGACTCGGAGTCACTACGACTTGCATCGAAATCATCGTCAGTTTGTTCAATGTCATTGTCATGGTCAGGCTCGACCTCGCCACTATTCTTGGCAGTCTACAGTCCGTATGCCCATTATTGTTGCATCTTTGATGGCAGCCTGTCCCAGTCCACACCGTGTTTGTTGCCTTCAGCATGAAGACTACCATCGCCCTCATCATCGCCGGCTTCGTGATCATCAAAAACCCCTGCAAGTAATCTTCCTGCTGTGTCTTTTTGTTGGAGGTGCAATGCGGGCCCACCGGCCCTTTCCTCCACGTCTGCACGACGCACCTGCAGAGCACCTACTCCGAGGCATCTTGTCCACTTGGCTCCTTGTGAACATTTTGTTGCCAATATGTTTGCATGTGGATCCAGTGGACATGCGCATGTCTTTGTGCATGTATGTAAGTAAGTGTTACGTAGGTATGTATGTATTCATACGCATGCATATACATACAGGCACATAACATTTGCATATTGTTTATGCAGCCAAGACGTTTGGCCATGACTCTCTGTGTGTGTGTGTGTGTCTGCGTTCCTATACTCTTAGGTGAAACTGAGAAGCACGCATGTATGCATCTTCATACGGCTGATTATAAAAATCCGGCATTACCCATAATAAGGAATATGCCATAATTCCCATAGTTTAGGGTCCTTAAGGTCATGCAGGATTTATATCATCAACAGTAATTTAGAACGTCAGTATTACAAACAGTTATTTGCCCACGATGTCTGTGATATCCGTGTACAGTTCTTTCAATTCATGCATACTGCATACAGTTAAATATTCATACGCCTGCAAGTATATCTGGACAAAGTTACAAAGTTTAGTCTTAGTTGCCTAGTTTTTTTGCCAGATATAGTAATAGTTCAGAGGGAGCAAAGAAACCGAGATGCATAGAACAAACAACCAAAAGGTACAGAGGTAGCTAATAGCATAGAGTAGAAGCAAGAAGAGGATGTACCTGTGCTGCTGATGGCTTTTCCCATTCTCTATGTCGCGGCGTCTTCGGCCCGTTGTATCCACTGCTGGATGAAGGTAACACATCTCGAGAAGAACCTATAGGAGGGCTGTTTTGGAACTCTGTCGAACTCCATCCCCGGGGCCAGACAAGCCTTTCTTTGCCAATATTGGGTTCGACAACGAGAGGCTGCTCAGCTTGATCGTGAACCATCTTCCTTGTTTGTGTTTTGTTGATTCATTCAGCTGCTGATGTCATTCTGCTACTACACGTTACACCCCGAACCGAAATCCTAGGCCCTATAGGCGCTACCCAAAATCCTAAACCCTCAGCCCTAAACCTTGCTCTTGCCTGGGAGGACTCATTGCAGTCCTCGCAGGCCATCCGGCACAAGCAGCTGATGAGCAGGGGCCCCAGGAAACGCAGAGTAGGTGCACAGGCCCGAGAAATGTCTTTGAGTACTCTGTAATTTGACGGCCGTTTCGTTTCCTGAAGTTGAGGTCTCGTGAACTTCCTCCGGGAGCAGACCGATGACACCATGTCCGAGACAGGCGTCACTGCATAGGATCAAGCCTCTAATTATAAGGGCTTTAATAAATACCTATACTATTTTGGGTGTTCTTTGTTCTAATTATAGTAAAACGGGCCTCAAAACCCTATTCTAATTACTAAGGCCCCTATATTAGATCTACGAACTCGACCCGCAAAGTGCTAAGAGTTCGAAGTCTTCAGGCTGTGATCATACTTTGGACGAATATCGGGTCATGTTTCGCCTGCGTGTGACTTTTTTTGACTTGGTTGACAGGTAAATCGAGGCGTCGATGGCCGCTTCTGCTTTGCGGCACGCTGAACTTTAACGGCCGTCGTGGGCTAATGGCCCCTCTGGCCGTGTTTACAGGTTTCCTTTGCTAAATGACCGGTTTCTAGATGATGCGACGTGAGGGCTTCTTTCGGTCCAACGAGGTCTGGGTCCTAGGTTTCGCGGGCACCATGTCTTTGGAAGCTGCTTTGTCGTATTATTCTAGTATTGATACTGCGGTAGGAATAAATAAGTTCGTCGTACTCCTGCATTTTGCTCTTGAACACCTTCCACCCAGTCCCCGCCCAGAACATCATAGTAGTATACTAATTTATTCCCATGGATTACTTCCCCCGCCAGCCAGGCCACGTAAGGTGCACTTACCGGTACGATGCGTCTTCCGCATGATGGTGTAGACATCTGCAGCGGAATTTTCTTCCTGCCGATGCATGAATTTGAAGATGAGTACGAAAATTAATCTTCATATAAATACAACCATGAAAACGAGTACTAGTATTGACCTTATATAAGAGTAAGTCTTTTTTCAATCATCATTATGAGTATCTGCTGTTAATTTTATGGATGATATTGATATGGGTAATGGCTGGATCAAGGCTCGTCGTGATGATGATAACGGTGCTGATAGCAAACTCCTGATATCAAGTTCATAACAACCATGATTACAGTCATGATGATGATGATCATAATGATAATGCCACGTTCTTAACCAAGTAAGTCAGCAAGCCAGCAGTTAAACAAGCAAGTAGGTAGGTAGATAGGTAGATGGGCAGGTAGGTAGGTAAGTATGCAAGTAAAGTATGTTTTCATGTGTGGATGCACTTGCAGACACCCTCATCCCTGTCCATGCTCTCAAGTCTGACATAGTTGCCAAGTTCTGTCCTTATCCGGATGAGTTTCTACAGGCCGTCTCCCCCGAGCTTTGAGGACACCTCAGCAAAGGTCTTCAAGCCCTAAGCCATGAAGCCTACAGTCCGAGCTAAGCGCATGCACATGAAGCAAAGCCCGAGACTCCAATATCCCTTAATTAAGGAACATACCTTAAATTACAGTAGGATCCCTTATGTGTTTGAGGTATATTCCGTAATTAAGGGATATTGGAGTCTCTGGGAAGGACGGCGGTCACAGTGCTGAGTACCGGGCCGTGCTGCAACTTCTCCGGGATGAGCTCGGGGAGGCCGCTTTAGGGTTTTTGGGTCTTGGGCTTAGGGTCTTTGGGAGCGTGCAGAATGGCTTTTCGGAGCTCTGGTAGTTGCAGAGGTTTAGAGTTCAAGGCGTTGGGGTTGAAGGGTGTCGGGGTTAAGGGTTTTGGAGAGTTTCGGGGATCGTGGTTAGTTTGGAAACGGTTGTGTGTAACATTTGGTTTTCAACTTGAGAGCGGAAACCCTAAAGCCTAATTTTACGCCCCGAACCCTTGACCTTAAACTTCAAGCTCGGAAACCGCTTTCCGGACCATGGCGAACGGAAAAGGGTCGTGAACAAGAAAAACGTCAATCCCTGAAGCCCTTCACCCTGAACCCTAAGCCTCAGTTGTCCAGCGTCAGGTCCGCGATCTCCTTTTCGATGTCTGCGGCACTCATCCTGTGACCCGGCCACGACACGGTTCTCCATCAGGGTTTCGGGTTCAGGTGTAGAAGGGGCAGCAGGGGTTTCATCAGTTCGGTCTTGGGAGTTTCAGGTTGAGGGTTGTCCTTGGGTGTGATTGACGACTCAGGGCGTTTGGAGTTCTAAGGTGTAATGGTCGTACTTGATCATGCGCAAGCCCTTCGGAGTTGCCTCTCTGTTAGGCCCACTGCCTGCTGGTATGTATCAGTGACGGCTTCAAAGCTCCTGGACCCAATCCTGCAAGACTTCTGTTCTATCACAGGATGTGGTAGTATGTGCTGTTTGGACATGGTAGTGATGCCCCTGCGAAGCAGGCGTTTGTATGGAGGTCCCTAAACTCTACGACCGATAAGCCATACACCCTCATCCCCTCTGAGGCAGAAGTTAGGATGAAGTCTTGCTTAAGTAATTAAATGATGCTTGCATCCCAAGTCCTTTGACCATAGACTCTTATAAACCGTATAATTCCTTGAACCCTCAAACCCTAAATCCGCCAACCTCAAGCATTCTTGGTAAAACTACCGAGGCGTCCATGTTAGCCAGGATCCTGGCCCTGCCTTCTAGAGTCTGTACAAAACTTGTACAAAGACCGCATCCAAGCAGCCGAATTCTGATGGATGTTTAAGCCGCCTGTGTTTGTGACCTCCAAGCACTACGCCGCATGCCAACCCAAAGTACAAGCGTAGGACAAGCACACAATGAAGTTCCCTGAAGCTTTACACCCTTGACATTTGCACAGTAGCAATAGAGCTCCGGACAAGCCGGAGTGGCCAGCTGCAAAGTTTGGCCCTTAAACTGGTCCATGGAGATGTCGAGGGGGTTTGCTGGGGTGACGCATAGAGCAAACCTCCTCATAATCGGGCTTGGCATGCCAAGTATTCACCACACTGAGAACGAGGAGGCTTGTACATGGGGTAGTCGCACTGAATAAAGACATCTCGATGCAGCAAATAGCCCTCTCTAGCAGGGTTTGGCTGGTAGCCTGATACGTTCTCCACAGCTTGAGATGCAGGAGGACCCAGATGGACCCTTCTCACTAATCCAAACTTCACATCCAAATTCCGAACAAGCGCTCAGGGCTCCGGGGTTCAGGGACATCTCAACTAAACGCACAGGTGACCTACGCAGATACGCGCCTGACCGGAAACGGTGAGGTTCCCGTGGAGCGCGTCCTCACGAATGCGAAACTTGGACCTTGAGCTAAGAGAATCCGCCTAAGGGAGTCATGCATATGACTGCCAGCGCACATGGCAAGAAGGCAGTCAAGGTTTGCTGGGAGCTGTGAGTTGCTTAGCTTCTAAACCCGATACCCTAAACTGTAATTGAATTTTGGAGAACGGAGGACCCATTCTGTATCTGTTGTATCACGCCGACTTCGCACCAAGAACCTCGCCTGTGTCCCAGTTGTAAAGGGCCTGGAGTCAAGATCGGCTATTGAAAGCAGGAAGTTGGTGATTAATGCAGGGCGTTGTAGGCATATCGGCGTATAGTCCCTGTATGGGCTTTTTAAGGGCTCTTGTATGATCATTCTGAATGAGTATAGAAAAAAAAATATATATATATATATATATATAGAAAGATACACATGCTCTTTACCGCACCAAACCCAAAAACCCGCATCTGATGATGAAGGCCGCAAAGATTCTGGGGCCAAGCATCATTTTGCATCCTCCCGGACACCGACTGGATGCTGCATCCAAGGCATGTCTACAACAGCGACGTTCTAAAACGACAATGCCTCGACTACATGTTTCTTGCTTGCATCTTTGGGTAGCACTCTTATATAACCTGTGTTGGCTCTTGCAGTCATGCGCATTCGGCATTTCTAGACATCAGCTCTGCTAGACTGTGTCTGAATCCAGAAACTCTTCAATGCCCATGATTGCTCCACTTTGGAGCAAGAGAACGCAAACACAGGGAATCGCTTTGCAAGCAGGTCTCTCAAGTTCCGCATCGACGTCTTTCAAGTTAGCTTCGAGGTTTGAGGATTTGAGGGCGTCTTCGGGTGAAGGAGCGTAATGTAGGAACCTGATTAAGAAACCCGTGGCCTATAACCCCAAAATAGTAAGGTTCATATCAGGAACCCTTATAAAGGCCCCAGGTTTCTGAATCAGGTACCTAAATTATGGGGCGTGTGAACGGTTGAGGCGGGGCTCTCCTTGATCATGATGGAAGCTAAGGTTCTTCTTTCCCTACTGTCCTGCCAAAGACGCAGAGGACCACGAGGACCGTCTTCGAACACTAAGATAAGATACGAGTCGGATGACAAGCTGTCGCATGTTCCAGGTATTTGGCACCCAGGCTTTTGGAGGTTTTACAGTAGCCCGTAAAGTCACCCAAAACCAGTATAGCACCCTCAGAACTGCCTTATAGACCAACCCTTGGCCTTACTGGATATGAACTTATTCAGCGATTGCTCCCACCACGAGCTGTGGATCAGGTGGTTTGTCTCCATGTTCCGGTCTTATCGCTTGCGTGCGTATGTTTTGGCCTGCCTCTTCCGTCTCTCCAGCGAGGGGCCGTTCCTTGCTTCAAAAAGAAGGGTGAGGAGTGTGAGTGTATCCCTAAATCGCACGAGGACGCTTCTATGTTGGAACCGGTCGTTCCGGCCACGCGTCCCGCCTTCAATCTTCCTGCCAGTTTTTGGTTTAGTCGTTCAGGTTGAATTTTTGAAAGGCGAGCTTGAGGTTTGCCTGAGACATGAGTACTTTTGTAGTGAGACGTCAGGGTTGAGACCCTTCCGGCAGCCGGTTCAGATGTTACTGACGGTTCTTGTCATTTGATCTAGTTGCTTGCCGGAACCACTCGCAGGTGCCACTTGGAGAAGTTTGCCGTCGACAGGCCTGTGACAGTGCTCTTAAACTTGGAAGTTTTGAGACACATAAAGCTAAACCATAGATATCCACAGAGTTCTTCTTCTCCCCAAATCTCAAATCTGGCAGGGTGTGGGATTCGCTGTTGACGCTGGTATCACCCGCGATTCAGCTGCAGGAAAGTAATCTGCTCGGCAAATGAGATGATTTCCCGACATGTAGAATGTGCAAAACATTTCTTAGGATATGACTTGGGAGCAGCTCACGCATTCTCAAAACCTGAAACCCCGAACCCGAAAGTCTTGGCTAAGTCGAAGGCAAAAGAAAACCCAAAAGCCTAAACTCTACACATTCAAACCCTAAACTCTTATATCCGAGTATCACCTCTGAAGCAGGTCCAAAGATGTCGGCGCACCGGTCACCCAGCTCTCGGACCACTACGGCGCCGGTGATGCAAGTAGAGGGTCTATGGGGCTTGGAGTTTGGGTTTAGGATTTTGGGTCTAATCGCCCCGGAGCGTCCGCATGCATGAAAGAGAGAGAGAGAGAGAGAGAGAGAGAGAGAGAGAGAGAGAGAGAGAGAGAGAGAGACAGAGACAGAGACAGAGGGCTTGTGCTTGGGCTTGGGAGTCTGTGCATGAGCGCATGAGTAGATCCCCGCTGGGTCGTTGACGAAGGCACATGGGCAGAGTTCCGAAAGTCCTTGATGACACGAAGGATTTGATCCCATAAAACATGTTCAGGTCCTTGGGTTGAGAGCTTTAGCCCTAGAATCGTTTGTGCATCTTTGCATCGTGTTTTGGTTTCAGGGCAACTGTGCCGCGCAGCGTCAGGATGCAAACAGCTCCTATTCCTATGCAGGAAGCCTGAAAGCCTGCACCCTTGCTGTAGTGTGAGAACCTCCCATGTACCGCAGAGAGTAACCAATTACAAAAACTGCAAAAAACAGATAACAGATAACCAAGGCAAGGTACTAGAGTCGAGGGCAGGGTCCTAAACCCTGAACCGCTAAGCCCTATTACCCCCCCGACCCTGAACCTTCACCTTCATCCCCTAAACCCCCCAACCCTAAACTTTCCTAAACCCTAAAAACCCTAAGCCCAACCAGGTGTCGAGGCCACTCTTGCAGTGATCGAGAGCCCGGCCTACTTAGCAGCAGAACGGCCGACACAGCACTTTGCCAGGAATACAGTCGGGTTCTACGGACCTTCCCGGGGTTCAAGCAACAGGTTTCAACCTTAGGTTTTAGTGTAGATTCTGATTTTAAACAGGGCTTACTTCTTCTAAACTTTGGAGCCTTGGTGCCGAAAGCTCAGAGTTGAAGGTGCTTGGTCCAGAAACCAAATGATGGAGGCTTCGTTTTCAGGGAATGTTTCAGCTCGCTATGTTCACGTTGTGGGCGTGCGCTTTTTATTTGAGAGAAACATTCGGGGCGTCCCGGATTCAGCCGGATTCACTGCGGATGCATGATCGAGGCAGATGTCAGAAGGTGACGGTGTAGGTTTTGCAAATTGTGGAATTTGGGCGACGGTTCAGGATGTCGAATCAGCATGCGAATCAACATGCCTTGTAAGATGTTTGATCCTCTAGTAATAGTCTAGAATGTACAGGCGTGCCGTAGTGTTCGCCGTTTCCGATTTTGGTGGCCGTAGGAGAGAGTTAAGGCTGCTAGAACTCAACACTTTTCGTGGGCGGTTCGTGGGTGTCGAGGGTAGAGCTTGCAGTCTTGAAGAGGTGACAACCTTAGTCCCTCAGAAGATTGCAAGCGAAATACACCAATGACTGTAGCCAGCTGGGCTATAAGACACAGTGTGTCGTCATACCAATGAATACGTAGATGCACATAGTTCTATGGAGATTCTCACCCCCAAGTCTGCATACAATGGGTCTCTCCCTGAGCTCAGCCAGGGTTTACTTTGAGGGTTTAAACACACCCTATATTATCTTGGGGGTTCCTTATTACATGTATATTATGATGGGCGCCAAAACCATCTTCTAATTATTAAGGCCCCGGGCTTCAGGGCAGCTTTAATTCGCCAACGGCAGTGGGCCTCAGCCATGCCAACAGGGCATGGCTTGAGACACCCTCCCCGCATTGCTACTGCTGATATGATTGTCCTGATTACGTATTACTGTGGTGGTTACCATTGCTTCAGAGCATTCGGAGACCCTAAACCCCCAAACCCTAGACCCCTAAATCAGGGATCAACTTAGGCAGGGATGCGCGTATGGCCGGGATAGCCGTACCCCTGGGGGCTTTTTCCATGGTGCACCACAACAGGGCATTTCGAAGTTCAGGCCACCCCCATAACACATAGCAATCCCCACATCTACTGTATCCATTCGTCGGGACTTGGCTACTACACCTGCAGCATGAAACATGAGCTGTGTAATTCTGTCAAACATGTCTGGACGGTCAACTGGGATGGACGGGATAGCGGTACCCCTGGGGCTTTTTATGGTGCACCACAATGGACGAAGTTCAGGCCACCCCCCACAACACATAGCAATCCTCGGGCAGAAACGTTATCCATTGGCCGGGAGTTGGCTACTACACCTGCAGCTTGAAGCATCTACGGTGTAATTGTTCCCAAACATTCGACATGTCTGGGTGGTTTCGAAAACTATGCTGATTGCATGCAGGGAGCAGGGCTTTTCAATTTCAAACACTTAAGAATAATTTCTGATAAAGGAATATATATGGCAGATGTTTTCTGTTGTTGTGAAGGAAACTTGAACTTCTTTATCATTTTTTGAGAAAACAACTCGTCGGCCCAACCCCGAGAACACGCCAGCCCTTGAAGCCCTGCTTTCGACTCGCCGGACACCACATTGTGCTCCTGACGGACACCAAGAATATCTCGCCGGAGCAGGTGCCTTCCGCCCCCCCGCTTTGCACACGTTGCTCATGGCTGTGATTTGCTCATGTCGCTTGCACCTGCATTCGTGGTTGAATTGTTGGCACATGGAGCAGGGCATGACGGATTGCTGCGCATTTGGTTCAAAGAGAGCCTTGAGAACTTCTAACTCGTTATCTACTTGTCGATTTTTTTCGCCTTGGCCATCATGTCCGGCCCCTCAACCCCTCGTGCGCCGCTCAAGGAGTACATGCCGAACGTTGGACCCCGGATGGCCACGACGTACGCGAAGGCCGAGCACGCGAAGAACAGGGAGGTGGTGATCATCGCCTACGGTTCGGAGATGAACTACCCCGATGGACGAAGACGCTTGCAAAAGAAATAGACATTCATCACGTTTGCACGAGACATTGCTTTGTGAACACGTGATTCATGTCACAATGACTTTTCAGGTGACTCGCCGGACAACTCGTACTGCGCTGGACACACGGGGATCGTACAGGAGTATTGTCGCTGGGCTTTTGGCAAGGAGAACTTTACCTTTCAGACGGTGGACGTTCGAAATCTCGGACTGACAAACGCGGAGTACGACCAAAGCACTCCGAAGGGTTTCTGAGCAGCAGTTCCTCAGTGTTTGCATGAGCCGTTCATGACAGGAGTGTGTGTAAGTAACAGAAAGGTTGCAAGCAGTTTCTTTAGTTCATGTGCGAGGCAACCCGGCGGTCAACTACGACGTTCTGAAGCACCTCAGTATTGGACAGAACGGCATGTGGCAAGCGCTGGTCTTACTCATTGGACTCATCTGGACGTGGTTCGAACTTCGTGGGCCACAGCAAAAACTCGCGTTGTTCTTGCACTGAGACTGTGTTGCAAATTAGATATCGGCGTATGTCTGACTACAAGCCTTTATTTAAAGTGCTTTGGTGTCTCTACTTTGAAGTTCTTCCCGTTGGTTCTGGTTATTTCAGAAAAAAATCAGGTGCGAAGGGCAAGCACAGGGCGGCTGGGACCGGAGCGCTTATTTCGATAGCCACCGGTTTCCCTTGTTATTTCCCGACGTTCAACTTCCCCAACGTCTGGGACGCGCGGTTCTACTTCGTTCGACTACCCGCTGTTCTGCCGGAAAAGGACGAAATCAACGACTTCATTCTCTCCGCGGCGGACTGCGCGAAGTACCCCTTCAAGTCCGAAGCTCGCCGAGAACTCGCCTGGAAGATCTGTCAGGTCAAACACAACCTGGTCGAGCCGGACTCGGACCTCGCCACGTGGGTCTATGAGAACAACCTTCAGGACTCGCAGGACAACGAGGGGTACTACTCGGACACGGAGGAGGAAAAGGTTCTCGCAGACTTCAGAGGCGAGAACAGGACAGTTCGACGGACCAGGAGAAGGCGAAAGGCACCCACGCCGGACAACGCTGATGAAGAGGAGGAGGACAAACCCGTGGAGCAGTCGTCGAGCTCGGACGAGGAGGAAGAGGAACCGGCGGACATGAAAAAGTTCGAGAACACGAAGATGTTCCCCGGAGAAGCTGTGGACGATGATGGCTTTGTTCGTGTTAACAGAACACGCAAGGGCAAAAAGCTCGGTCTGGACGACGACGTACCTCCCAAGATGTGCCCGGAGAACTACACCGCGGTGGACATGCTCGAGTTCGCGCTGTACAAGGCACGCCAACGCGGTGGACAAGTCGCGGTGGACAACCTCTGTTTGGAGATGGCCAAGGAGAGAGAGTCTTGGCAGAAGAAATAGCCACTCTGGTAGTTATCTCTGATTGTTGCATTCCACAGCCAGTCCAAGTCGGACGTCTAGATCTATTATTAGCCACTAGTAATCTGATTGCACAGATCAGGAACGCGCTGTACTCCTTTACAAAGCTCCATCGGTGGCCTCCGCGATGGCCCTGTACAAAAACCAGTTCGACGATCATGTGTGGGGGGCAACCAGATTGCAATGACAGTTTTCATTTTCATTGTGTGTTCAGGCAGGCGAGTGTGCACTCCTTGGTTAAATCAGGCCATGGCTTGTCTCGTTGAGCAATCCCCGTGGGGACGTGTCCTGGCCCATGACATCGCCAAACAAATGCGCAGTGCCTCGACGATTAACTTGGTGTTGTGCCTGCGAATGAATGCTGTGTCAGTGCTTCTTGACGGTCTGAGTCTCCGATGAAACTGAGGTAAGTTCATGGACGGCGATATCAGGAACCCGTCGAACTATTTCCTGACGAACATCAACACGAAGGCCAAACACGCGATGCACCCGAGGAGTTCCTTTGAAGCATTAATTAACTTTGGCTAGTCAATACCCAACAGTCCAAGTTACTCCTTGTGCACTGCCTTGTGTGCTCCTGAGTTGTTACTAAAAATGTCCTGGCACTGCTTGGCTTTGTCCCAGGCGACGACGAGGAGTTCCAGGCGTACAAGACGGCCAAATCACGCCGGGTCGAGAGACAGGCCAGGGGGGCAGGCGAGGGACCGAGGGACGGCTGGGAGCCGGTGAAATCGCCGAGCCAACTCAACCAGCACGACCTACCCGGTGGACTTGGTTGGGAACGTGTCATGGACTCGCTGGACGACGACCAGAACCTGGTCATCGAGGGTCGGCTGAGGAGGCAAAGGACGGAGGAGTTGAAACGCGAGGGCATTGACACGCCGGAGCATGGCGCAGGACACCCCTCGGTGGACAGACCTAAGGGTTCTTTCGTGCCGAGACAGCCAGTCTTGGTGCCCACCCCAGCGGCCACCCATGCACGTGGAGAACACGGCGGACGCACCCCCCATGGCCCACCACGGCCCTCCACTGCCTCGTGGCCCACCCGCCGGACGTGCCCCGTCGACCACATCCAGCAGTGCAGCAGCTTCGTCTGGGCCGACCATAAGGCCAATTTCAAAGACGACGGGCAAACCCTTGCAACCCGCGACGGCCCCACCCAAGTCCCCGGGTCAGCCGAGTCAGTGGCTGGGACGACAGCAGGACAACGCGACGTGGAGCAGAGCGCTGGACGCACGAAGGCGCGAGGATATCAAGCCCGCCGTTCCACAAGAAGCTTCCCCGAGTTCCCCACCCAAGCAGAAGGCCAGGCCCACGGCGCTCAAAACCCCTCCCGCCGACCCCCCGCAGGCCCCGGCCAAGGCACCCGCTGTTCCCTCCAAGAAAACCACGAAGGCCGAGCCACCATCGGAGGACGATCGGATGTCTGTGCAGTCCGCAGGTCAAAAGTCGACGACGTCCAAAATGGGGGTCCACTCGCAGTTCTCCGATGCCACGTTGGACACCAGTCTGCCTGGATCCGCGACGGCCACGACAAAGGACAAGGACAAGGCCAAGCTGCTCAGGGCCATGCAGATCGCAAAGGAAGAGATGGAGGCAAAAAAACTCGAGGTCCAGTTCTTGAAGCTGCAATCACAGCTGGAGGACCCGGAGGACGAAGATGAAGATGTCAACGTCGAGGAACACCCGGTGGACGACGACGACGACGTACCTGGCTCAGGACCCGGGCTCGGGAAACAGCAGCTTTTTCTTTCAGTACATATTATTAGTAATATCTTAAATAAGCTAGTATGCAGACTTGGGCTCCGTATCACTTCCTGCTGCAATTTGAATTGAAGAGGCATTCTAGTTCATGTTCAAACTACAGCCCAAGTCTCCTTCATCATTTCAGTTTCTTCAATGACATTGTGCTGTACATGAAGATACCCAGAATACATACATACATATTTATATATGTAAGTAAATTAAATACTTAGTTATTATTATTACAATATTGTTTCTACATGTAGTCTTTCCTAATCCATTATCCATACATACAATAGATACGTTGAAAGATTGCTGCTGCATATGCTTCTGGTCTAGCAACATCCTAGTCCACGTCATGTGTTCTAGTACCAAGATTATTCATTCATCTCTCTGTTGCAACATTAGTAGTTGAAGATATTCTGTTGTCAGAACAGGAAACAGTGCGTGGGACCTTCCTCGATCACGTGGGTTCATGCACCTTACTGGACAACTGTTGGCGGAAGGCACTTGGGTGGCGGGCGCGTGGTATTTCAATACTAGATAATTGTGCTTGCAGCAACAGGTTATTATTAGCTTCCAATTCAGGTAGTAATACAGGTGAGCATGGTTCTGCGACATTTTTTGTTGATGAGATTACTCAGCTATACACCGAAGTTAGACATCGGCAGTCGTTTGGTGTTGCTGCTTTGTCGGTTTCCTCCTGTTGTTCTTGCTGGGGCCTCGTAGCTGGGGTTTCCTTCTTATTCCTGGCTATTATGATTCGCTGCATGCTATCCTGACATGTTAGAGTTACTTGCTGTGGATTGCAATATTTATGAGAAGATACATAGCCTTTCCTGTCCCATGCATCACCCTGGCTTTGTCGCAGAATTTCCGGCGGACGATGGCACAACGGGCGATGGCGAGCACCCGCAGGAGGAAGAGATCCACCCGAAGGACGAGGACCAGGAGGAGGAGGAGGAGAACACGGTGGAGGATGCGCCGGTCGACCCCCCGAGGACTGTTCCTGTGTCTGGACCGCACTAACTAACTCAAGGGATTGCATTGCAGTGTGTCACTGGTTCCCTGCTGCGTTTCAGCCCTCCGTGCAAGGCCAGAACTCCGAAGTCCACGCCGGCCGCTGCTATGTACAGACCCGTTGGACGATCGTAGCAAGCTTGATTTGCATGGTACACGTCGGATCTTGATTTGAAAAATAATATTATTGCTTAGGCAAAATACATTCAAAAGCATTACCATAGTTACCAGCTTTGTTTCGAGACCCGTCGTTCCAGCAAATCTTGTACATCGCCGGACAGAAATCTATCGCCGGACACAAATCTTTTTGCACATCGCTGGACAATTCGTGTGCACGAGAACAAAAGAAGTGGCCTGCAGATGCCTTGGTTGGCTTTCCACTGCTGTGTCATACGATTACAGAATTGGTTGCTTTCTGCCGTCAGGTGCCCCCAACGGCCAGGCATCGTTGCAAGCTCGGCCCTCAGCCCACTTCGGAGCTTCTTCCTGGATTTGATGTTCAGTAACTGGAGAACAAATAGCCATATCATTATAGACACGGCGTACCATATAAAGAGGATATGTGCGACTTCTTAGCAAGTCGAGGTGCACTGCTTCTACTCCAGCGTGGTTGGGGGTACCCTTTTGTTGCATTTTTGGGGGCTTCGGTTTGAGGCACGGTTTCCAACGGACACTCGTGATTCCAGCCTGTCTTTTCTAAGAATGCCTGAGCACCTCAACGGCTAGTTTCTCGGTATCGTATCAGATACATGAAGCAATCTACTAAGCGTGAGCACAACAGCGAATCAGTCCATGTCGCTCGGAATAACTTTAAGTCTACATCCTTATAATATTTCTTATATCCCAGAAAACCTCACAACAAACGTTTTCGAGATGCAATACACTTCCTGTTCTTGGGTCCTGGTATGTCTAGTGAAAAGGCCAGAGACATTGGTAATTACATGGGACGGAATTTTGCTGGGCTCTTTGTCTGTCTGTATTCCAGGTATTTATTTCTAGCACCCGCGGTACTGTAATGTGATGAAATGATAGGACATTCTGTGGTTTCTTCCCACACAAGTCTTAAATATTTAGATTCAAAGCCCTGGCACGCGCAGGTCACCCGAGCGGACTTTGCATCCCTGCATTTCAACGAGGACGAGTGCAGGGTGCCCAGCCTTTCGTCTCCCAGTGGCATGCAGGAGAGATGCATATCTGGATGCAAAGCCATTGCTGCATTGTTTTTTCAGATTCCACTAGGGCTTTTCAGAGAATGATTTGTTGGCTGAGCTTGTCCAACCTGCACCCGCAGCTGCAGCTTGAGATCTTCCTGTCTTCTTCCCCTCGTCCTTCTCCTTTCTGCTCTCGCCGGACATGTCATCCGGTTCGGACTCGCGTCGTTCCACTCCGTTCACTCGCCGTTCCGTTCCCAGTTTTCTTCGGCCTTCGGACGACCCGCTGGACGAGACGCAGTTCGATTTTCGCGGGATGGACTATTACCTTGCATCTCGGCAAGGTATGGAGCCGCAGACAACCGTGGAGCTACGCAATCTGGACTATATCGCGCAGCTCCCCCCGTCGGTCCTGGACTTCATCCCGCTGGACGTGTCCGCGCCGTACGAACTCGAAATCTTCTTGTCGGACTTGCTCCTTACGCAGGCCTATTATTTTCGCCTTGGACCTTTCCCTGGAGTGGAGAACTGGGAGACACGATGGATCGAGACATGCTTTGGACCCCCGTCGAGCATCACGAAGGACACATGGCCCAAGACGTACACACCTCAGTTCACAGTTCAGCTGGCAACTTTCGTTGAATTACATGCAGGAAATACTTAAGGTAGGATATTGACTTAGGCTGTGGACATGGTTGTCGGCCATGGAAGGGACCATCTACCAGCGACCCCGTGTACTTGAACGCAGGAGACAGCTTTGCTTTTATTGAAGTACGGTTTAACATAGTGTAGTAAATTAAAACCGAAGCAGGATCAGCGACCCGGAGGGCAGCATCCAGATACTCGTCGATCAAATGCAGGAGGACAAAATGCTTTCGTGCAACTCTCAGTTCTCTTCTGGCCAGTGCAAGAACTGTTGGACTATCATTGCATGGTCTGCTCCGCCGTTCGGCCATTGCGAGCTTAATTAGCTTCCTACAAATGCACACCAAGGCTGGCCTGGAGGCAGGTTACCGAAGCCGCGAACAGGCGGATCGACAACGCTCTACACACAGGACTCCACAGGCATCTGCTTATCCCTGGACGCCCAGTTACCCGGTGGGTCTTGGACTTGCTAAACGCGGACTGGGAAGGGTTTCCCGTCGCTGTACCCGTCCCTTACCATGGTCAACTCTACACGGCCACCGCGTCGCACAACTCGGAGGACCTTTATTTCTGTATGATCGTGAGGGCCGACGGACGATCCACAGCCGAGCATTATCATTTTTTTAGTTTTTCTAGGAGTGGGACTGGGTCTGCTCTAGGCCTTTGCAAGGAAGGGCTGGCATGGTTTTTGAAAATAAAGATGCGCGGGCCCCTGCTGATGCCAGGAAGTGACATCAGCTTGCAGATCAAAGGACTTCTCCTGACCCCGCTGGACTGGGACGACTGAGAATCTTGTGCACTCCTTGGACTCGTTGTGAAAAAGTTTGTTTTCCGACGGACACTATTCCCAAATGTTTTTTCGTAGGACGTGTACAGACACCCGCTGTTCCCACACATGGTTCCTGCGGAGAAAAAGGCAGATGGCATCTCCCGGCAGAGCTGTCATGTGCACTGCAATTGCATCATAGGTTGACGACAACAATGCAAAGCCACACATGCTCAGGTCGTGTCCATGCAGCTTCTTTGCTTCTGCAGCGCGCTCAGGGTGCCGCTTAGCAAGCTTCAGCTCGTCGGACAACAGCAGCCTCGCTGGTTCGGAAAGATACACTCTGTGTTCAGCTGCCTTTGCTCAGTTCCAGTGTAGTAACCGAAATCGATACAATGCCACTCAGGCCTTCCGATTCTGGACTTCTCGGAGAGCACAACGCCGGACACTTGAGCGTAGTACTGCCAAGGGTTTTTG